GGCTATTAATTGATCCATGTCAAATCTCGATAAAAAATCCAATAAATTCGATTCTACATTTGACATGGATCAATTAATAACCTCGATCACGAATCTATTCATTGGCGGAACAGAAACAACGTCCACGACGCTACGTTGGGCATTTATCTACATGATCGAAAATCCGCAGATCTTAAAAACTGTCCGACAAGAAATCGATGATTATATGGGAGATCGAAATTTATTTATTCAAATGGAAGATAGACAATATTTGCCATATACAACAGCCACGATTCTCGAAATTCAACGTTGTGGGAATATTGCTACCTTAGGTGGAAGTACAATGCATAGAAATCTACAGGCAACAACATTGAATGGATATTCGATACCAGCGAACTCTTATATAGCGGCAAATTTCTATGCTTGTCATGTCGATGAACGACAATTTCCACATGCGGATCGTTTTGATCCAACACGATTTTTGTCAGATGATCTGAAATTAGTTCAACGTCCTCAAGGATTTATTCCCTTTTCCATTGGCAAGAAATCTTGTCCTGGTGAATCGTTGGCGAATATGGAACTTTTCCTTTTTTTTAGCAACTTTATTCGACACTATGATTTCTGCGTTGTAAATCAGGCCGAACATATTAATTCCAAGTTGTTTTATCATACTAGTCTGACGCGTGCACCTTTTGACTATCAGATTTCATTTAATAGACGATCGTTTTGATTTAGCTTTAAATAAATATTGATCTGTTCCTTTACTTCCCATCTCAAGTTTATGAACAGTGTGATTATTTGTATCCGATAAGATTGCATAATGAATGTGATCATCGATAGTACGCGTCGCTTCCTCTCCTCTACAACTAGGTTTCAAAAGCTTTAACGAAATGAAACTAGATATATTTTACTCTTTTCATTATACGCTGCATCACAATCGAATCGAGTTCATAGATAAGTTAACTGTTGCTCTTTTCTTGCAACCTTGCACATATAATTTATCATTTACAACAACAATAACTATTCGAACTATTCTGACAAAATCCATTGTTCTCTATATGAGCAGAAACTAACTCAAAAAGATACACAATATTAAAAGAATTCACACAACTACCATTATTCACTTGCGTAATAGAACACTTTCGAGAACCCTTCGCACAATAATCACCACACCTAGCTTTAAAGTTGAAAAACAACAAGCTCGAATACCAAATAGTACAGGTTTCACATGTTAATACAGGTTCCGTCGTTGTCGCTTTCGTCGACGAACTCGTTCCTGTAGTTATCGCTACAGACGTGACAGTTCTCGCCGTAGTAGAGGTTGTGGATGTTCGACCAGATGTAGACGTTGTGGCCGGCGTTGTCGATGTCACAGCAGATGTGATAGCTGTGACCGGCATTGTGGATTGCTCGTCAGACGTGGTAGCTGCGTCTGTCGTACTTGCTGCATCCGATATTGTGCTTGTCTGGTCAAATGTAGCAGTTGAGTCGGCCGGTGGCGATATAGTCGACGTTGTGGATTGCACATCAGACGTGGTAACTGCGTCTATGGTAGAAGGTTCATCCGACGTGGTGATTGTCTGTTGGACTCCAGCAGTTGAGTCTGCCGTAGGGGTTATATTTGACGTTGTGGGTTGCTGATCAGATGTGGTACCTATGTCTACGGTAGATGCTGAATCGGATGCTGTGCTTGTCTGGTCAAATGTGGCAGTTGAGTCAAACGGAGGCGTCATATTCGACTTTGTGGTTTCGAAAGTGACCGTCTGATCACTGATGTTAGTTGTAACTGTAGTAGACGTTGGATTGGGCGCGGTAGTTGTGGTTGTTATGTCTAGAAACATTGGCTATTAAGAGAAATTGGAGTTAGTTGGATATAAAAGAATACTTCCTGTAGTGTGAGGTGAGATTGAAAGTGCAAGCGATGCTAAAATGGTTGGTTTATTGGCAGTATACGTTACGTACGATAAGGTTCGATTGCCGATATCTTCGGGATGAAATATTAAGGTCACAGAAATGTTCGCTTGTGGAACGATAATATGATCATCCAATAACCACATACAAGTGCCATCAGAGGGGCATGGAACAGTAACATTGTATATTTGTATGTTGGAATCAATTGAGAACGATGTTGAACCTGTGATTGTGCCCTTCTTACCCGGTGGTAGTTTCGATGATGAATGTGGGAAGTGAAAGAAAAGATGATTCATGGAAAAGTCTGAGTTGGGTCGCAAATACAGGAGACATTGTATATAGAGAATGGAGGATCTCTTATGTATGATATTCAATACGTGTCCAAAATCATGAATGTACGATGTGTATCGTATTGGATTTCCATCATCATCGAGCGCAATACTATTGTATTGATCGTAAAAAATCATGTGTACGCCAAGAATCGTTCTGAATTGAGTCAATTCACCAATTAACAATTGATCATTACAATAATCGATCATTCGTGGTTTAAATCGAAATCTACATAGATTTTCTTCTATATTCACATTAGTTATTATCGATGAAAGTGTCGAATACGTAAACGTTTTTCCTGCGTAACGACTAGTGAGCTCTTGTAAACCGTCTAGATCGGAAAAAATGAGAAAACTGTCTTTATGTGTCGACTAATTCTTCACCTGGTAAAATATTGCCATCGGGACCGTTTTCATCGTCATCATCGCAAACAATCATTGACTGCGAAATAGAAGCAGAAATCCTTTACTCTTATCAATGAGAATACTCATCGATGTGAAGCTAGCGCGAAGAAACGATGTATTAGCTAAAACATTTTTATCAAATAAGTTGCGTTCATGAAAACGGCAGCATTCAACTCAGAATTTCATTCTATCTCGGATGCTAATACTTTTATTCATGAGACAAACTTTGGAAAAAAATTTTTCGGAAGAGTGCTCCATGAATAAAAGTATCACCATTCAATGCGGAAATGTATTCTGAGTCGAATGGTGAAGCGTTCAGGGGTGTTACTTCTTCAGCAAACAAGTTTTTACCTGACATATCATTTCTTCGTGCTAACTCCGTTGCACTAGCTGCACACCGATAGAATACTCACTGTAATCATCCATAGGAGAATTATCGAACCGAAAAACATCCTGGTTGCACAGTACTTTTATTTGTACTAACAAAATTAGTTTAGCTGATTCCTTCAATCGATTTTTCAATGCTCACACATGTGAAAACAAACAGATCTTTATACATCTGGTTTATACACATGTTCTCATTTTCTTTAGTTACACAAATTCAGACATATTCCGAACACAATATATGAAAGGAGTATTGTTTTGATAACAGATGGTTGGGATCGATTTCACGAAACTATTTTTTTCGAGATGCGAATGCAACAACATGAGGAATGAATTAAAATACAACACAATTCACTGTGTGTATTTATATTTACCACTGTTTTCTTTCGAGTAGAGATATCATTCGATAAAGTCATTTGCTCAATCACAACGCATACAGAGAGATAAAACAGTTCTACTAAGTTAAAACTGCAAAGCAACCTGAAACATTCATTGAATTATTTTTTTACTCATTAGAATCAATTACCATCTTGTTAATACACTTTGTCAAGACGAATGCTAGAAATCTGCAATCAATTTAATCGAGTTTTTTTTTCAAAGCACGTCTATTCGCAACAGATACCTGTACGAGTGAAATATCTCTTATTCAGGTCATTCATTTTCATATCCAACGATCAACAACGGTGTACATGAAAACTGTCATGTGTATATCAATTTAATCTCTAAATAAAATCGAAAAGTGCAAGAATGACAGAGATAAAGTGTTTTTAGAAACAAAGACATTTAAAATCGTGACACTTTCCACCACCTGGATGACCATCTCGTTTGCAAGCACTGGGACATTGACCGAAATGATCTTCAAATAAGCAAAGACCTTTGAAACTGCCAGATGGAATCGATTGTCGTCTTTCTGTCTCATGTTGATCATCATCATCGTCATCAGTATTTCGTGCAGCTTGTTGCATCATTTCGATAAGATCACGACGAGCAACTTTCACTGCGTCATCCATCAGTTGTTGGCTCCAAACATCTATACTACGAGCATAGGACGCACCAACTAAGTATAGAGAAGAAATAAACGAACATGAATCAAAATAAGACTTCTACTTGCCGCATAAGATTGCCACGATAATACTAAGCGCAAGAAAGCGAGTGTTCATGTTTATGTATAAGTTATGTGTTATACTATTTGATCTGCCAGTTTATATATAAATCCAGCATAAAAGAAATAATCGTACTTGTTAGATAATGATACCACCTGTGGTGTAAAACATACCTATGTCGGTCGAAAATAAAAAATTGTATAGAGTGTTCTTCGAGCTCTGGTAAATATTGCGAGAGGGCGAAGAGTGGAGAATGATTTAGGTGATTCGATTTTTTTATTCGCGAACTTTGTATGAAGATATCGTGATGAAAATCAGGATCGTAGATAAAGTCATTCTCTCTTCGAATGCATGTAAAGTACTTCTCCAAGAAAATCACTGAGTATATAGGTTTCATATGAGAAATTTTACTTTTTTAAATAAGGCTTTTTTTATTAAGAGTACTTATTGAACCGTTACAATACTTTTTTTCTTTTCGTAATGTCATACAGTCAGAATGTACAACAACACGATGAGTCTCACGACTTCGCAAAATGAGAATAATGATTCGCGGTGCCTACGAAAGGACGTATTTGCCGAAATCAGAGAATTTATTGCATTTAGTTTATTGTATGTAATATTTTTCGATGAAATATTCTCCCGTTTATATTTAATCCTCTTTGAAAGTGTGTTATCACATCTTATCATCATAAAACAGTGATAGATATATCGATTAGAATAAGAGGATCTACTCTTTAGTGTCTTTTACAAAAGAAGACTATGCACAGCAATCGTTCTCGTATATGACAATCAATATATTGAGAGAACAAAAAAAACTACACTTGCGATACTTTGAGATATATTCTTCGATTTTGATCTGTTTAGAAAACTTTTACTAAAATAATTCGTCAAAAAATTTTATCGAATCGCATTATTCGGTGATTATCACGATCGGCAACGTACAAATTACCATCTAAATCGAATGCTAAACCTTCCGGTTTAAAAAGTTGATTTAATTTATTTCCTTCTCCATTACCACCAACAACAACTTCACCTCTTAAATCACCTTCTCGCCACCGCATTACTCTATTGTTTCCGTAGTCTGCGACATAGATTTCACCACATGAGCTAATATACAATCCTCGAGGATAGGACAATTGATTCAAATTGATTCCATTACCATTACCACCAGCTACAACAATTCCTTCGCGAGCATTCTTGTTCCATTTCATCACACGATGATTTTGTATATCTGATACGTAAACAGATTCATCTTCGTCAACAAAGACAAACGAAGGACCATTCAGTTGACTGATTTCCCTTCTTAGTTCACCTCTGCTTGTGATTGATTTATAGTGATTTTCTCCAGTTTTCCATCTCGTCACATCATTCTTATTCCAATCGGAAACATATAGCGATTGATGTTTATACATTGCTATGCTATAACAATCAATATTGACAATGAGAACCCGTTCTTTATCTCTATCTAAGGACGATCGAATCACTCGATTATTTCCTCGGTCAGCGATAATAATCGAACGACTCTCTTCATTGATAATCACATCTGATGGGCTATTTAATTGATCTGTTCCATTTCCGTATCCATTTCTGCCTGCAATGATCTCCCCTACGTTTGTATAACATTTCCACTCAACGATACGGTTATTGCCGCAGTCAGCAATAAATATATTTTTCTTGCTGTCAATACTGATCCCTATTGGACGGTTGAGTTGATTTAGTTGATTTCCACATCCGTTTCCACCAGCAACAACCGTGCCAGTTGCTCGAAATTTTGAACCTAAAACACATTGTATTTTTAAAACTTATCAGGTAGATAAAAGAACAACAAATCTCGCACGCTCTCCGTCTACAACTGTCTTTCAAAATGCATAGTATTGACAAAATAGCTACGTTCAATTCATAAAATTTGATCAAATCTGAGTGAGTTCAAGGATTTTCAGATATTATACTGTGAACCGAAATGTTACCTCACTTTAGTATTCATAACACAAAGATACTTACCCGTTTGTTCGATCAACGATCTTTGAATGTTTGAAATTGAGCGACGATTTGCTGATGATTGTAATCTATCTAATAAATCGATATTCCGAATTTTGCAAAGATTTTATGTTGTATGCTAATGCACATAGTGCTCACAACAACTATTGATAATAACTTACTTTTTGATACAAAGACGGAAATCTGAGTGATAAACGGCTGTGAGTCTTCTTGGAGAGAAATGGTGGATGGATTGTTCAATTCGTCTGTCATTGCTTTCAATTTTCGTCTCAATTCATTCAAATCGATTTCGTTGAATTCTTCTTCTTTCCGCATTTCTTTGATCTGGTCGCCCAATTGACTGAAGTTTTTTCCAATAGTATGAATAAATGTTTTTGTCTCCTCAAGGACAGTTTTTCGACAAGTATCTGCCATCTGTTGGATTTTCTGCATCGATTTTCTTTCCCATTCATTAATTTGTCGCATCAATGATGAGTTACTTGGAGAGTTTCGCTCATGTTGATTAATAGTTTGCCGAAATTGATCATAATCATTGATGATAACATCTAATTCTTCATTCAATAACTGTCGATGTTCAATCAAATCAGTTTGACAAAATTCATTTGAGCAACCTTTGCAAAGATAAGTAATTTTTTTATATTTTTTACACTTAAAACATTGTGTCGTGTCGGTTTCCATTTGTTGGAATAGAGAAGTCGGTAGTAGAGAAAAAACGTGTTATGAATTTCACAATGTCAATATATGAGTCAAACCGGAGAAAAAAATCATTCATTTGTGGATGGCAAAATCCATTTCATATAGAACGGCGCTTTGAATTACGACGGAATAAAACTAATATTCCCAAGTATTATTATCTTGAATATCTTACTCGATTCCGTGAGATTTTTCAAACTACTCAACAGATGTCACCGGTGTTCAAACATTTCGATGATTATTTCTCCTATGAAGCGTGCGACTGAATATCGTAAAAAAAGCGAAATAGTATAATGAGATAAAACTATTTTGATTGACGTGGTCCTTACGTCGAATCTTTGTAGTACTCAGTCATCTCTCTTCGATAATTTTTATTCAATAATTATGGGAGTAAGTAAATATAACTGAACGAATGACATCAATCACTCTTTTGGCCTTTTGGTAGATGCAGAAACAGAAAGCAACGAGAAAATGTTTCAGAAAATAAGAAGTAAACTTTGAAACAATTTTTTCCAATAGTGCATGTATAGAGTTAAAAGTATAAGAGAAAGGATAAGTTATGTTCTTAACAAGTTATTCGTTTTTGTACGGACTGGAACAATACGGCCGCGTCGCGTTTTGCCTGGTAATAATTTTGGCCAGATTTCCGGAAGTAAACTAAGACAGACGAACGGCATGAGAATATTAAGAAATCGAATCAGGAAACTCAGGTAAGGCATTTGCACTGCAGCACCAAACATCGGCAGGCAGCAATATTGTACAATGCTGACCAAGGTGACTGGCGTCGTCAAAACGAGGAAGAGACTTATGATGGTCATCAGTTGAACAATCATCCGACGATATCGACGCCAATTAAACTGATTTCGATGTATTCGTCGTTTTTGCGTAATCACACGTACGAGCAAAGCCAGAGACGAACCGACTACGATGAATGTCGGAATAAAATTATGCGCAATTCGAGCGTACATTGCTACTGATGGGATTCTTAGCGCACATGAGTATCCACAAAAGATAGAACTCATAATGAATTCATTTCGACAGGGATAGACAAAAACAACGATAATACTAAACATAATTGGATAAACAAAAGCTGCTACGAGCAGAGGTGTGTAATGACAGAGAATTCGTCGATAACGAGTAGTGAATACTGTTGGATAGAATATAAGCAGGTGCCGTTCAATCGATGCCCATGCCATCGTCAAATATGTCGCAAAACTGCAATTTGAATTGATCAGATTCCAAAAGAGACAAAGACTATTTGTCGACGGTGTTACTTGTCCAATGCGAAGATAATTAAGCGTAAAAGGGTGGCTAAGAAGTGAATCAACAATAGAAATCGTCATTAAAACTACAAGTACATGGTTGTGCAGAGAAGATCGAAAATGACGATTGGATAGTAAATGATAAAGTATATATACACAACAGACAACAGATGGTATGTAACATGTTTGTAGAAGAATATACTTGATTGTATTTACTAGATCGGAGGAAGTGTTACTAAGAAGTGTAATGTTCGACATGATATGAAACAAAAAATGTGTCGCAGTTGATGATAGGAGAGATAATCTTTATTAGAAAAAAAAGTATCAGATGCTGTTGGTTTCATGTGTCCTCATGATGTGCTCAACTTTCAGAAAATCTTTTCTTGCAGATCTCTTTTTTCGTTAAGAAAAACTAGAAAGTTCATTGATATTTGCAAACAAATATGTTATTCACGATTATCGGTATTGATGTTCGTAAGTCGTTCATTCCGTTCGAGCAATTCATCGAGGTCAATTGCCATTTTGTCGGTGACTTCACTAAATTCGAGCTCTAGTTCGATAAGTGTCTACAGTACATGAAGATATGGTAGTGAAAGGATGGCGTCAAAGCAAAATAGAATGAATGTATACATTATTATTTTTGAGCGCATTGATGAGGTCACGTACTCCTTCATGGCTTATGATGTTGCCCTGAAGATGTAATATACGCAATGCCTGAATAGAGGCATTACAAATAAATATATGTGAGGTGAATCAATAGGGAAATGATGAATTACTCTGTTTTTCTTCAACAAATCAGCCAAATGACGAGTCCCAACACGCCCGATATGATTGTTTGGAATGAATAACGTTGTGAGTGTCTCGAAGAACAGAACCACATATGATCGATAAAAGAAAAATAAATAAAATTACTGAATTTTCTTGTAATGCAGCAGCTAGATATCGAACAGCTTCATCGTTCGGATCCCGTGTCTCTTCACCAGCCGTATATCTCGCTTGTGCATTATCCAGACGTGGTGCTCGTGCCATGGTCACATATTGTGTCCTTAGAAAAGCCATATATCGTGCTTGTACATCTTCCAAACGGCGTGCTTGTTCATCATCCAGACGGCATGCCTCTTCAGCATCTAGGTATTGTCGTTCTTTATCTGAAATATGGTTACCGCCGATGTCTAACGTATGCAGCATCTGAGCCCAGAAGCAAATACAGAATATTTCATTAAAAAAAAGAAACGAGATTACTTTGTTAGTTCTTAACATATCAGCTAGAGCTTTTAATCCATCGAATCTGATTTTATTGTTGCCAATGTGTAATATGCGTAGAGTCTAAGTATAAATGACGATTGAATAAACGTTTGAGATTGTCAAAGATGTCATGGGCATTACCGAGCTATGAAGTAGTACATCAGCAAAATATTGTGCTCCCTGATATCCAACATGATTACCATTAATGTTCAATTCGACTAGGGTCTTCAATTGGTATGAATAAGTACAAATTATATGTTGAAGAGGAATAAGTGAAAGAAATCTACCGTATTATTTCGCAATGCATTAGCCAAATGTTGTGCTCCCTCACATCCAATATAATTCTTTTGAAGATCTAATATTGTCAGTTTCTGAGGCGATATAATACAAACAAGTACATAGTGAACCTAAGATTTGCATGAAATTTACCTCATTGTATTGTAATGCATCCGCCAAACTTTTCGCTCCGTGCTTTCCTATTTTATTTCCGTTTAGATCCAGGTGTATCAACGTCTATAAGTATATATAGGCATAGATGAATAAGATGTGAATAATGTACTTTATTGACTTGTAACGCATCCGCCAGATGTTTTATTCCGCTGTCTTTAGTCTGATTACAACTAAGATGTAGCGTGACAAGTCCCTAAATCAAAATATGTATCTGACTAGATCTATTATGTGAATATCAAGATCTACTGTATTGTGCTGTAACATGTCAGCTAGGTATTCTGCTCCAACTTCACCAATCTTATTGTTGGCAAGGTATAGTTTGGTTAAAGCCTAAAACAGATCATGTGGAGTGAATAAAAGAAGAAGCCACTATCATGAACATATATACGGTATTATTTCGCAATGCATTGGCCAAATGTTGTGCTCCCTCACATCCAATATAATTCTTTTGAAGATCTAATATTGTCAGTTTCTGAGGCGATATAATACAAACAAGTACATAGTGAACCTAAGATTTGCATGAAATCTACCTCATTGACTTGTAACGCATCCGCCAGATGTTTTATTCCATTGTCTTTAATCTGATTACAACTAAGATGTAGCGTGACAAGTCCCTAAATCAAAATATGTATCTGACTAGATCTATTATGTGAATATTAAGATCTACTGTATTGTGCTGTAACATGTCAGCTAGGTATTCTGCTCCAACTTCACCAATCTTATTGCTGACAAGGTATAGTTCGGTTAAAGCCTAAAACAGATCATGTGGAGTGAACAAAAAAGGAAGCCACTATCATGAACATATATACTGTATTATTTCGTAATGTGCCAGCCAAATGCTTTACACCTTCATCACCAATTTCATTCACGCTAAGAATTAACGTCTTGAGCGCCTAAATGGCAATATGCATATAGATAAATGAAATAAAGGTAAGAAGAATATGGCGATCACCGTGTTGGTTTTCAATGCATCAGCCAGAATGAATGTTTCACTGTTAGAGATACGAGTATTACGAAGATTCACTGTTGTAAGTACCTAGCCAAACGCAAGAGTTATATAATCAGAAGCTAAATATCATCCTGCCTGATTCCCTCGTAGAGCATTAGCCAAATATTTGACTCGCCCCTCATCCAAAACATATGCTTGAAAATCTAACGTGTGAAATGTCTATAAAGAACAAAATAATCATATACTTCAACGAAATAAAACTGTTTTCTTCACAAGACTTACCTGGTATCTTTCATACGAATATATGATTTTATTGAGCCGTTGACATACATTACACACTGTACATAAGATCGTAATAATGTCCAGACGATCAAGTATTCGGTAGACGACTTCGACTGGTAGTGTAGGAAGAGAAACTTTGCTCGTGTCCGACATTGTAACGTTCTTTGATCTTAGATATCAAATGTGAGTAAATTTAAGCGTTGCTTTATATAGGTTTGAAGTCGAACAGCGCGACAGGATTTATCCTCACACAGAACGTATGTTAAAAACAGAACAGAAAAGATGGAAAAATCCGCCGATCTGACTGTTTTATTCCTTACACACAGAGAAAATACCTCTTGTACTGTGTTATGTGCAATTTTTGTAACATCTGAATCTCTATCCATACAGGAATGTCTATAAGTGTCTTTTATTGTTTGTCAATATGGTTTGTAAACTGTGGTGGAGACAAAAAGAATATAAAAAATATTCGTTCTTCGAGATCTTTACACTGAGTGTGGTAAAGAGAAAAATAACGCGTGCGCACTACGATGATCGAGAAAGAAACAATGTTACAAATTTGAATCAGTTGATTCGAGAATCGTTTTCATCACATTTTGAACATCGTGATAAACCTGAAATAAAATTTGAATCGCAAAACTTTTCCCATAAATTTCAATCAAGCCAACCTGTTCAACATCTTTTGTTGCATCCACGTGTTTGATTAAATTCTTCTTTTCATAATATTCTATGGCTGGTTCAGTTAATTTTTTGAATGTAGCAATTCTACAATAACAATAATTCGATTTTCACAAATAACCAAGTGTCTAAAGAAATGCACCTTTTTTTCAGAGTTTCCTCATTGTCATCCGCTCGTTCACTGTTTCGGCCACGTTCCATACATCGATCGATGCTCGTCTTCAAGTATTGAATTACACCATATCAATCTACCTTCGAGTTCATTTACCTTCTCGTCACAATCAAAGTCAAGTACACATTGAAGAACGACTTTCTCGTTCATTGTTTTTTGCCATTCGGTAATATTCTCCATATCTCGTGGAAAGCCATCAATTAAGTAGTTTTCTTTGCCACTCTTTTTTATTGCCTTTTAGATGAAAGAAGAATCGGAGATGACGTGAATGAAGAAAACAATCAATGCATACGTTTTCGATTAATCTACAAGCGATTTCTGAAGATACGAGAGAGCCATTTTTCATTGTCTCTTGAATTTCTCTACCTAGATCAGAATGCGAGTTATTAACTTCTTCTCGAAGAAGATCGCCAACAGATAAATGAACGTAAGTATAGTCCTACAAAGTTGAAATCGTTCAAAAAAAATGCTTTTTGCAAATTTATTTTCGCATCTAACTTTGCAGATTCGTTCACATTGTGTACCTTTACCTAATCATAAAAAGTACAACTGAATATGGAAAATATCGAAGGTATGCTACACATACCAGCTCCTGGTGCACCGATAACAAAGATTACATTGGGTTTTTTGGTCGTCATGATAATCGTTCGTTTACTTTAATGTGTATTTTTGAACGACGCATGTTCGTTACGAATGAAAGGGTAACCCAATGACAATTTTATATCACAACGTGCTATATACAAGCGACCTCTTTTTCTTTCAGACAATTTCAATCAATTGTCGATCTGTTCTCTTTCGGCATTCAGATTGCCGAGTTGTTGATGTTGATTTTGAAACATAAGTAGACCCGCACTTTGAAGACATCGGAACACATGCTTGTTTGTGTACAACAATTTGACAGTAGATAAGTATATGGGGAAAAGTAATACTAGCTAAAAAAAACTGCAGTCGGCAGGGTACGAGTAACATGCAGCACGAGGAATATATTAAAGAGCATGTAATCTTGCAGATGATGGGCTGAACGGAAAAACACAATTCAGGCTACATCGATTGATTGTTTTCCACCATAGGTGTCTTTTACTAATATTCATGGATTGTATGCCGAGCTTCTCACACGTTCGTTTGATAATATCGACCATTATCATATAGATGTTGCGCTTTGCTCTGATTCGTTCGGTTCGCGATCGAATCCTTTCATTTTACGTTCGTTCTGTCGTATAGTATGGCTTTACCTTGCACAACCATCATGAAACACGGGTAGTTTCCAGCATTTGTTTTTGCATGATGCAATGGAAACGGAGAATTAGGCAAAGTATTCATTTATAAGGAATCTATATCGTGGCAATACCATTCATTAGATATTTTCAGAATTATGTCGGAAAAACATTACATCCTCGATATATCTGATGAACGGCACGATGATCAACGACATCAACATTACGTACATGCTTTGCGTGCAAAGAAAAGTAGATTTCAAACTGAGCGACAGTATCGATTGTGTATGTAGTTTGACTTTATTGATAAGAAAATAATAAACGTTTTTCAGATTCTCCAGAGCGCGCTCGACCGATTACTCGATTAGGAAAAGCAAAAGAGTTAATTGAAGATGAAGATGCAGACGAGGAAAGATTTTCTTACGAACCATACGAATCAATAGATATTTGGGACTTTGCTTATCGCCGATGTCGATATGAGTTCTCAATATCATATGCCATTCGATTGAAAGATGCTGACTTTCTTGAAGTACTTCTTCGCCAGTTAAAATTGAATTATGAAAATGACTTTCACCCAAAAGTTAAAGATAATTTCGGTAGAAGAAGAACAAGACATCGAAGAAGAATAACGAGAAGCGAAACAATGCTTACTGATGCAATTAAGAATGCGGATTCGCGATGTGTTGAAACAATATTAGATGGTGTATATGACGGTTTTATCTATTCAACAATTGTTGATCATGTGTGTGCTAACGGAAGAACTGCTCTTTGGCATGCTTGTAGAAAAGGAGACTTCAATTTTGTCCGTGAACTCGTAGAACGTGCGCACGCAAATGTCAATAGATGTGGAGTTTTACTCGTTGCAATTCAAAATAATCATGAGGAAATTGTTAATTATCTATTACAACAAGGATGTGATCCTAATCGACGAGTGAAAAATTATAATGAAAGTGCGCTACACATCGCTTCGCGTCGAAATCGACTCGCAATAGTCAAATTATTATTGAAATACGGTGCCGAGGTCAACGTACTCGATTATAAGAAGAGAACTCCTCTAGATTATGCTGTACATAAAAGATATGTTGACATTGCTAGAATTCTTATTGAGCATCATAATGGACGCTTCATTATGGGTCAAGCAGGATTCACCCCATTGATGTTAGCAGCATATTGCGACAATAAACCCATCGTACAATTACTTGTGAACATATTACCTGATCAACAGGTTTTAGACGAATTGCTTCTCTTGGCTTCTCGGTATACAATTGATGGTAATTTAAGTAAGCGTGATGAGGCCTATTGTTATTTTGAGAGGGCATTAAGTCGAGCAGCACCAGCATGTATCAATCCGTCTTGTGAAGCTTATGAGTATCTTACTGAATGTCAAACACTTGACGAGCTTGTTTCCATACGAAACGACGATAATAAACTACGAATGTACGCATTAGTTGTTAGTGAACGGCTTTTACTTCAGAAAGGTGAACTTAAGCATCTTCTCACACTGATTATGAAACAGAGTGATGTGTACCGATGGCAGAGACTATTCCGTCGTTGCCTACAATTACGAATGCATGCTTATCAACTACTATTACAAGCAGAAGATCATCGTAAATACGATGAGAAAGTGCAGAAAAGTTATCTTTTTCAAATTGTCAGTAGTTTATACAAGATATTGGAAACAGAAAAGAGAATACCTGTTCATTCACTGGCGCGTATTTGGTCATGGATACTCGATGAATTCAATCGGTCATTAAACGATGTCTTAATTAAGCTTCTAATGATTGTGTTTTATGTAAGTAGTATATCGTTAATGAAATAATACAGCGGATAATTTCATTTGTTCTTCTATTGTTCAGCTCTTGGAAACTAACAACATCAATGGCAATGAAAAATATATTCTTGTCGGTCTCCTTGTGCGACTTATACGTAAAAATATTTTCATAAAGCAACAATACAGTCCTTTGAGATATTTTATTAATCAAGCTGTCTCGGACGTAAATGAACTTACATGCGCTTCTGCTAGGTAATCTTTCTTAATGAAACATGAAATTCGTGATCAGATATGTCCATTTTAGTCTACCAGCATTGTCCATCATTCGATGGTTGATATATGCTGGAGCAGACGTCAATGAAACCGATTCACATTCAAAGATGACCCTGCTGCATTACATCGTACAACCCTATAACATCGATAAAGCAAGACCAATACTTCAAATTCTTCTGGATGCAGATGCACACATCGATTGTGTTAACGCATACGGTCGTTCACCAGAGGATTATGTCGATGATAGGGAAGTCAAAGAAATTCTACGAGCTCATCGAAAAATTTCGCTCAAATGTCTATGCGCCCATCTGATTGTTTCCAGCAAAATATCTTATAAACATTGTCGTTCGCCGAAATTAGTTCATTTTGTAAACATCCACAGTGACGATAATGGCGGATCCAGAGTCTTCAAGAAACCAAATGCTTCCTCAAACGAATGGACTATGGAATTAGAGTGGTAGTGAAGAAATTTACATTCGGTATAAATGACGATTAATAATACAGAACGATACAATTCGTCTTACATTCATTTCATCATTGTTCGAGAATAACAAAAGTTTCGCAAGAATTCGAACAGATTTGAATGCCATGAATAATTCTGAAGATATTTATATTTCTTTTATTAGGAAACTCTTTATTTACTAGTCATGTACACTCCCTTTTTATAGAAAATAAAAACCTCGATCATAAACTCCTTTTCAAGTTCTTGCACAACATCAATTGTTAGATAATCTATATAGATGATTATCAGAGACTATGTATGCAAGGTCCGAAGCATATGAGGAAACAGACGGACGCAACTGCGTCACACTATCCTGAGTATCAAGCTATCAGTAAAAAAATTCCTCACTATGTGTAACATGACGTTGCAAATCAATATTTTTGAAATTGCGATTCTATACAAAAGAGTACGAATGACAATCTTTCAGGTACAATCAGTATGAGCTTAGTTTCATTTTTATTCTATGGTATTATTGTTCAACTAGATGTCCACATGCGATTAGTTAATCTATCTAAGATGATCTCATCCGTTCTGTATTCATTCATGCGACGAATATTACTACGACACTGGAAATTCTGATTATGAATATCATAAGAAAGGGACTCACATCAGTTTTCGTGATGGTCGTACATTTTCTCATCGTCTCAATCTTGAGTATACCACTTGGCTTTCATTCAATCGTCCAACGCCAAAACAATTACAAATGCTTCCATCCACATATTTACCTCATCTCAAATATTAACACTTCAACGATATTGGCACTCTCGATAGGGATGTTGCTCTATTCTATTACACTATTTTTAGTCCATGTTGTATCAATATGCCATCGTTGATTTCATGTACACTACCATCGATTTCTTCATTCAATTGGAATTACTTCTATCGTTGTACGTCGACAATAAATCACACACTTCGTTCATTGACACTCATCGACGATAAAAAGATCAAATGTGAATCGGTTCCAACAATGTTTACCATTTGAATACCAAAACTTCATCAATTGAAGTTCGAATTGGATCCTAACATTTGGAACTATCAAAACACAATTGTTGTTAAGATAGACTGGGAACTTAATCAACTCTATTCAGCTAGAATTTATCGTCTTGATTAAAAGATTTTTCAAAATTGTTGTTTAAAATAGATGTTAATGCCGAATCAAGTAGTATGTTATATCAAGTGAACTTGCATTCATATTCGTTTCTCTCTCATGATCAGAACGATAGCTATCAGCTACTATAACACTTCTCCATCGCTTAGCACAGAAGCCGTGTGTCGGTAGCACGTTGGATTTAGATCGCTAGGGTTACGCCTCGTTATCGGCATAAACACTCATCGAATTCGTCGTAAAACGTTTAAATGACAGATTTTACTTGTTCAATAGATGTTGCTGGAGTAGTGCAAGGATAAAAATGATTGTTGATCACCTATTCTTTTGCCAGTATCGATAGGTTTTTCAGAATATTTTTGATAAATGTTGATTCTCGCTGCATGCTACACCTTCAATTCGTAAGTTATAACGGTTTAGCGTTCTGTTTAATACTATGTTGAAGTACTCAGAACGAAGGTGATATTACATGGGGCACTACAAAAGTTTTTTCGTCCAGCTCTCGTAAAAGACTTAGCTAAGAACTAATTGTACCGCTGTAATGCCTGGACATATTTAGGGTTATGTGCAAAACTTCAGACTTCTAAGTCTTGTGTTTTGTTGTAATTTATCACTTCTTTTTGCAGTTGCACGTTTCGCTTTTGAAAATGGACAAAATTTTTATTGATTACATTTCGGTCGTGCAACAATTAATATTTTTTCACAGAGTACGCCACTTTTTTCTTTTTTTTTCAGCTTTTTACTATCCACTATGTTTTCTTAAACAAAAACAAAGTATGGCGAAAGATGCAGCGTGAAAAGCTCTTCAATCTGTAGGGACGGTGAAAACGTGAAACAAGAATAAAGATATTTCTCGGTCGTGTTATTTTTTCGCTGTGTCGAAATTTCAGAGCGCAAAACTTTATCCATTTTAAAAGCAAAACATGCAATGATCAAAAGCGTGATCTTATGCAAATTGTAGAGCTTCATACGCTGCATTGTATGATGTCGTTTGCTGTACTAATAAAACTTATTAAAATATTAAAACCTGATACATAACATCTGATCATTAAACCCATTATTTGAGATAATGGAAATCATGTATAGCTAGTACAAAAGAAACGATAGACTACAAAAAAGCACAAGATTTAGAAGTCTGAAATTTTGCGCATAATCCGAAATGTGTCTGGGCATTAAAGCGGTATAGTTAGTTCTTGACGAAGTCTTTTAGGAGAGCCGGGCGAAAAAAACTTTTGTAGTGCCCTATGTATCTGAAGTAAACAGAAAGATGTTCTATCATGTGAAAGAGCATCGTACTGTCGATATGAGTATGATGATGCGAAATATCATTTTCCTCACATATATTTTATTATACAGAAAGAAACAACAGTACATAACAATGAAGTTTTCATACTCACCTGTATACTCACTTCTGATAGTGACTATGTTTAAAAACCATTCTTTAAATGCAGAATCTCCGAAATATCATCGACATCTCTTTCTACGTTTATTGGAACATATAAACATTATTTTCTTGCTCGTTCATTCCGTCATCATGAACTGTGTTTTTCTCTTCTTCACAAGATGTGCAGAAATCTATTTTATTCAGCGTATAAAGGTAAACTAATATGATACTTCCAGGAAAATCAGTCACTCTCACACCCTTATCCACACCTTTTATAGAAATAGAAAAGAATATAATAGCGTGTTAGTAGGCGATCGAGAATCGTTCATCCACTTTCTCGATAAAATCCCAATCATTATTTACTTTTTGTGTATGTATGTTGTTTCGTTTAATTGGCTCATCTGTGACATTGATTCCAAGAAGAGAATTTTCTTAAGAATATGGGTAAAAATTAGTGTTTTTCATACTAAGTTCGAAATATATCACGAATGTTTTTTTCTCATCGATGAACAAGTGACATGATCAAAGAAAATAGATAGGCTTTCGCATTTACTTCGATATGTGGTCCGCACAGAATGACACGTCCTTTACCATAAGTACCCTCAATGATCGTAGCTTTGTTCTTAAGAAAATCGTGAAACTTTGTATTCGAACTGTCGGTATCAGTAATCGTTGCTAACACTGACACGTTTGTTGGTAACTGATCCACTTGATAGACAGCACCATTATGATAAGTTGTTTTGTAGGTCATGTTCGACTCAGTATCGGTCAACGTTACATTAGCTCGAATGTTTGCGTTACAACCATAGAGAGAGTATCGAACTGAAAGGAGACCTATACCGACATTTTTTCGATTTTTCATATCGTTCATCGAGGCGAGATATGCACCAGCACAAAGTCCCAAGTAACCTCCACCATTGGCAACAAAATTTTGAATCAATGTAATACCATTCTCTCTTAAATGTATTTGATAACGTTTTGCAGTGCCACCAGGAACTATTAGCACATCATAGTCGCCGGTGAGCTGCGTAATATCAGAGGAAATCATGTATGCAATTTCTTTACTGTCGAAGAGGCTAATAATAGAAGTAGCATTTATCTTGTTTGTTGTAAAAATAAAGATACGCATCTGGAATAATAATATCTAAAAATGAAGGAAAATTTTTGAAGCCAAGTGTTTTTATTGCTCTAAAAATACACTAAACAATCTTTCAAGAAATAATCCACAGAGGGAATCTTAAGTAATTTCAGCCTTGTACCGAAATAGAAAAAATGCGAAAAGAAAGAACGAAAATGATTTGTGTTGAAGGTAAGCAAAGAATGATTCATCCAGATGACTAATATTTGGTGTTACAAGATTGTTTCGCGTTGCTGTCATCATCAGAACAAAACTTTTCATTCTTTCTCTTCCGCTATTCAATTTTGACAGATAGAATACATAGTTATGATATTTCCGCAGTGTTGAATTACATTGTGTGACTAAAACGCTGTAAAATCAGGTTTCTTTAGGATGAAATCAATTATGAAAATGTACGCGCTGTTCGTCTTATTTCCGCTGCGTTGAACATTTTAATTCATGCTATTTTATTTCACATAAAAAAGAGTGCTCATTATAACATCAGTAAACGCACGGTACGCATAATCTTACTCCGTTTACTAGAAAAGATGAGTACAACAGCGTCCGCTAACTCCTCACTTAACATTCTTCATACAGTTTATTGTTCCCAGAGAAAAAGGGTTAACAATTAAAATCAATACAAAGATGTTCACACACAAGTGCAGTAGACCACATATAGAACTACAAGATAGAAAGAGAAATGAAAAAGAAAAAAGAAGATGAAATACAAATCTAGAAACTGGAAAGAATTACATCACATAATAGCTAGAATATGCTTCTTCTTTCATTAGATTCGATGGAGCAACAGGAGAAAAGAATATTGTGATTTTTGTTTTTGTTTTTTGAAACAATATTTCAGTTTTTGTAAATCAGGATAGCCTCAATACTGATTCTATGGTGGTAGCATATACTTACACATGAAGTCTCTCAACTGCTCGTTGGTGTTGCAATAATATAAAATTTGTTTCTCATGTATGTTGAAAAAGTTGAAAAGATAAATAAAAGTGTGTATCGCCCGCTCTGCTAGTCTTTCTGGAAATTTACTATTGCGTCTAAATCCCATACTTTTATAATATGTTTTGTGTCTTTCAGGAGAAGTGATTATCAAGTATGATTCGATTATTTCATTATATGCATTCGCTTCACTAGACGAGTCAAGATGGTATTTCATCTTTTTCCAGTATTTGTATATATAATCACCTAGAGACTTTTCCTTAGATAAAATCATTGAGGTTAGATCTTCCCATCCCCATAAAGAGTATATCAATCTAATACCTGAAATGTAAACGTGTTCTATTTCTTTTCTTTGGTGCTCTGTAAAGAAAAACCAAAGTGAAAACAACCATATAAACTGGGGTAATGCGAATGTAAGGAATAACAGTCTTCTTTCAGTAATATCATTTCTACTAATTTTTCCATAGATTTTTCTGAGACCAGCATATATATTTCTTATTTTCCTAACACGCATGTATATGTATTCGCTCCATCCTAATTTGGGTCTGATTTCCACTCCCAAATACTTGAATTTTGACACATATTCTATTTTTTGATTCTTAAAATATATGTTTGGGTGTAGTGGTGCTACGGCATTATGAAATAAGATAGCCTTCGTTTTGCCTATATTCACAGGTAAAAGAATATCATCGGAATATTTTTCGAGCATATTCATCGCTATTCGTGCATCATGTTCTAATTGAACTATATTTTTTGATAGTTTCTTTTCAATTGATCCTTGAATCAAAATAGCTAAATCATCCGCAAATAAATGAGTGCTAAATTTTGAGAAGAATTTCGGTAGAAAATGGAGATGTAGTCTGAAAAGGGTAGCGGCGAGTACTGACCCTTGTGGTGTGCCTACTTCTATCTTAATGTTTTTCGACAACGTTTCATTGAACTGTATATGCATAGATCTTTCACTTAACCATTCAAAGATATATCTAACCAAGTTTAATGGCATATCTAATTTTATCAAATTGGTTAGAAGCACAGGGTGCCACATCTTATCGAATGCGCTTTTAAAATCAACAAATATCCCTAACATAGGTCTATTTGGTGCTGCTATCGTTAGACGTATATCTTCACAAATCGTGAGTATTCGCGTTTGTAATCTCCTATTAGGTNTATGCATAGATCTTTCACTTAACCATTCAAAGATATATCTAACCAAGTTTAATGGCATATCTAATTTTATCAAATTGGTTAGAAGCACAGGGTGCCACATCTTATCGAATGCGCTTTTAAAATCAACAAATATCCCTAACATAGGTCTATTTGGTGCTGCTATCGTTAGACGTATATCTTCACAAATCGTGAGTATTCGCGTTTGTAATCTCCTATTAGGTGTGAAACCAGACTGTTCATCGACGTAAATTCCCTGATCCGAACACCATTTTAGAATCTTTGTATGAATACATCTCTCTAATAATTTGCTTAGATTAGGAAGTAGGGAAATAGGTCTTAAACGTTCTTCAGTTGGATAACAACCGTCTTTGGATAGGCAAATAACTTTTGCTACTTTTCCCATTTCAAAAAATTCTCCTTTTTTTATACAATTGTTAAAGAGAACAGTGAGTACACTAATATAATCTGATGGGAGATTTTTTAGTAAAAAAGCCGAAATTCCGAAAATATCTGTAGATTTTTTAGAAGACATTTTAATCCACTGTTTATAGACCTCTTCTATTCCTATAGGATCTATTTCCATTTTTGGTTGATTTATTATTTTTTCGTAATTTTCGATATAATCTTTATGTTCCTTATTTTCTTTACTATGTGATGGTTTTGAAAAATGCTTTTCAAAATATCTTGCTAGCTGATCAACTATTTTTTCGTCTTGTTTTATAATTTCGTTGTTGTTCACTTTTAATCCACGAAAAGGTGGAGTATATGCTCTAAATGTCGGTTTAACGATTTTCCATATATTTTGTTTATCTTTTATATTCTTTATATATGTATCACGTCTTTCCTTCTCAAACTCTCTTTTAGCTAGACGAAATAGTGATCTAATATTTCTATAGCTGTACAAATAATCTAAACATAATGATCTTCGATATTTACGTCGCATGTTGTTGACTTCTCTTGCTAATGAAACTAAATGATCAGGCCACGGAGGTCGATATTTTTTGACTATCTCATATGAGCTAGTACGATCCCATAATGCTTTCAAAAATTTCGAGAATATTACAAAAAACTCTTGTGGTTCAATATTGTATACACATGCGTTCCAATAAGGAAAAATACATGATAGAAAGAAATTAAATACTTTCCATTTTGTTTTTCTAATAATAATTTGTTTTTCATTGGAGAAGGGGGAAGAGAATAGGACAGGGTAATGATCAGATGTTCCTATATCACTTACTTCATGACTCCATCCTATTGATGAGTAACCTATACCGAAATCTATTATTGCATCAGACCTTTTCGATGTAGGTACGGATGGAAAGATACCATCATATCCATTTTTCTCTATCCATTCTTTTAATATTATTCCGCAACCATTATTTTTTTTACAATCCCAGGAGGTATGTTTAGCATTAAAATCACCAAATAAAAAGAATTTTCTATCTTTGAATATTTCAAATGAATCTAATGGTAATTTATTATCGGGTGGAACGTATACTGCTCCCAATAGTATCTCGTTAGCTCCTAATTCGAGTTCAACCACCAGAAAATTGTCTCTTTTAGCTACTGCTTTAGATTTTATCGAGTTATGTATTAGAATAGCTACTCCACCAAAGCTATTTGTACCTTTCTGTCCATGCCAGTAATATTCGGGAATATTTGGCAATGAATTGACCATTGATCCTACCCCAGTAAGTACTGTAATCTGTGGAGTATATTCATGTAATAATATATCTAAATCTTCTGTATGAGTTCTTAAACATTCACAATTGTATAAAGCTATGAGAATATTTTCTTTTACACTTGTTGGTCTTATTGTACACCATTTCCTACTTAGATCTGATACACATACTCTTTCATTCCATTCATTGAACATCTCACTCACAATCTCCTTTTCTCTCTGCGTTCCTTCGAATCTATTTACATAGTCCAAGGTTACCTGTGTCGACGAGTATTTGAAGTCTTTATTGATCATTATTGTTGGGAGGTGAATGAAGTTCCATCAATTCGGAGGTGAATTTTGTTTGAATTAACCATAGCCTTTCCAGATTGCACATATGATTATTAAATGATGATTGCCTGTCACTTATATAATTTTGATGCTCTTTTAAATCTTCCTTTATCATAGGTATTTTTTCTTTGATTTGTTTGCCAGTTGATTTCTCACTTAATAGATCAATACAGCTGCTCATAGTATGAATTAGCTTTATGTTTATATTGAAAGTTAAATCTTTAATTATTGAGATTGTTGTATCGGCAATCTCTTTTTGAGTATTATTATTCATTTGTATAAGCAGACAGGTTTTTTGATAATTACTTGATATATTTTGATACTTGTTATTAATTTTTTCAATTTCCTGTTTGTGAATTGATTTTAAGTTGTCAAGTTCACTTTGTAGCTCTTTTATCTGATGTTTGACATCGAAATTGAGAGTAGTGCTAGTAAGTTTTGGCCATTCATCATCGGAACGAGGATAAGTCATTGATTGTTTATTCTGATTTTGAGAGGTATTAATTGGATTACTAATCACTTTTTCCGATTTATCTTTGCGACAGTCGAATGGTATAAACATTTGTATATGTGGAGGAAGCAAATTTGAATTTTTTCTTATCTGTTCGATAAGGTCTTTTCTGAATTGTAACATAATAGGACATTTATAATCATTCGCCTGATGATCACCACCACAGTGATGACAGGTAACGTGACATTGGACGTGTTCACCATCATTTCGATCATTTCCACATCGTCTACATCTTTCATAATCTAATCGACATGTTCTCTTGGTATGTCCGGGACAATTACATCTGGTGCATATTAATATTTTTGGAGCTGGGAGATATTCGTCAACTTCACATAATAAACCACCCAATGTAATTAGACCACTATTTAAAATTGTATTATATTCATTTTTTTCATATATATCGATTCTGATGTGTCTGCTTTGAAGTCTTCTCGTTCCATTCATTTCTTCAACATGATATGTTGACAGGTAACGTTTTTTGAGTTCTTCTTCGAGTTCAGTAAATGAGTAATCATTCGGAACATTTTTGATTACAATTGCATGTTGAGGCGGTAAACGAGTAGGCAATAATGGTGTAAGTTGTATGTCGTTAATTTGTTCTGGGTAATGTCTTATATCACATAGAAAAACATAGAGAGATAAGTTTTTTGTTGTCCCTACTAAATCACCTTCACTGTCTATCCACCAGTAATCAAAACCTAATGGTTCTTCATGAGTTGAATTTTTATTCTTATATGATTGTTTGATTCTATCAAAAAATTCTTTCACAAAGGGCAGAGTAGAGTTTCTGTCTTTTAATTTTGGGTTGCACTTAATCCGTAAAGGTGTAGAATGTGAACCAATTGCATAATCCATGGTTTGCTTATTAATTTGACAATTATAATTGTTATTTATATAACCATTGTTCGATGAATATCCACTTGTTTTTCGTTCATTATCATTAGAATAGTCGTTGTTATTATTTGTTGTTGTATTACGTCTCGTGTAGACGCGGTATTTACTTGTTTTTATATTTGCACTTGAATGCACTTTTAGTTCATCATTTGGATGGACATTATCATATAGTTGNTAATCCATGGTTTGCTTATTAATTTGACAATTATAATTGTTATTTATATAACCATTGTTCGATGAATATCCACTTGTTTTTCGTTCATTATCATTAGAATAGTCGTTGTTATTATTTGTTGTTGTATTACGTCTCGTGTAGACGCGGTATTTACTTGTTTTTATATTTGCACTTGAATGCACTTTTAGTTCATCATTTGGATGGACATTATCATATAGTTGCTGTAAACCATAACCATCAGCTCTTCTATCTTTTTCATAAGATGATTCTTTTGCATAGTAATAATAATCCGAAGCCATTTTTAATTGAATATTTTAATTATATGAAACTGCCCTTGTTTATGGTCAGCTTGACCTTTTCTTTTTTTTCAAAGAAAGTTTATATACGTCTTATCGAGAGAAAGGAAAGAAAGGGAGTGATCATCCTCTTTTTCATCTAGTTCGTTTGTTTGACTATGTAACGCTTCGAGACGGATTGAAAAGACAATTGTATAATTCTTCCACTGCTGTTGGTTCTGAATTGCAATGCGTCAGTCCATCAGGCACGACTGTCTCGTGTCTAAATGGATTTTGTCGAGCAATATTTGACGGAAATGGACTAATATCATATTCTAGCTGCGTTAAAAATGGATTAGTACCAGCACCCTATGGCTTAACTCTGACACAGGCAACAATGACTGACTTAAATGTCGAACAAGTATCGATTATCTATTCGTGCAATAAACCAATGTGTAATTCAAATGAAAACATTCAAGAAGTTCTGCAACAACTAATCGCGGCGAAGTTAATTTCGCAGCCAACACTCACAACTACGACACCGAAAAATATGGGAACTCTATTGAAAAATAAATACCAAGAAATATTTCTTTCTTGCTTGGCGGTATTTTTAATGCTGAAATGTTAAGCGAAAATAAAAGAATCTTAATGCATTCGATCACCTTGTAAACAAATGGTAAAAAGTTCGACGGAAATTTCTATTCAGACACTGTGACATATTAAAGAAACATAAGCTATAGAATGATTCAGCGACAGCTTATTACTAATTACTTTCAACTCTGACATTATCAATTAATTATAAGTCGAGGGAAAAAAGCAAAAATACGTCATAAGAAAATTATTAGAGTGACATCGTTTTGGAATATCTTCTGTTACGTTTACTTGTATCGTGTCTATAAAAGACATCTCGAGCTATTTTACTTTTAAACTGACATCAATGATTTTCCGTCTTGATAGCAAAACGTCCAACACACTACCTATCTTAAGCGAGCGAACGTTAAACAGTTTAAAATAGAAATCATTCCTTTACACATTTGTGCGATCAGAAATATCTTCCAATAACAAAACATGCTGGGAGTAGCTTTACACACAAGATATAATGTGCAAGACAAATTCTCTCCACTGAACCATCATAGTGGAATAATATTGAGATCGAAGAAACCGGCGCAAAAGTTCCCATGATATGGTGAAAGTGGTTTTAGAGAGCAGAAAATTCTCGTGCTTTATATAGCGGAAAACTCGATGAGCTTTTAATTTAGAATCATGCTTCCGCTTTTTCATTAAGACTTGCAGATCGAAATCGTTATTCTTCGTGATTGTCATCCACGAGCGATTGTATTTTGAAAATGCGGGACGCGAAATGTAAATAATTGACAAAAATATTGTCTTAACGAATGATTGAACAGGAAAAAGTCCACGATATTTGCTAGTAAACCCAACGCTGGTAGAACCGATAAGCTTCGATAAACAATTGGTGAAAGATTTCTACCATAATCTACACATAAAAGTATATATATTGGGGCCCAACCAACGATAAATATAGTAAATACGATAATCATATGTTTCAAAAGACGAAGATCTCGATTATTTAATACTGCCGCTCTCAAGGAAGTAATCACTTGAATACGCCTTGATGACCGGCGGACTACGACAAATATATGAATATTGATCGTTGCAAAAATAGATACGGGAAGTATAACAAGAATTATTAAAGTATATAGTTGGAGAAATATTGTCGCATAAACATGTACACATATCTAATGAAATACATAAATTTCATTCATTGAACAAGGTGTGATTTTTTTAACACTTCTATTACTTACTGATATATGTGGTAAAACTATATGTGGCAATGTTAAACAAATGGTTGTAAACCAGGTAATTATTATACTGAAGTAAATCCATCTTTTTGTTCTAAACAGAAGTCTATTTGAGTAATGAATACTAAAGAATCGATTAATCGATACTGAGCATAAAGAATAGATAACATAGCAATTAAGTATAGTTTCAATAGAATTCAATACTGAGCATCGTTGTTGACTAATAATATCATATGTCAATCCGTGATTTAAATATATCATATAGGTAATAATCCAAAACACAGCTGACCCGATAAAAGCCATACAAACATTGAGTGTCATTACATCAATTGATGAACGAAAACGTGAAAGAAAACATACAGGTGATGCATAGATACAAGCAAAGATGATCAACAGCACCATGAGAGCAAGTTTAAGAAATATCAAAATTCTCAAGAAAACTTCACTGGTACTCATTGCGATCGATTATATCAAATGAAAAAGATATTCTTGTGATGTGTTGCATGCATTGAAATTTTTTTAATAGTCACATGAGCAAATCTGTCTTGAGTGGGATATGATGAAGTTTGACGTACAATCAAGATTGCTGACGGCTTTCTTTTTTCATGACTATCTTGACATGGTTATAAAAGTTAGACGCCAAGCAACGAATAATCATCAATCAGGTTATCACTAGGCAATCTGTATCTTTTTGATTTTCGTTTCTAATATTTCGTTTTCAAATTTGAATATATTATGCATTCGTTCATCTTAATATGCTGCAAATCATCATGATGGAATATGCAACAAGGAATAAAAAGAAAAACTCTTCGATAGAGTATAATTTCATCTATGTGTATGATAGATGTGCTCTTTCTTCTTGTATCTGTAGCTTCATAAGTCGATGTAGGATGGGAAGAAGGAGCTCAACCTGCGGTCTCTACATCAACGCATAAATCAACCGATGACAAACAAATCCTAATTATCTTTATTCTATGCTATTCAGTTTTTATTTGAAATTAATCGTGAAACTCCGACATTTACGCTGTTTTACCAACACTTAGCAAATTTCATTTTGGTGTCGCACCTGGATGGATATTAGAGTTTTGCGAGTTTTTTTAGCGTTGCAGTCATCGTGTCCTAGTATCTCATCCTTTTGTATGAGACTCTTGTTATATACTTTTCATCATTCTTTGAGAAGACAAAGATTTTCTTTAATTAGACTTGTTCAAAACGAGAAAAGGTTCGTCTATTCCCTGAAAGTGAAAAATTACGATAGTTAATAGTTTATCATAAAAGAATCTTCTAGAATAAGTTTTACGTTGTAAATAATCTGAAGACAGTAGCGGTACAGAGATAATTGAGCTATAGCCACATTTTTCTATCATGGCTTTAATAAAAAAAAAGAGCCGAATGAGATTTGCCTGAAACATACTGTGTGTTATTATGAACTTGTAAGGAAGACTATCGCTGTATGGTTTTTGTCACCAAAAACGAAAGTCTTTGACATCGTAGATCAGTTTGAGATAAAGATGACTTGCAGCTATAACATGTTCGCAGTTTCAGTATTGTGTAGGAAATATTCTTCTAACATTCAGAGAGCGAAATTGCACATCATGCGTATTAGATTATTTTCAGTAGACCAAGCATAACAAGTCATCTTGTATCTCATTATTAGAAAACTAAACTGTAATTAAAATGGATATAAATTACGCATATACACGATTATTAAAAGGATCGTTGGTAGCATATCCGAAGCAAAAAATATATGAAGTTAACATGTACACGATGATTTCGTGCGACAATTTACGCATGGAGTAGCTGATCTGTGTTGAGGTGAGGAAATACACAATGATTAATCATTTGTATCTATCATGATTTATTCTAAAGTACAAATAATTGAAATTTTAAATTGAGTTTAAGTGCCTTGGTTCATATGGTATGTGCTTATTTTGAGTTAGTAGGGTGGCAGGTGAATGAGAACGACAGAACGCAAAAGAGTATCTTTGACATGTAGGGAGAAAAAATGGAAAAGGAACAGAATGGAAACAAAGTCATAATAATAACAATAGTCTCTTTAGCATGGGAGATGTAAGAGAGGAATGAATAATTTAATCTCACGTAGTAGCCTTTTATCCATCTGCATATCAAAAAAATATTACACGCAACGACATTCAAAGATAATTAGTATGTTCATTTAAAATTTTTCTCGAAATACAGTCAAATATTCAGTTACTTACTTCTTGGTATAGTACATTCTGAAACACACATAATTATATTGTCCTAACGAAATAGTTTTCTACAAATTCCTATAGTTAGCAGAATAAAAGCAGGTGAAAGTAGTTCTCCCATTTTTTTCGATCACATGAACCTAAAAGTTGGCTTCAATTCGTGTAGCTAAAAATTATGTCAATGTAAATAACTTACACTAGTCAAGCATCAGTCTGATATTTTCTCTTTCTCCAAATACTCTGGAATTGAATATGCTTTTCTCTTGTAAGTGTAAGTTATGGTAGTAACCAAAAGTTCCTATCCTAGAGGATTTCGGGTATTGTAGATACTAGAAACCTGAAAATTTGTATGTATATACTCTCTGAAGAATGCAGATTAGAGCCACAATTTCGACTCGATTGCTTCGATGCAAAGAGAATTATGATAGATAAGATTTGTTGTTGTGTCTGGCTTTCTAGCTTAAAAAGGATTCAGTACTTCATTTGACAGTGCAAAATTTGCACTGCATTTTATCAGATATATGATTAAGTCCTTATAGTTCGGCATGGAGTTAGAGTCAATCGTATAGTTTCTTGTTATTCAAGATATCAATTCATTTGCTCGAAAACTTTCTTTTCTGGATGTTTTCCAATTTTAGTCATCAATCCCATGAATTCATAAGCTTTGCCATTTTCTGTCACTCGATAATTTTCTTATGAAACTTGTAAACACCAACAATCATGCTAAGTGTAAACTTTTCTTAGAATTCGAGGTTCATCTACTGAATTTCTATTGCGTTATTCTCTTAAAAAGACACATACGATTTCTGTTCATAACCAAAATTACAACCTAATGACTACAGTTCTAGAAAGAATTGATGAAGTTTTGTCAAATTCATTGCGTGGATATCTGAAATGCAGCGCTACATAATGAGCCAATAGTTGACATACAGCTTTCATATTTTATAGAGTTATGAATCTCAAAGAAGTAATAGATGTCATTCGTGCACACTCCTCACAGTTCTTCTTGTATCGAATCAATCGAGTCAGAATTGTGACTCTGATCTGCATTCTTTAAGGGGCACATGTATAGAAATTTTCGGGCTTCCAGCATCTGCAATAGGCAAAATATTAGTGTGAAGCTTATTGCACGACGAAACGATGTGTTAGCTAAAAACTTTTTTACTAAATAAGCCCCACCCATGAAAATTGCAGCATTCGACTCAGAATTTAGTTATGCATCGAAAGATGAGAGTTTTGTTTACAGAACAAACTTTGAAAAAAGTCTTTTTAGAGTTTTGTCTCCTATGCAGAAAAATAATTAAGATGTAGGTAACATTTTTTTCAAAGTTTATCCCGTACATGAAACTATCATCACCCGATGTAGGGTTTAATTCTGACTAGAATGGTGTAATTTTTTATGGACGGAACTTATTTCATAAAAATTTCTTTAGCTAACAGACCGTATCGTCGTGCTAGGTTCACACTGATAGCCGAAATCATCTGGAGTCGGAACATTTGGCCACTACTGTATATTACTTGAGACGGAATTTAATTCAGTTCAAACTTTTTCGAATTAGTAGTAGAATTTTTTTTCCTTGACTGAAAGGAGAGTGATAGGGGAGAAAAAGTTTGTGTCTGGGTAAAATGTCAAAGCAACCTTTTTTTTGAAAATACTCAAAACTTCATAAAACATCGTTTGGAAGATTTTTGAGGCTCGAGGCTAGTTGACGGGGTCAGGTCAGAAGAACACTGAACTAGTGGAGATGCCAAGGGTGGGCTTGAACGGTCTGAGCTCCCCTAAATCGCTAATTCTGGCGCCGCCTCTACACTGAACCATAGGGTCAGATTAAAGAAAGATTCTTTCTCTACCTGCAAAGAGGATCATACGGAAAAGGATGGATTGAGTAGGAGTGAGATGCAATAGTACTACTTATATGACTGATACTCGAGAACTTATGGTAAAAATTGTAGTCTGGGAATGAATGTGCAAAGTTTAAGTGGAAAAATTCGACACTTTCCATGATCGCTTAATCAAGTAGCAAGTCTAGAAATTCGATTCATCATCGGAAAATTTATTCTTCTGCGTTAAAAATGCAACTAAATATATTGTGTATGGTCGAGAAGAAGATATAGATTGTAACGGCTGATCGTGAGTGAACGTCAGTTTGTAAGACTTCTCATGAGTGTAAAGAATAAGATTCTTGAGTCGAGACTCTTGATGTTTAATAGATTTTCGAATAAGGCGGATTGCAAGCGAAAAATCGTTCCTAAAGGAATCCATTGATTTGTCCTAACGATTAGTTTATTTAAAACAGTTCATTCGGAATGTAGAACTTTTTCAGTTGAGATAGCTAGGATATATATTTTTTATTTCTTTGGCTGGAGTTAAGCGAGTCTGCATCAGCAAGCGCTACCAGTTAATATTTTTGCAATAAAGCTGCTTGTCAAAAATGAGTAAACCTGCCAGACAGGTTATATACCTCAGAAAACATATTAGATAAAATGCATACACACCATTCCAGCCGTGTATTTATGGTAGAGTTCATTTTTTAATTGTGACATGTATATGTGTGTTAATTTCTTTCAAACACTGTAAAGCAGCAGCTCGACGAACCATTAAGCAGAATGTTGCATTTGATAAACGGGCGTGAATTGCAGGACACAAAAAATGTCAACTTTTCTCTCATGTTTACTAAGTGAAAATTCCGATGTAAAGCAGCACTGGCGACAAGTAAACTGCAAAAATCATAAATAAACTTAGTAACTTTACGACAATATTAAGATCTTTAAGGAAAATTAGTATACACTTCCGCTGGCTCAGTTCCTATCAGAAAGCATTTGCAAACAGATACATGATGAGGAAAACGCTACTTGGATGTCATATTATTCTCATGCGAGTAATTTAGAACGCATTCGAAAAATATTTCGTACGTAATGTGACTTTATTAGAGCTAATTATAAGTGCTGCAGTTACCTCTGTCTATCAGCTTTTCTGACTAAAAGTGCATTGTAAATGTTGTCATATTAAAATTTCTCGTGTAGATCGCCCAGTAGCATAAATAGGATGTCTCAATTAATAGTTCAAAAGAATTGCGAAAAACCTCAGAGACAACGAAAACACTCGTCCCGGCTACGTCATTGTCAAGTGTGTGGTGACAAAGCATATATCATCAACTATGGCGCACTCTCCTGCCAATCATGTAAAACCTTCTTCCGTCGTCACGGTTGTCGGTCAAAAGTGTGTACTTGCCTATAATAATCATCTCTTCTCATGGCTACTATCTGTTTTCTATTATAGACTATTCGTCCATGCCTTTTTAGCAACTCGTGTGAAATCAATATGAAAACACGACGAAAATGTACAGATTGCCGCTTAGCTAAATGTTTGCTAGTCGGAATGAGTTCAGATTTGATCCGCAAACAGGAACAACAACGAACAAAACATTCACCATTATTTGATTTGAATTCAAAAAATTCTGTATTAATTAAACAAGAAACGGTATGAATGCAAAGATTACGTAGTATTTCATCAGTATTGTGTAGCTTGAAGAAGGTCGACGGCACTTATTTAGTATTATGACTTGAACTTTGACTTTAACTGATAAGCCAGGATGAACGGCCTGTCTTCTTTTTATGTAGAATTTTAACACACCTTTGTCAAAATGTTTAATTGATGAACCGTTTTACATTTAGTTTGCGCCTCAACAGTGGAAGTTGGACTTTTCACGCGAGTCTCGACACGAACTTCTTCACTCCGAACAGAAATTGCTTTCAAACATTGCTCACGCATTCAACACATACAACGCACTGCCGCAAATTCGTCGTGTTATCCATAGCTTATCCACATCCTGTCTTAGTGCACATTACAATACAAGGAATCTCCTCAAAATTGTCGTTCTTAGTTCATTGTCAACAAGATCGATTCTCAATTCTACGCCTGATTTTCGAATATTAACTGTAAATGAACAATGTTCACTTATCGAACGTAACTTCAATGGTATTACACCTTTGTATACAATTGCAGTTCTGCGTGATTTAGACACCATTCACAATTATCTTTGCATGAAAAACTTAATCTCGATGTATGGTCTAAGTGTTATACAACAAGCTGTTCGTTTTTATCAGCAACTGGATAACGATCCAAACATTGTAAAAGTCATGCTGATTATTCTAGCATTTTCATCGAATTGCTCAATCATCGATAGTAAGAACGGAAAATATAATGATAGTCTGCTGTGTGGTACACATCGACTCTTAGGAAGCCAAAATAGTTATACGGAGCTTTTATGGAAATATATGGTTTATAACTACGGTTATTATGTTTCAGCAGTTCGTTTTACTCGTCTAATGGCAGTGTGTCTTAATTTAATCGAGACTTCAGCGAACATCTACATGGCAAATAGGGCTTATCAAGCCCTAGTCAACGGTATTATTGAAAATACAAAGAAATTACTGATTAGCAATCAAAATGAACCGATTTCATTATGGGGAAAAGATTAGTGTCTTTGCCAAAACTTATATTGACTTTCTTGTGTTACTATATATTGTTGTTTTGTTAGTTATTCGAAAAAGGATATAAAAGTAAGATATTCTGCTTTTTGGAGAGTAGATTCTTAAGGATGTATGAAGTTTCTTGTTTGAGTCAATAAAGTAATTATTTAAAAAAATTTGTCTAATGTTTATGCACCAAATACACAATGCTAATCACTTATTGGTTTGAGAGGCAATTAAATAATTAATCCAAGCTTGATACTAATTATTTTTATCTTTCGTACAATATATTAGTATTAGAATAGTGTCTCACAGTCACTTTCTAGAGCATGATCCATTGGTTCTATGATATTGTTGATGATCACATCGAACGTCTTTAGTTTAATCGCCATATATTCACAAGAAACAAAATATCGCTTTCCCTTCGCTCTATATACATGAACGGTTACATAAACATGCATGTAGATATATACCAAACTGTGTTTTATCTTTCCTAAAACGGCTTCATAAGTTTACTTTTTCCTTTCAATTCTGTACAGTTAGATCAGAGAACAGAAAATTGTTACGTTGACCTGTCTAAAGGAAAATAATATGCACCTCGATAAAGAAAAAGTAGTCTGAGAGGCGTCAATCGCATGTTGTATAGAAAGCGTGTTTCTCTAAATAGAAAAACCATAATGGTTTCACTACGAATGATGAAGTGCAACAATATATCGTTTTCATTAACATCATTATGAAAACGAAGAAATGTGAGTCAGTTTTAACCTTGTTTTCATTGTTATTCGGCTTTATCTGGAACAGCTCCCTTATATCTGTACCTCTTGACCTTCACAAGAATTGAAAATTCAGTTGTTGTATAAATTATGCCGGCGATTAACTATTCGCTCTTACTGTTGTATGAATCAGTCCGTGCTATTATTTACAATTGTTCTGATATTTGAATATATTTGAATGCAAATATTTCTGCCCTAGCGATCTACTACTTTAAAACATCGCACACCTTCAGTTAAAAGTTAAGAATATCATGAAAAAACCTTACCGGTATGTCCATTGAGCAAAATTATTTCTCATCTTCTAGTAGCATAGAGCTCAGGTAAATATCGTGATCTGCACCTTATATACAGCTATTTATTGAGAAATGATAGTTTAAACATCTGTCTATCGAATTAAATTGATTATAAAAAAAATATTCTTACTATTGATTTGACTTAGCAACGCGATTCCCCGTCATTTCGAAACAAAAAACGAATAACTGAGTAGGTGGTTTTCATGCCATAACGAGAGAAATTGCAAGTGATTAAGACAGTTTTATTCATTTACATTCGAAGATGGATGTGCTAGTCCGTATCTAAGAGTCTATGTAGCCAATGCCTTTAATAAAATAGCTGTCTTATCTTACGGATGTGTTTATTGTTTTAGTAAGTTCAACAGCTCAGTCGGATGCCGTAGAAGCGACATTTATCTGCATTGGTCTTGGTCAACACACTCCAATTCCGATGCAGTTTTGGAAAATGCAAGGTATCTGGCAGTATCAACTGGGTATCACAAAGTTGACCAAAGGTCAATATTTTCAAAAATGGTGCACTCGCTTGTCAATATGATCTTATCCTATTTTTTGTAAAAATCTAACTGTTTTTTTAATATAGCACACTAAATAAAGATTTCAAACAAATTTTCTTATCTTACCATTTGTGAGAACGCGTAGACTACAATTTCAAAAGGCAAATGTTGATCATCTATCTACACAGTTGTAATCAACGTACAATTAGTTCACGTAGCATATTAACATCTGACCTTATACTCCTTTCATGGAATTTATTGAGTTATTGATATGTCTTTTAAATTGCGATCGAATATCATACTAGGTAAAACGTCCGAAATGCTTAGAGCAAATGGTACGTATTCTTTGCACGATGAGTGAGCAATGCAATAATATTTGCAAAAAAGAATTCTATATCAAGTACATACCGCTTTTAGGTTAGTTATATGTGGCATGTTAACGAGCGAAATACAAGTCAGAATAAGACTACACGAGGCTATAAAAATGTAATATTGATTCGTACTCTTGCACGCTATAATAGATAGCACGTCTTCATCGAATAATGGCTGAATGTATGAGGGGAACAGATAAAAATGGGCAAATATTCTTGTGCATTTCTTTTTTGTATAATTATTCTTGAGTGATACGTTTAAAGCGCAAATGTAATCATAAAAGATCTGTCATTTTTTGTTTTGTTGCATATTATGGTTACAATTTTGCACAGTGAAGAAGGAAATGCTTTTTGGACTCTTAAAACACAATATCGTTTTTACGTTTGTAGACAGAGACTAAATTCTTGACTCCTGTTTATTAGAGAAACCAATAGAATGAATACGAAAGACAAAATGTTATTTTGACATCTAGTATCCTCATGACTCTCAGTGAAAAAAGAAACGAAGGAAGGGAGGAAAGAATAATGGTATAGCGAAACATATCCACTTACATATAAGAATTTATTACGATATACGACAATAACGCCATTGTCTACACCTCAGTAAATTTCTTCGGTTTTATTACTGTAAGTTACTCTGATATTCTTAGAGCAAGGCAATAATTTATCTATATTCGCAGCTTTTGAAACGTCGCTTTTTGTCGGAGATATCTTTTCTGAAAGTATTTATCAATAAGATAGTTTCATAGCACTTCTGGCCACTCGAAGTCTATTCGTAAAATCTACATAAAGAAGTGAGATACGATACGTTCTACAACTAGCCAGTTCCTATTAATAGTAACTAATGCGTATTCCGTTTAACTTTTATACTATGTTTGCAAGGCGTAGGGCTAATATCATAAGCAGTATGGTGGCGGTTTAGTACCTCGTCTAATTTCTATATAGCTTACTGATATCTTCAAGATTGTTAAAACCATCGACAGAGCTACATGTTATTTTAGAGTATCTCTGATACTACAGAACCTAGAAAGCTTTTCCCTTATCAGGATTGCTGTTTCTAACAGGTTTTTCTCGCTTTTTCAGTAAAATGGTAAATATAATTACCTTACTTTCCATCGCTGGTTTTTCTACTGATTATAATAGAATTTGCGAGATATTCCCTCTTTTGACGAAAGATTCCATTGAATGCCATCTCGTTCAAATATCGAAATTCAAATACATTCTAGAGCGCTTATCACAACGATATTTTAGAAAACAGATACTTGAAATAGACAATGCATGAAAGTCATACATAGTCCTTATATTTATGACTTGCCTAGAAGTAAGCAATAATTTGCGTATCATTAGCGTACCAACTAAATCGAATTTGTCTTGGAGAGAAGTGGAAAACTATCAGTTTTGATTACTTACTAATAGTGGTGTCAAATTTACATGATTGCACAGAGTAACCAATATGCATTAAGTAAGATAAGCCATCCTATTAGTGTGCACGTTTTGTAAATCTTTTTCAGTCCCTTTTCTTAAAAATCACAAAGATTTCCACAGTATCCACCATCACATAAACAGGGGGACTGAGATTTTCTATATTATATCTCATCTGGGTGTCTTTAATGCGTAATCTTTTTAGAGAAAAAAAAAGCGTAGTTAGATGTCCTCGAAACGACATTTATCTGCATCGTTGCCATCACTGTGTACTGATGACTCAAAAACTCGAATGCATGAAGGCAATATGATCAAGTCAAATATCTGTCAAATATGTGGCGACAAAGCGAATATTTTCAATTATGGTGCACTTGCTTGTCAATCATGTAAGATGTTTTTTCGTCGAAATAGCGTTCATCCTGATGTTTGTATTCGTTAATGGTCCCATGGGACATCAGTCTTATGTGTACATATATTTTTCAGCGTGTTCGTCCATGTGTGTGCAATAAACTATGTGAAATAAATGTCTATACTCGACGTACTTGTTCAGCCTGTCGTCTTACCAAATGTTTCACAATGGGTATGGATACATATTTAATTCGTAAAGAAATTCAGTCAAGGAAAACAAATGTATCGAGAATACAGTCCAAATCCAATCAAGTGTCCATATGTGATCAAGAAAGAGTATGTATAAGTTAAACAGTAGATTCTTTCTGATAAATATCCCATCTAGACATCATGAGTTACAGTTAAAACTTAACAACTATACTGCCTTGTAGAATTTTCTCATATTTTCCTATCATGATTGATAAATGAGAAAACTCGTCTTTCTATTGTAGTCTATTGTGCGATTGTTCGGATCGGATTCATCAAGAAATAATCGATCATTACTCGACAATGTGGAATGGACTTTACTTTCGAATATTGTTCATGCATATGATACTTACACAGACGTATCACCAATCAATTGTTATGTAAAACAATTATTTATTTCGTCTTCGTCAACGTCAGATATGGCTTTGAAATTAGCCAATGTCCGTGAAATAACCACTTTCGTGTATAAATCCATCCAATCATTCATTAGTGCCTCACCTGACTTTAGAACATTGACTGCTGGTGAACAAACTTCTCTTTTCGAGCGGAATTTACCTTGTGTGGCTGCTTTCTACTTAACTGTACTCTTTCGTGTCACCGGTATGACTCGTAGTTCTCAGTGTATAGACGCATTTGCTTTGGTTTATGGATCTGATATGATGGAGCAAACTTTACGAATTGATCAACGACTTGACGCTGATTTAACTATTGTTAAACTTACGTTAATGATCCTTGCATTCTCATCCAATTGTTTTCTCGTACATAAGATAGAAAACTTCCAGAATAATAGCTTCTTACATGGCACTTACTGTTTATTGGGAAGTCAAACTGCCTACGTCGAACTGTTATGGAAATATATGACATACCGATATGGTTATGATGATTCGATACGTCGCTTTTCTCGATTAATCGAAGTAGTTCTTGATCTGATTAAATATTCGAGCCACATCTATGCAAATAACAGCAAACATCAAGATCTAGTGGAAGGTGTTTTGGAACAAATGAAACGATCAATACTAATCGAACACAACAAACAAGAACCATTATGGGGTAAAACATAACATTTTCGTTGTTTTCATATTGAAAAGATTTGTCGACACGAATTGAAATAAAATAAAAAATTCAAATGAAATACATCAAGAAACATTGTCTGTCGCACTGTAAAATGAACTTATTAATATGGCACCATGTGACAAACATGAGTGAAGGGCCACCCAAAATGATGAAGATACTCTTGATATTCATAACGTTTCTCTCAAGAAGTATGGTGACGATGATGACTATGTCGTACGCATACGTATATGTATTTTCATCAGTTGTTTCCACGCGATAAAACTCTTTTGATATTCACATGTCTACCTTTACAAATTATATTGTCTCACTAAAGACTTCAATGGAAACATTTTACCTTTATATTTCAGACTGCTCTTTGAACTCGACTTGCACTCAATTCGTTGCATATATAAGTAAAATTGTGCTTCTATAGAGAAACACAAATCATCAACTCTAACTTTTGATATTTGAAATAACTGAATGCATGATAGAATTTAATTAACAGCACATGAATTCTAACTGATGGAAAATATTGTTAATCATGCATATGATGCAATCATTTAGCTGATGTTCTTTCTACTTTGATCAATATTTATATCGCTTTCAATGAACTATTATTTGATTGAATTGTTCGAGAATGAACTTTTCAGATATTTTAATGATATTTATCCTCTATCGAACGAATTCAATGCCTTCGAATAAATGATTTGTTGTTATTTCCTCTTTAATTAACAACTTGCTTTCATAGACTTGAATGTTACTAACATTAACCTGAATCATTCCTTTATAATAAAAGAGAGAAGGCGAAACATCATGCTCGATCAACATTATTAATTTGCCTTGTTTCTCCTTGCTTTCCCCTATTGAATACACGATCGTGTTAGAATAATATGAAGTTGTCTGCAATATGTTGATTCAATATATATGTATGTATACTAGTTAGTCCAAGTTCACTACCGCGTCAAGTGCTGTTATCTAGTCATGGAATAGCAGAAAAAAAAAACTGATATAATCTATAAATGGACCAGCGGAATAGATATTGAAGGGAGATGAGAACGAAGAGTATCTAAATGGACGTTTTTCTTTTTTTTTCTTTCTCTCTTCTTCTCTTATGGATTCCCACCGAAGCGGAATGCGTGATCGAATGAGATGTGCACTCGTTGTCTCCGTTGATTAACATCATCCGCATGCAACTACTTTTGGTTGGCGCAACCAGAATGAGCGATCTTCTCGTCTCTTTTATTCTTTATCGCGAATTTATCTATCTATATATATATATAAGAATGTGCATGGAGTCGACAACTGATGACGACTGCAAACGATTGCGCGATGCAATGGATTTAATCGAAGTGCGAGGGAGAGAAGGAGAAACGATCCCATGTGTGTATGTGTGAGGGAGATGCTATTATCATCATAGTGCTCGATCAGCGAACAAGAGATATCTCTGCCGTTTCCTTGTTTTCCATCGTTTGATTGTTTATGAAGTTTAAATTCTACGAACGCATCATGCAGACAATAAACAAAAGTCGATGTATGTTGCTCCCATACAATGTATCTAGAGCCACAAGAAAAGGATTTTCTTCATATAGAACATTGACAAGAGATGCGACGCATATGAATTGTTGTTTGAGATCAGCTAGAAGGAAAAGAATTGTCGGTTTAAAGAAAGTAATTCTAGCGTTAAAATGACAACTATTGAAGACAGATCGATTGGACATGGTACGTTGTCAATCGCTTTGTTCACATGATTTCACAAAAAGGAATACGTAAGTGACATTTATTTCTCTTGAATTAATGAATAAAAATCGTTTGATTTATATCTCACATTTGATCTGACCAAGACTATCTTTCGCTTCTATTTATCTTTAATCGAATTGTGTCTATTATTAAAATTAATTTAATTATCAAATATAATTGAAAACTAATTTAATATTTTATATAATTATAAGAAAATCAAAAAAAAAAGAGAATTGATGATAGCATTAATGTTAAAATGATCGAAAGCTGCCATGTGAACAAATGCTATCGATGATTTGTACATAAGACATTTTCTTAGCGATGATCTATCATAACAGATGGTATTCTTTGTCGACTGCCACGTTTCGCTCGTACGGGCACTATTATCAGACATGTAGAAGATGACGATAGATGCAACAAGTAGCCGCAAGAAAAGATCAATATCCGTTTTTTTTATATACACACTCTTTCTGATGTAAATGTCACTCAGAATAAAGAAGCAAATCATCGCCATCATCACCTTTACGAACAGTCGTCAACGTCGTTGTCTTACAAAACTTATTGACATCGATCTTCTAGCTGTGTTGTCTGTCATCATGATGGTTTCAATTATCATGCACATAGGCAATCTTTCGTTTAATATTATGTATATAAATATGAGAGTAAGAGAGAAGGAGTGAATGAGGGAAGAGCAAGAAAAGAAAATCAGAAGAGAAAAAGTTATATTTATATTACATCAATAGATAATTTATCAGAGTCGCTAGTGAGATGATTGTTCGATTATATATATGTGTGTATATATTTAAATTCTGAGAGTGATTTTTTCCTGTCACCATGCGTACCAGCCACGCCAAATAGATCAACATATAAATACACATAGCTATACTCACGCATACAAAGACTTTTTCTTCTCTTTTTTTTTCTTCATTCTTTTTTATGAGTCGATTTCTTTCTTTTTTCTCTTTCGCTAGTTCTCATCGACGAAAGCAAATAACCGAAAAAATGAGGAAAAGAAAGAGAGAGCAAGAGAAGACGAGTTTGCTAACATACATCACACTATATATATATATATAAATCTCATTCTTCGTCTCTCTCTCTTTTGTAATGTTAGCATGGCGTGTACATAACACATAGTCAGGAAGAGAGAGGGAGAGAGAGAAAAGTGACATTGCGCTACAAACACATCCAACAACACTCCGTCTCCACTAAAGACACATATATGTAAGAAGTGTCTAATGATCAGAATGATGATAGAAAGATCATTTTTATACATCGAATGACCCACTTAACTTTCCTCATCATTTTCTTTCAACAACTACAATACATATTCCATTGCGATTACATGAGACTCGAAGGTATGTTTATACATTGAAATCTTTTACTAATTCCACGAGAATCTTATCCGACAGACATTATCTTTATGTTGGAATAAACACGTAAAATTAATCCATATTATATCAACAAATGAATTGATTTCTACTCTTGTTTGATTTCTACATTAGAGATAAAACATACGTCGGACAGTTGCTTTACATAGGAATCAGCTGGAAGTCCTAAACAAAAAATAATACATTGCCAAAGAATAACACAGGAGCAAAATCGAGTACATAAGGTCTATCATCAATCAGTATTTCCTTAGATCAATAAACAATTCAGCAAGAAGGTGATCATATCTACCAAGAAGGTCATAATAACAAGAAAATATTGTAGGTGATTCGGATAAAAAGCAGAGATATTTATTCCAAGGTTTACAAAGCAACAGAGAAAAGGAAAAAGCTCCTGGACTCCTCTCCAATATTTAACCTATTGGATTGATCTTTTTATCTTTATTGATTTCTAGTTGTGCAAACTTCTAAGCGTTGGTAGTACACGCCTGAAATTTTTCTCAAACCTTTGCTCATATGTGAATAGGTGAGCAAAGTTTCAGGTGTATTGATCCAACACATAGTCGTCATTTCTCAATGCATAATCAACTTATTGAAGTAAGTGTGTCTTTACTAGCACCTGTTTATACACGAAGACAAATAATAGCAATAGCAATACCACTTGAACAAATATGCGTGTCAATTAACATATCTCGATGTCGACGAATGCATGTGGAAAGAAGACAAAAGGCCAGGGATCGATCTATTTCTCAGATGATGACTAACGATGTCAGGTTTATCCAGATACACGTATTTATGTGTGTTTATTCCGGAAAAATCCTGCGTTTGCTTTGTTTGAAACGATGACTAACTAGAATTTCTTTTTTCTGTACAAAATTCTCGATGAGTAAAATCACGAATTTTTAGTTTTTAACAAAACAAGAAATGCATCTAATCAGACAATACTTGAGACAGGTTCTTCACTCGTCTCATTGTTTTATCTTTGAACTTATCATTAATTGAATAATAAATGTTTAAATAAAATATTTCTCATTCTCAACTAGACACAAGAATCGCTTCTTTTCTTTTGATTTTCCATCAGAGATAGAGTTGGTCCCAATTGTATATGCGAGGATTCACATCTCCTATCATTCTCCTATCTTATTAATTATTGCATCGGAATCGGATGTGTTCTTCCTCCTTCTCTTCTAGCCTAATTTGATTAAAGATAAGTAGATCCACTTGTATGTTGTGCTTTACTTTACTATAGATGTAATTAGCTTGTTAGGTTCGTTGTGGTTTATTGAGAAAAAAACCCGAGCATGAATAAATAACAATAGTTACTGATTGATTGCAGCCTCATTCAGTATCAGTCTCTGCAGATAATACGAATATTATTAGACAAGCGAGTGAATCGATATGAGAAAAAAACGGAGAGAGAGCGAGAGAGAAAGACGAAGAAAACGTTTGTTTTCATTTGTCGCTGAGAAATCTATGCAGTAAGTATGTCGATAAGAATCTCGTTATATTCTCAAAGAATATTGTCTGCACTTGGGGGAAAATGTAAAATGAGATGTTCCAACAAGGTCTATCGGATTGTATAATACCCGTCCATAAATGTATAAACAGATGTATTAATAAAGATTTTTTTTTGTACCGAGTGGTATTTAAGATCAATATGTGTACAGTTGTATAAATCTTTATTTTAGAATATTTCAACACTGAAGTCGAGCCTTCGTTTTCTTTTCAGTGTAATCGAATGCGGCATGCGCAATCTCTATCCGAACATGGCTAATATTGACGCTTTACTCTCATTCGGTTCTTTTTGTAGACGTCAATCTCTTTTTCTCTCACTCACTCTTTGTGTTTTATTTGAACAGAAAAAAAAAGACAAGAGACAGAGATATTTGCCTACTTTTAATTACACGACGACAAGCAGCGAGCGTGCGCGCGTACAACAGAAAAAGAAATGTCAACAAAGCAAGTCTCACATTTTAGTTTTGATGATGTCCGTCTAATAAATATGCTCAATCAACTCTCTAGTTAACGTGTGCACACATATGTAACTGTAATCTATGCAAAAATTATCTCAACGATTTGATTTATGAAATCAAAATCATGTCAGTGGATCAACATCTGTTGTTGATTCGAGATTATTGAACTTTCTCGTTTCAGCGAACAGATGATTTATTAAATTGATAAAGGAAAGTAATCGATCGGATGACTTTTGAAAGGTTTGAAAACATCGGTTCGAGTTTTATTATTAATGTAATAATAAAAGTAATTTATTTAACTATATATCATTTCAATTTTACGAAAAGCAAACCATAAACATGCAAATTTTAAGTTTTATTTAAGCTAACGATCTTGTATTGAACACCATTGATGAGTACAATCGAGCCATCGAGATTATTTGCGTCAAGTTCAGCTTTTTCTGATTGTTGTTTTTCGGTTGTGTTAATCGTTAGGACCGCGTTCGGCGAGTTTTCCTTTGATTGAAATGGTACACTAGGTGATTTGGCGGTTGATTTTGGTTCGGAGTCGATCATTTGTTCGATATCGATCCCAGTGTGTTGTTTAAATAAACTTTGCAGTTGTTCGTATTCTTCTTTTACTACTGCCAAACGTTGTATTATTTCTTCATTATCTTTTTCCAATTGAGCGATTGATGCTAATGTGAGTTCGCGTTCACGACGAGACTTTTCTCGTGATCTTTGGACACTCTTATTATTTTGGACACGTAGTTGTTTGTAACGTGGATCGTTGCGTGAAACGGGGCGACGGTGCATTGTTCTTACAATAGAACTTTCTTCTGAATGAGACACTGACACTGATTTTCGTCATTCTTATTTTAAACCTCGGCTGCATGAGAAACTAGATGATGACAGACCGTAAAATATTGGCTGGTCATGACACATGTGAAACGAATCAAAATCTTTGCAAGTTCCTTAACGAAGAGGATTGATTATGAGAAACATAAATGCTCTGTTGACAACTAGCGACATCTCCGGAACGTACTCAGAATAGTGTATTTGAAAAAAAGAATCAATATGTCGATTTAACATCAAAATCAAAGTATGTACTGGGAAATGGTTCGTTTTTGAGTGTGTAATGCCACCATTCTTTTGAATAATTGACAAAGCCAGCTTGTTCCATAATATTTTTAAACATTTGCCGCATTTGCTGTTGAGTTTCATTGACAAGTGAACTATTTGTATGAGATGCTTCGTCGAACAAATCGAACGATGAACCCATATCGACTGTACCATCATCAAGGAACAAAATTGTTGAATTATCCTTCAGCGTTCTTTCGATTGATGTCAAAGGACGTTTAACACGTTCTCCGATAGGAATGATCGTTAAATCAATAGTACTTCCTCGTGTATGACCCGATTTTTTTGCAATATATCCCAATTTAAACGAATTTACTTTGTCAACTCGAGGATAATAATGCGTTTTCTTCGTTTGAGGATCGTTAGCATCTTCACTCCATCTAACAAAATGATTGACACTTTTCTGTGGTCGATAACTATCATAAATAACCAATTCATAGCCTTTGTCTTTAGCTAATTCTTGTGCACGTTTCAGAGCCAAAGCTGCTGCTTCTGTCATAATTGACACTGTCTCCGAATAGTAACCATCGACAATCTTCCCTACAAAATTTTCTTCAGTAGCATAACGTAAGCTAACTTGAATATCTGGTATCACAGTGTGCACGTAGACAAAACCTGATGGTAAAGTTTCGGACGACGAACTCATTCTACGACGAAAAACGTGAGCGAAATTTGAAAGAATAATTTCAAGGAAGAAAAAAAACCAAAACTCCATTTACTTCAGGTGATGTTTGAAGTACCAGTGAAGGCTTTGATCCTCCTCTCGAATAGCTTTCAAAATATTTACCAGAATGAGTATATAAACCTACATGGTAAGAAAACAACACATGCAAATATCTTACCTACACGATTCTTATCAATTCATTACTTTTTCATTTTCGTTTGATGACAGTCGTTTTATTTTTCAATTTGAAATATATGCAAAGTACGTTAAGAAAGATTGGCTCGTTTGCTTTCTATAACCGTAGTTGAAATGTGACTTTTCAATATTCGCATTACGTCCGACAAGACTAAAGCTACATATTTATTTAATAAAAAACTTGATATCTAAGTGCCGAATTATCAGCATATGCAATGTGTTGAGATATTCGGAGAACAAAGTGACGCACAATTTAATAATAAGGTTTTCTAACCGTAGCGACTATTTTAAGTCTTATGATTTGTATCTTATTATTCCGCTTGCCATTCGATAGTCTCTTTCATGAATCCAGGCAGATTGCAACTTTAGTATATAGAAAATTATTCATACCTTTTATCATACGTTTAAAAGCTTAATGAACCGCTTTTCTGCAGATATGAAAATGGAATTTAACGAAATGAAACAAACTTTTTTAAAAGCATTTCTACTTGATTATGAACTAAGCCTCTGGAAGCATTATGATCTTATCTTGTTCTTCAAGAAACTAGACCAAAAAATCATGCTTCGAAGCACAAACGAGAAATTTTAGAATAGCATAAGCTCATATTCGTGATTTGTATGGTGTGAACATATAAATAAACAAAGACACGTCTTCATTCCGACCTATATTCTTTATTCTTAAAGATCCCTTTGTAAAATCATAAGGTTCTTTCAGCTATCTACTGCTTGATTAAAGTATGCCACATAGAAAATGCCTGTCGTTCTCGAAATTGTTGCCAGTGAATCGTTCCACTGCCGGAACAAAGGAATGAAGAGCCAAATTTGATACGTCCGATGCATCTGTGTTCATCGGTTTGATTCGCATTCGAATAGAGATCGATCATCAGCATTAATCGATCGAGATGAGTAGAGTTAAATGCTAAAATATTCAAATTCAATGGATCATGAAAGACAAACGATGATGAATTCAATCGGTGATATTTCGTCTCATGAGTTGACAATGGACGATGACGATCGAGAAGAATAATTCGAAAGAAACACGTTGCCGCTAGAGAACAATGATATAATTTTGTCCTCATGAAAATAAATGAGAAGTACTCACCGAGATTTTTTTGATCGACTTTTAAACCTTTGATACGTTGAATATCAACAATTAAATTATGATCATTGGTTTGCTCAAGAGAAACGAGAACTTCAATCGATGACTAAAAAAAGAACTTTCATTTTATTAAAACAAAGAGTCGTGTCTCGCCGAATCCTCCTCCATACCATTTTAATATGTTCAATTTCATGCGTAAAACTCATTTCATTTTCATTTTCAATATTACCAACTCCAGTGAAATGAATCTTTCCAATTTGCCCGAGATGAACATGTTTCTTCGCTTGATCTTTGCCGTAAAATTTCATAACTAAAGTTTTCTCGTGAATCTTATTCGGTGAAACATGAGAAAATAGAACGGAGTGTTCGTTCGAGTCACGTGCAAAGACATTCTCATCCGGGAGCACATTCTTCATTGTTAAATCTTTAACTTTACCGTCAGGACTTAACTTCACCTTGATTGTTAATTGTTGAATATTTAAAGGTAGAGATGTTAACGAATGAAATTGTAATTTTAACTGCGACGATTTACAATATGTTATTGAAAATGACATTAAACATGGAGAATATTGTTTCGATGATGCAATTGTTTTTATGAGCGAATCGAGTGTACTATGTTTTCCGTCAAGTAGATTGTGACAGATAGCAATTGATCGTCGGCGAAGTTTGTCTGCCGTGAGTGGAAGTGAAAACTGAATTTGGGCCATCTGTTTCGAGTCAATAATTGAACTTCGCCGTCGATTGGTACATCTTGTCACAAAGAGATTGTTTGCTAAACTATGTGAACGTGTTTGATTGATTTTTGTCGAATCGGACTCAGATTCATTGGATAAACTCGATCGGTACGATGATAATCTTCGTGTAACAATGTTCACTGATGGAGGAATAGTATATTTGATTCTATGTTTGCCGTAAATAGATGAAGGTGGCTTGAAATATTCTCGTGAATGAATCAACAGAGCAAGAAATAAGAGTATGGTACTGATTAGAATGAGAATAAAAATCAATGGAATCATAGTTTCGTTTTGGACTTTAGAATAGGTTCATATCTTAAAAGAAAACTTCGATGAAAAGTGTTGTGAGGAAAACTTATGAAGGAATCTCCTTGATTAAAAACACACGATGGTTGTCAGGAAAGAAAACGATGTGTTCATGCCTTACCTTGTTTAATATTTGCAAACCCTTAAGCAATGAAATCATGACAGACGAGAAAATATCATAATATTTACTGCGCACATAAATTGTTTAGAAAATAAATATGATCGATGTTCATCAAGTCTAATCGATATGTTACGTGAATGAACATATGTAAAATTCATAGAGAAAGTTCTGTTTTATGTCGAAAAGTGGTCGATCAGTTCTGCATTCTATTTCTTCAACTGAAGAACATTAAAGTGAACTCGATGAGACTCAGATGTGAGTGATTTCTAAGAACGTAATTCGAAGGAGAACAAAGAGAAAGCAGAGAACATTCGGGATAGTACTTTTTATCCAAATGAAATAACAGCTGGTTAATTTCGAATCTTTGTCATTAGAAGTTGTTAATTAATAACGGAAGAGATGTTTTCCCACATGAATTATTCGTCCGCTATCTTCGTACTTCCGCCTTTTACTCCATTCCTATTCATTTAAATGAAAGAAGTATACTTCGTGGTGATAATTACATTCTATTTCTTTCACTTGAGCTATTACTTAACGGAAAAAGATTATTTGATTGCATACAAAAAAAAACTATAACAAAAAAAAAGAAGCTTTATTTTCTAATAACACGAAACAATAAGTAGCATTGACGTCAGAGTACGGAAGAGGAACTTGTGGACTTTCCCAGCAAATCGAATTTCATTAGGAAGATGTATGGTCGAAGACTTTTTATCTTAGTTGATAAGAATTACTTAATGACAAATAAGACCGGCAGATAGAGAGATGTGTTTTTTTCTTCTTCTCTACTGTTATTCAATCGAGAATAAAAAAGAAGCATCATGAATTTCGTTGTCATTTGAATCGAATAACATGCATTGTCATCATGAGACGTGGGTTATTTTTCATCACATGTTTATCAAAGATAATATCAAAGCTATGTGTCAGAAATAATCCATTCGAATGACGATTGCATAGGAAGAAAAGAAAAACAAAAATCTTTTTATTGATTGTACTGATAAAAGTACATGCTGTGAGTCAAGTTAAAAGTGAATATCTAGTAAAATCACAATCGTTCGAGGTCAATCGATAGCTTCGATATCATTTTTTGCTTGCCACCTCCATATTTGCGTTTCAATAATGTCTGAATGACGTATGAATCGAAAGAATATATATATATATATACACTATTGGTCGTTACTACTTTTCTTTTCGTTCTCTTGCAATAACAATTCTGATGATGTATTCACGCAATAAGCCACTAAGCAATCGAAATATGTCGATAGGACACACATTACTTAGCTATTATCGAATATTCTTTTATTATTTATATACCGGTAAGAATATTGACGAATATACATCAAGAGATGTTGATCGTCGTGTGTTGGTGCATATTTATTCTCTTGTTGTAATGATTCGTTTATTTTCGTTACGACATTATCGAGCAAAATCCTATGGTGAAGATTTACGAGCCAATTTACGTAATGTTATTGTCCCATTTACTGCTGTTCCATTATCAATTTTTTGTTTAAATAAATTCTTTTGTTTATGTTTTCTGATATTTATTTATCCATTATGGGCATTTATTGGCTCAATTTACTTGTCAATATATGATCCGAGAAAAAATACCGTCGATGAACATTTTCATGAGCAATTATTAAAACCGAATTATTGGTTTGCCACATGGCGTATTAATTGTACTATCGTGGCCTATCATTCATATCAAAAATGGGAACAAACCAAGAAACAATATGATATGGAAGATAAAGGTCGATTTTTGATCGAAGGAAAGAGATTAAATCTTCCCATAACACCTGTATTAGACATTCCTCGAATTATGATTAAACATAAATCCATTGAAGGTGGAATGGGAATCAATGTTTACAATAATTTTGCCATGTTAGTTGAATGCTGTTTTGTATTGTTATTTCATTTGAGATTCTTCGTGTTTTAGAAATGATGGGGATTGGATTATTCAAAAAGTATTTGAAAATAGCGATTTTATTCAACGTTTAGTAACATCGGATGCACCGTTATCAACTGTTCGAATTATAACATCACGCGATGCTTCGAAATCGTCAACAATCAAAGTGAAAACGATGGTTTTTCGTGCTGGACGCATTCGGCAACAAACGGATCATAATGCGATCTTTTATAATATCGATTTTAATTCATCTCATCGTCTGTCAAGTGGAACTACCAATCGACATTGGTATCAAACAGGTTTAAAATCGTTCGACACTACAAGTATGTGGCAAGGACAGAATTATTCTGTTCATCCTGATTCTCATGTGCAACTCGAAGGAATAAAATGGCCGAATGTCAAAGAAATGATGGAATGTGTTTGTCAAGCACACGAAAAGTTATGTCCCGATGTTCCGATCATTGGTTGGGACGTTGCGTGGACAAATGAAGACAATCGATTGATGTTATTAGAATTGAATATTTCATGTAATTTTTTTAATGGACATTTTGACACAAAAGAATACACAAATTTCTGCTACGAATGGTTTCGTACACTCGATCAATGAGTCACAATCGCAACTGATTATCGTATTATGTCGATCAATATTTGATTTATTTAAAATACTTTGTGTGAATTGTTATCAAGAGAGTTATTCTTTCACGTATATCGACTGACTGTAATACTTTTCGATCGTATGTTTTCTTTTCTATGAAACACTTTGTTTCTGTTCGTTATCGACTACTAATTATTTTTTATAAATAAAAGTATTAGATAGAAGATTATTTGTACAGATAAAAATAGATTCGAAAATGCCAGTGCAAACTATTCTCCTTTTCTTCGATCGCATATTAGATTAAAAGAAAAGCACAGGTGAAATCTTTGACATTCAGTCAATATTTGACTCTTTTGGTTAAATCGACGTAAATAATTTGAGAACGTCGTGATATGTTTGTACCTAATTAGAAAAGAAGCATGGAACAACTGAGTTATCGTGTTGTGAGTAAGATCTGTTCGCAAATCTTATACAGGGATGAGATTTCATCGAATAGCGTGCTAAAATATCACTCGAAAGGATAAACTACAAAGTCCAAATTTGTATTGCATTTCAAACTGATGGGAATAAATTACTTCAGTTTTTATCCTTTGACATTTGGCCAGACAACCGGTTTTATCAGCACGAAAGGTTGTCGTCTTTCCAAAAGATTCTGTAGATGTCTCTTCTAAACTCTAAAACTATAATATTCACGAATACAGATGGAGTCAAAACTAAAACATAAATGAAAATCTATTTCGATGACATTTTTCACAATCGATGAACCTCTTAGCTGGTTTATTGTGTAAAAATCAATATCGATCAATCTTAATCTTTTCGCGATTACTATCTAATGGACAATGTTCGAAAATGCAAAGTATTCGAGATAAATACAATGAATATGAAGTTCGACTATGCTTTGATGAATGGTTAAAGTCTTTATGGTAAATGAAAAATTCCAATATATCATCAGCATAAATAGCTACTTTTTTTGTCAAAGAGGCTGGCGCCAAACGAATGGGTTCATTCAACAAGAGATGCTTCAATTCGAGTCACGCGACATTTTGTGCCATTTTGGAACATTAACCTTAATGGATCTGTTAGATGTTCTATTGGTACAAAATCCAATTTTCCTTTTCGAGTACAATCGAAACACTGCATATTGATTCGACCATTTCTCATTTGATGTATTTTCTAGCATGATGATAAATATTATTCACATCGAGAATGGCATTCGTTTTCCTTCCAAATCGATGACATCAAGCTGGACAATATTAACATCTATGCTGATGACGAATTCGACACGTATCACATACAAAAATTGGATGTATCATTCGATGAAGATCAACTAGTTGATTTAACTTCGGACAATAAAATCATTGCCGAACCTACGATTAACAGTGATGAAGCATTTCACAATGCGTGGATGCTCATTGTCAAACCTCTACTTGAAGATATATGTCGCAAAAAAGCACAAGAGGTAAGACAACTGAAGCACGGAAACATTGACCTAATGACAAATCTTCTTTTGCATAGAGATTTCCGAGATTTGAAGAGCCACGAATTGACTCATTTCATTTAACAATCAATTCTAAACAAGACCGAGTGTTATATTATCCAATCTATGAGATTACTTATTATTATAAGTCGAAGTTTCCATACACTTGTCTATTAGATGGTGTAACTGGATACATCGCTGGTGATAGACAATTTTCAACTATGAAAGTCACGTTAGCAAGTTTCTTATCATTCTATCCAATCGTAAAAATGGGCATCTTTTCATTTGGCACGTTAGCCAATTTATTATTTGCATTTGAAATAGCTTCTGATCTTACTTTCATTAGTTGCCTTCCGATGGCAGCGATTGTTGCGCCTTGTATTGGACTCTATGTACGTTCATATCCGAAACGATATAAAGGAGGACTCAATCAAGTCCAGTGGACGGACGATCATTCAAAAGCATCAAAATTTACATATAATTTATTGAAGTTAATCGAAGAATCAAAGTTTGTATCCTACTCATCAATCTCTTCGTTATATTATTTCGAAATCTTTAGAAATCAATCGAAACTAGACAGTGATCAAGTAATTCATGTCGAAAAACAAACAGTATGATTTATTGTTCATATACAATCCAAGCGACTTTCTATTTTGAATAAATTGTTTTGTTTTCCACCTATTCGCTTGCGTGCTTACTACTCAATGGTTCCAACGTATGCCAATGCACATGTGGTCGATTTGGCGCAGATAATGCATCTGTCCAATGTTGAAAACTTTGCTGATTTTTAACTTCTGTCGAACCAAATTCAATCGTTGATATCGATTTACTGTGTGCACTTATTAACGATCGTCGGTAGCATAGAGTCACGCGTATTGATGTTTTATGCAGGGAGACATAGTCTAAATGAAATGATGTACTGAAAGTACAGATGCCTTTCGTAATTGGAATTAATTTTGATTTTCGTTTTCCATTAAGTTTTCCGTCGATGAATGTGCAGATTTTGATTTGAATTTGATCTAAATATTCGAGTGAAGATAATCTACTGGTTAACCTTGTTCATGAATAGTTTTCGTATACCTCGTTGATGAGAATGACTGAGTGGTTGTTTGAGTAGATATTGAATACCGATAATTTTGATTAAACCAACATGAAGCAAACAACGATCATTTTCATAAACCAAACACATCAATGCCCGTGTTTCATGCTTAGTTTCATTCTAAAAGCGAAGGAAAAATTTGTATTTTCTTTACAATAAAACAATCGATTGAACCTGTTGACGAATAATCATATCGATTCGATCCTCATAGATTTGAATGAATTTCGTATGTTGTTCTGATGCTAGATGGCTCGATCGATTCATCAAATGATTGTGATGACTCATCACCAAAACAGTTTGGCCTAATTCCACACGTTTCTCCATTTTTTGTTGACCAAACACATTTAGTTTCAAATAACTGTTTCCCAGATTGAATTCATTCATATCAAAATGAAAGATTTCATTGATCGGATCTTGTTTTGACAGATACTTCTTCGTCTTGTGTTTATCATCGTTATTAAACAAACGAATTTGACATGAGAATGATGGGAAACAGTGTTCGATCAATGGATGCATTGGTGTTATTCGAATAATTTGCAAGAGAAGTTCATTATTATCCGATGAATATGACAATTTGTAAACCAGTTCTATACGAAAGATTTCAATTAACGAATATTCAATCGTGGGCGGTACAGGTGCAAAGGATTGAGTATCAATATCGTCGCAATCTGATGAGGGCATCGTGGAAACTCGTTCTGAATTGTTACTTTCTTGAAATTTAGATTTGATTGTCCCGAATGAAAATGATTGTAGTGGAGTAGATCGGTATGTTGAACCTGAATATGAAGAATCGGAAGATTCATGTAGACGTGATCGTTTGGTGAAGTCAAACGTTCGGTAATTCGATGGGAGTTCATTGAGAGTCGATTGAGTTGGAAATGTTTCATGATTTGCATGTGATACTGTCGTTAATGGATAACTAAAACGATTTGGTGATGAATTAACAACATTCATTTCAGTGAGAATAACTTCTGTGTCATCTTGACGACGTGATCGATGAATGTACAAATAGATAACAATGAAGATGACGAATACAAGAGCGAGTAGAGTAACAGTAATAATCAATGCTAAAGTGTAAGGATGCAGGGATGGTATAGAAAGAATCATAATTGTTATGATACTGTTTTATTGATTTAACTGATATTATTAGGGATTATGTTATGAGTATATGTGATCGTATGCAGCTGTTGTTTTTACAAAAGTCAATAGAAGAAAACATATTGAAAATTTCAATTGCGATGATGATTTGTTTAGAAGAATTTATTTATTCGTAAGAGAAAGAGCTCTCTTCGTCAGCAAATGATTAAATATAGATATTTGAGTTGAGATGATCTTATTGTGAAGAATTCTGTTCATGTTTTGGGAATATTTAGTCCAAGATTTGACTTCGTGTGTTGACATATTGTCTTTGTTTTCTTATTGTTCGTTCCCTTCACTCGTGTACAGGTAACGAATTTGTCAACGTGGCAAAGAAAAAGCAATGAGTCAGTTTTCAAACATTTATAGTCTATCAAACATGTTTCATTCTTCTGTTACTTACGTTCAGGTATTTTTATTTATCATAATCATACATTACACTTCCAACATGAAATAGAAATATCAATGTCAAGAAACGGACCGCTCTATTCTCAATTATTCCATCCAATACTTAATACTGAACTAAATGAATATATTATGATATCGAAAAGGACGCTAGTAAGTAACTAGCGACGTTTGATGAGGAAATCTTTTCATTGGTTTCATTTGTATACGTTGTATTGGTAAATTGTGGATTAACTTGAAGGCTGATCTCTTTTTTTGACTACGGACTTTCAAATACAATCATATCAGTGTGTTTTCTAACTTAGACTGATAAGTCAAAGCATCACAAAGATTCTTCTTATCCGTTGATTTGTCATACACAAATGTCATCACTATTTGATCCACCCAAAAATGCTATTTATATCATTCTTGGTGAAATTCAAGCATTGACATCATCGAAAAAGAATAATGTACGATGGTCAACAAATCAATCCTATGAAGTAAATTCAATCTTTTTGCCTTGTTTTCCTTTCAACGGTTTGCTTTAAGGAATCTCCCGAGATCAATTCGTTTCAAAAATTAAAAACAACTTTGAATTCAATTTCCGGTAAACTAATCACGCTCATACTCAAATATCAAGGATTGATTCGTGACTCTATCTTTGTAGATCTTCATGATATTGAATCCATCACCTTCTTAACACCATTTCTTGATATAATTCGTTCGGATGAAATCTCCGGTCCTATGACTTGTCTAGCATTAAATGCGGTGAATAAATTTCTTTCTTATGGACTGATTGGTGAGTATTTTTTACTTACATAAGAGGTATGATATCGATATTTTCTTTGCTTTTCTATGTAAAAGATACTCTCAGCGAATCTGCTGCATCAACCATCGATAAAGTTGCCAGCGCGGTTACGCATACACGCTTTGTTGGAACAAATCCAAACGATGATGAAGTTGTACTGATGAGAATTCTACAAGTAGAATAAGCTTTTCTTCTCTCGTTGAAATGTTCTTTATCGGAATCATTTCAAATAGGTTCTTCGCTCTCTGCTATTGAGTCCAATTGGATCACAAATGACCAATGATGCAGTTTGTGAAATTCTACAATCTTGTTTTCGAATTTGTTTTGAAACAAGATTGTCTGGTAAGGTTCCTGAATTTCTCTTTACTATCTATCTTACTATCGTTAGAATTACTACGTAAAACATCTGAACATGTTTTAATTGATATGGTTCAGTTGTTATTTGCTCGATTACCTCAATTTAAAGATGATGCAACATCGGCATCCTCAACAAAGCTAGTCAAAGATCTTTCAACATCGTCAACTCCTAAACCGCCGACTACCTATGTAAAAGTTGCAAGTTTTTCTTCTGTGCAGTTCGTATTTCTTTCTTTTTTCTAGTCATCCGAAGATGTCGATGATGCTCGTCCAACTGCAATTGATAGTGCAACCAATGCAATACCATCGACAAATATTCCATCACCGACGAGCGAAAATGAACCAGAAGCGTCTTCGGAAAATATTCCAACTATCATAATTCCATCGTTTGATCAAACAACATCATTTGTCCAAACTGAACAACGATCGCAAGAACCAGCAGCACAAACATCATCGCCTACGAATGAATTTATTAATCCGCGAGGAATTCGATTCACAACTGGATCGCCAACAAGTGAACTTGTTAATGAAACAGGTAGAATGACATGGCGTTCTCTATGAGCAAACAAAATCTCGTTTGCCTATTGTTAGAACCATTGACGCCGTATGGTTGGCCTTGTGTTCGTGGCCTACTTCGTTTCCTTACGACACTTATCAATAATTATGATAAGTAAGTCATTTTCTCTGTGAATTCGTCATCGCTATTGTTTGCCATCAATAGAAATAATACAGAGTATATGATGACCGTTGGCCTGAATCTTCTAACTGTTGCCTTAGAAGTTGGTGCAGATTATCTTGCCAACTATCCTTTGTTACTTTCAATTGTGAACGACTCTCTTTGCCGTAATTTGATCAGTGTATGTTCATATGTTTGTTTATCAGTTCAATATGATCATGACTTTTGTCTTTATTCAGATGTTGAATTCTACTCGAATTCAATTATTTTCTGCATCGCTCCGTGTGTCATTTCTTATCTTTGAAAGTCTCCGCACACATTTGAAGTACCATTTTGAAGTAAGAAAACGAAACTGTTCGATCTTTTCATTGTATTACTCTTCAGTTTTTTATCACACGTCTTATGGAACTGGTCATTTCTGAACAATCAAAAATCTCTTATGAACAAAAAGAAATTGCACTTGAGACAATCGTTCAATTACTGCGCATTCCTGGCCTTCCAGCTGAATTATATTTGAATTATGATTGTGATTTATACAGTACAAATCTGTTCGAAGAGTTAACTAAAATGTTATCGAAAAATGCTTTCCCTGTTGCCGGTCTAACATCGACACATATACTTTCACTCGATGCACTTCTCTCTGTAATTGATCATATCGAACTTGAATGTCAATATCAAGTGCAACGACAGAAAAATGATTGTAAGTTTCATTCGATTGTCGTTTTCATGCAGAATATGTGTTTTGCTTCTAGCAACAAGTCAAACACTGACTCGTCCAGTGCCGTGTGGCTATGCACTAGCGATTTCCTTGCAAAATCTTGATATGAATCGAGCTTCTGTATCATCAGAAACGCGACATGGTTCACGTCTTCGGCAAAATCGTATGGCAATATCTTCACACTTACCGTCACAGGATGATTTGAAAAAAATGAAACAAGATAAAAAGGTTTGATTGTCTGGAAAGGTGTTGAGACTTTATCTTGATTGATGTATTCATGAATAGCTATTACGACAAGGCTCAGAACTGTTCAATCAAAGTGCTTCATCAGGAATTAAATTTCTTCAAGAAAACAATCTTCTAGCAAATCCATTGGATACGCACGAAATCGTGAAATTTCTCAAAGACAATCCATTATTAGACAAGAAAATAATTGGAGAATATTTATCAAATCGAAAAAACATTCATGCACTTGAACAATATGTCAAGTAAACTATTGGATTATCTTGCTTGTTTCCATTGGAAATTCCATTTTTTAGAACATTCAACTTCGAAGAAATGCGGATCGACGAAGCACTTCGAATTTATCTTTCTGAATTTCGTTTACCTGGTGAAGCACCTTTAATCAGCACTCTACTCGAACATTTTGCTGCACATTGGAGAGTAAGTTTGACATTAGTAGGTTTCTGAAAATAATCGAAATACGTTTAGGAATGTAACAATCAACAATTAGCGAACAACGATGCAGCATTTGGATTAGCTTATGCGTGTATTATGCTTAATGTAAGTTCGATTCAAATCTGTCTCACATAGTTTCATAATTTAATTTTCATATAGACTGATCAACATAATACAAATGTTCGTCGTCAGAGTTCTCCAATGACATGTGAAGTAAATACTTGCTTATATGGGAAAGAAAACCAAAAAAAGTCATTTGTTTTTCGATAGGATTTCAAACGAAACTTATCGAAAATGAATAACAATGAAAATTTCGATGATGGAATGTTGACTGAAATCTATAATGCAATCAAGTCCGATGAAATTGTTATGCCAGCGGAACACACTGGCCGTGTTCGTGAGTCTTATCTCTGGAAATTAATGTTGAAACGGTCAGCATCTATTGGTGATAAATTTCTTCATGTCCCAACAGGATCCTATAATTACGATATATTCACATTAATATGGGGACAAACTATGGCCGCGTTATCGTTTGTTTTCGAGAAATCACACTATGATCTTGTCATTGAAAAAGCAATACAAGGCTTCAATAAATGTGCAAGAATTGCTGCACATTATTACATGTCCGACGTCTTTGACAATTTAGTCATATCATTATGTAAATTCACAACTCTATTGAATAATCGCGAGGTAAAACGAATTGTTTAATGACTTTTCAGTGCGTTTATCATATCATCGGTTTTAGTGGATTGAAAATCTACCGATTCATTTCGGACTGAACCGTAAAGCACGTCTTGCTGCTACAGTCGTTTTCAATATCGCGCATGTTCACGGCGATATTCTACGGGAAGGATGGAAGAATCTTTTGGAATGCATTGTTCATTTATACAAAGCCAAATTATTACCGTCGAGTCTTGTCGAAGTCGAGGACTTTCTCGATCCATCCGGACGAACCAAACTTATCAAAGAGCAAATTGTACAGGCTCCAAAGTAATGCTTTTATTTATCATTCATTCATTTTGAATTTGTGATCTTTTAGAACTGATATCGGAATATTTTCCTCACTTGCCTTTTTCCTCGGTGGTGGTGGTTCAACTGACTCGAATGTATCGTCTGGCAAACAACCGACATCCGATGAACAAGAAGCAATCAAAGTGGCATCAGCTTGTATCGAAGAATGTCATTTAGAACAATTATTACAAGAAACGAAATTCTTAATTATTGATTCGTTGAATGAGTTATTAAAGGCATTGATTTATGCTTGTCAAACATCCCCGGAATCTGCTAAACTTGATCAAGATGCTGCGGTATTCTCTCTTGAATTACTTGTCAAAGTTGTACTACAAAATCGCGATCGTGTTACAGCTTTCTGGCCGACGATTCGACATCAATTCTACTCAATACTCATTAATGCGAATGAAAAATCCTTTTTTGTTGAACGTACTTGCATTGGTCTACTCAGAATTGCTGCCCGACTTTTACGTCGCGAAGAACTTGCATCTGAAGTCATGAACTCACTTCGAATGTTTCTCGTAATGAAACCACACGTTCTTCATGCATTATCAACAGAAATCGCCTATGGTTTGCACGAACTTCTTCGTACAAATGCGGCCAATATTCACAAATCCGAAGATTGGTTTATTTTATTTTCGTTATTAGAAGTCGTTGGTGCAGCTGCACATCCGTCACCTGTTCTTCAATCACCCACACCAAATCTACTCGCAAACAAACATGTTCATCACAGCCATTCAAACATCAATGTCGATTCCGACACTGAATGTTCCGATTGCACATCGACAGATAAAGGTTATACAAGTGATTCGGAAATCTACCGTCGGTCGGAGTACATTGTTGTCTCACACAATGACTTCGAATCCAATCGACAACAATTTCGACATGATCGTCGAGCATTGAATAAATCGTGTGAAATTCTCTCATTTCTCATCCTGGATACCGCTGATGTTACACAAGACAATTTCGAGTACTGTATACATTGCATTCGAACATTCATCGAAGTGACAATTGTCCAACAAACGAATAAATCTAAAGGAAATGCCAATCGAAATTTAAAACAAATCCGCAAAGTCACCTCATCAAATTCCTTATCCAATGAAACTTTAAATGATCAAACCAGCAATCAAAGCAAATACTCCCGTTATGATAACGATGACAACAACGATGATATGCACGAGTCCATGCAACAAGAGTATCAAACACTTTCTTTGCAATTGTTAAATCTAATGCATACGTTACATGTAAGAGCGTCTCAAATTTATAAACAAGTACCGCCTGATCAGTCAGCTTCGAATGTTTTATGGTATAAATGTTGGTGCCCAATTTTACAAGGTTAGTTTGACGCGCTCATGTACATTCAGTCGCTGAAAAAGAAGTTTGTTTGTTAGGTATTGCACGTCTCTGCGGTGATCCACGTCGAGCAGTTCGTGCGTCAGCTCTTGGTTATCTTCAGCGTTGTGTTCTTCTACCTGAACTTCATGTACTTTCCCCAGCTGAATGGGAGTCCGTATTTCAGAAAGTTTTATTCCCGCTACTATCGCAATTATTAGACACAACTAACATTAACGATCAAATCTATGGAATCGAAGAAACGCGTGTGCGAGTGTCGCAATTACTTTGTCGAATATTTCTTCAACATTTGACACCATTGTTAAACTTAACAACGTTCACAACCATCTGGATGACCATCTTAGATTTCATGGATAAATATTCCAAAATAGACCAAACTGATATGTTGGTAAGAATGGCTTTTTTTTTCTTGCAAAAGTAAACATGAACTAACCAAGAATGATCTTTTCAGCGTGAATCGATTCGTGAATCGTTAAAGAATATGCTATTAGTTATGAATACAAGTGGCTTATTCGAACCCGACCAACCGTTAACAGTAATTACTAAAAACAGAATTGATAGTTTTCTACCAGGTCTTTGGGAAGAAGTTTTCAAGATATCTACACCATCACCAACTAGTGAAGTAAGCAACAATCAATTCGACCGTCAAACAACTTTCCATTCTTCAATTTTAGACCACTATGTCATTTCCAGTGACTAGTGAAATGAATATGCCATTGAATGAATCTCCAGCATTACCACCTTCGAGTAAATTCGATGATTGGTTGATTTATTTTATAATTTATACTATTTTCACTTAGATGAAGCGACTACAACAACTACCGCCACTACCACCGAACCAACTACTGCAACGAATGTAAGTGACTCGTCCCTACCTAAATAGATATTCTCGAAGAAAACATTAGTCGAATATCAACTCAGTTCGTGCATGATTTCTTATAGGTTTCTTCTTGTTTTCCATCTTGATCTCTCGATAAATGTTTTGTTCTATTGCTTTCAAAGGTTAGAATCATCTCTGCATGCTTTTCTCTACTATCTATCGAATAACTGGCATAACCGTAGATGCATGAAAACTGTCCATAGTGTTCTTTTTTGATGTAGTAATCGAATTTCCTCAAGATCGAGCTTTGCTAGTCGAAGATAATGTTTACCTATAAAAATCTTTGTTTAGACTCGATTTCTACCAGCTCAAGTGCAGACTTTATAAACATGGATCGAATCACAATGGTTCAGATGGTTGTATTTTCATTTGACATTAACGAGAGACACAAAAGAAAATAATTTTTATTTATTTATTTTTTTTCTTATGAAATTCTTTGTTCCTTGGATTTCAGTATTTTGTTTCCTTTTTCTTTCTTCTGTTTATTTCAGTTTTTTCTTCTTTCATATAAATTTCTGGCCAATCTATCGGCTTGAGTAAATTAATATAATAACTAAGAAATGCAAAATAACGAAACACTGCACTTTTCTCTTTGATAAATCGAACAATCAACAGAATGATCTAGGCAAATGAACAGAAAGAGAAAAAACGACACGTGTTTATATAATACGAAGACAAACGTAGTGTTAGTCTACATTTAAAAGTTTCTTTAAACATGTGTCTCGATCATCTTAGCATTCATACGTACGATTTCCGCAGAGCAGTTTCGTTCTATGAAACCGTTCTTGCTACGTTGGGTTATAAACGATTAATTACAATTCCAGGCGATAGAGCAGTTGGTTTTGGTGGTCGATTTCCGTCATTTTGGATTTCACCTGCAAAAACACCGGCTGGAGAAGGCTCACTCATTGGAGCTCATATTGCTTTTGTTGCCAAGTCTCGCCGGGATGTTGATGAATTCTATCGGGTTGCGTTACAAAATGGCGCAAAAGATAATGGACCACCCGGTCTTCGTCCGTTATATCATCGATTTTATTACGGTGCTTTTGTAATCGATGCTGATGGAAATAATATCGAAGCTGTTAATCATTTCGACTGGCGAGTTTATATCGGATGGAAAACCATGTTAACACCATTTTTGTTGGTAGCAATTGGTGTAATTATTAAGAAATACTTTTAAAAGGACTAAATTAACTGTTTTTTTTTTATTTGTGAACTTAGACATTTCGATAGATATTTTAGAATTTCTTTTTGCGATACAAACGATAATAAATTACTATGATCATACGAGTTAAACAGATGGCTAGATCATGTTGAATTCGTCTCGTAAGTGAAGAGATACTTTTTATCAAGCAAATATCTGATAGCTGTTTCACAAATAGACATTTTGTATTCTTTATATTGTTGACCTAGTCTTGATAGCTGTAGTGTGTATCACATATGTATCGAGGGAATGTGAAGAGGGTAAACTAAAAACGCTCTTATCGTTGTCTCTCACTCTTTTTGTTTATAAACTTATTTACTGAAGATTTTATACCTAGTTGTTGCTCTATAGCCATGGTTTCAAGACAGATTCTAATTATTTTTTTATTAATCGTTCAAAATAAAGGGAACTATTTTGAAAATTCTGATCCATATTTCACCTTACTCACTTCTCCTGCCCCTCGTCATGTACGTATTCAACATATCGATGTTGAGACACATTCTGACATTGTAATCGATATCCAAGCACCGCATTTTTCCTGGCAGTTGGCACATGTCTATGATCGACAAGGAAATCAAATACGAAATATTAAACAAACTGGTTATCACATTATTGTCACTGATATTGTTCGACATCAAATCGTTTGGAATAGTGGTTATACATCTTCATCGTCATCTACGCATATTCTCTATGCTGGTTTACCATTCAAATCTGATACTCGCTATACAGTTCGTATTAGCTATTTCACCGCACAGTATCAAAGTCAATGGTATATTGGACAATTCCGTACCGCTCTGTTTTCCCTCGAAGATTGGACCGGTGATTGGATTGGAAGTAATCATATTAACATGAATCAGTTACGTACGGTAGCTAATTTAAAATCTACAAGGATTCAATCTGCAACTTGCTTTATTAGCGGTATTGGTTATTATCAATTGTATGTTGAGGGAGAATTAATCGATAAATCACGACGATTAGACGTTGGATGGACGACATATCAACAACGTACACTTTATGCTTCATTTGATTTAACTCAAATCTTGAATTCAACTGCTTCGACTAATTTAGGTATTGGTGTTATCTTAGGACAAGGATGGTACAATCGTCAACAATGGATCATTGGTCCGGGTGCACGCCCAGAACTTTCTGACAACTACGGTTCACCACGTGTTATTATGCAATTGAATATTGTCTATATCGATGGTACAAATCAGTCGATTAGTACCGATTCAACATGGTTGGGTCGAGAAGGTGAGCATCGTGTTGATTCTGTCTATATGGGAACGACAATGGATCTTCGAGCGGCACGTTCCTGTTGGTCGTGTGCCAATTTTACTGATCCCTATTCATTGTGGATCAATGCTTCGGTTTTACCTTCGCCAGTTAATTTTACAGCTGGTGGCCAGTTTTCTTTACAAATGATGGATCCAGTTCGAATCGGACCGGATGCACTGCATATTGCGACATCAGGTCGTCGAGGTAATGTCGATGGAGTTCAGGGTGCTAGTCTAACTGACGGTGGTGTTTTAAAACCTATCTTACAAGAACACGTCAACGGACAGCTATTTGATCTTGGCCAAAATTTCGCTGGTTGGTGTAAATTATCCTCTTTGAATGCTCCTAAATCAACTGTTATTCAACTTCGTTATGGAGAATTGAGATATTCTCGCGGGCAAAATCAGATCAATTTCGCTGGTTTATACTATGAGAATCTAGATAGCATCGCAGTCATGGATACAGTGGTCTTGAATGGTACGGGCAACGAAACATTTGAACCGATATTTACCTACCATGGATTTCGTTATTTATTAGTCAATGGTTACGATACAATCAACAAAGATAACATTGAATGTTACAATGCACATAGTGAAACGAGACTGATTGCTAATTTTACGAGCAGTAGTAATGTGTTGAATCAAATTCAACATAATATTCTTTGGTCTCAATTGAGTAATTCGATGTCGTTGCCAACGGATTGCCCTCAACGAAATGAGCGTCGCGGGTGGATGGGCGATGCCGGGCTGAGTATTGATGAAACACTGTTTAATTTTGATTATCTCAACTTTTACCTTAACTTTTTAACGATGATAGCAGACAATCAGTCACCGGACGGTGGAGTCAGTGATACAGTACCGTTTACAGTAGGTTTCAATCCTGCTGATCCAAACTGGGGCACAGCTTACGTACAAATTACTTGGTATTTATATGAGCATACAGGTGATGTTAGCATTGTTGAAAAGTATTATAAAGGTATTCAAGCGTGGGTCGACTGTTTGACTAATCAACGCCAACGCACCGGTTTGGCACGAATGTATTACTACTGGGGTGATTGGGCAACTGTACAAGGAACAGCGAATACTTCCCTAGTATCTTCCTATGCGTATCTTCGTGACGTAGATACGTTTATCAATATGAGCCAAATCTTAAACCGAACTGACAATGTGCAAAAATATACACTGTTATATCAAGAATTAGCGGATGAATTTCATCGTGTCTTTTACAATAATTTATCGGGTGTCTACGTTGACGGCAGTCAGGCAATGAATATCTTACCACTTGCTTTGCGAGCTGTTGTACCAACCTCAGTTCGAGCTGCCGTGCTCAGTTCATTGATAGATAATATTGCCAAAACGGGTCACTTCACTGGCGGCATTGTAAGCGTCGCACCACTCTATCCTATGCTCTCAAATGAAGGACATCATGATCTAGCATTACAACTAGCACTATCTATTTCATATCCATCGTACGGATATATGTTTAATAACGATATTCAGAATGCGACAACTACTTGGGAACTTTGGAATACACTACCGCAAGGTGCAACAGCGTCATTGAATCATCATATGTTCAACAGCATAGGCGCATGGTTTTATCGATACTTAGCAGGAATTGAATTGAACGCTCTACAAACGATTTCTATCTATCCTCGAATGCCTTACAATGCTAGTTTATTATCGTACGTGAAAGCAGAAGTCGTAACAATCAAAGGATCCATTCGGGTAGAATGGTCAAGGTTATCCACGGATACGGTGTCATTAACAGTCGCAATACCAACCAATATAGATGCGATTGTATCGTTCGATGCATTGATCAAAGATGGGCAATGTATGAAATTACTTTGTGACAACGAAATCATTTGGATGAGAGGAGAAAAAAACGATCAATTGAGTTTTTTTAAACCGGTAAATGGAGTGAGTGATTTGTGTGAGAGTAAACGACACAATGTTATGTCAGTACGGGTGACATCAGGTGAATATACATTCATTGCCTATTGGGCGTAAATCATTATTATTATTATTATTATGTAATTTCTCTAAAATAAAAATTAGCATATGTAACACTGATAAAAATATCATGCCTCAATAAATCAAGATTCTATGTCGAATTTCGATATTTAAGAGGGAAATGTAACCATAGTCTGTATGATACTATCATCAAGGTAGTGTTTCAGGTGTAAATAAATCAAACACATATATCTCAGTGATGATCTTGCAGGTGTGTTGATTGATTATTCGATCAGATACGAATGTGTGTAGATGACATATAGTGGAAAGATTGACTCATTTTCTTCTAATAGTTTAACCATAATCAACCATCCATATAAATGCTTAAGGCTAATATCAATCGATTCTGACAACGATATATATGTCTAAGGACATTTTGTGTAGAGGCATTATTCGTGAGAGACACTAGCGCAAGAAAGAAACTGTATTTAGTCGTGAAATAAGTTTCCTCCATCATTTTAGATACCTACGACACAGTACAAGCATCGATTTCATGCAGAAGCTTAACAGGTATGCGTACCCGAAATCGAAATCGGGCATCTTTATTTTCTTATTTGTATTAGTCGCTATATATGGGCCAGTATCTGTCTCTTCGGCACATTTCTTTCAACTATAGCTGCTGTCATTGTTTTATCTCTGATTCCTGTGTATTTACTTGAACATAGTTCCTCCGATGGCGGTAGTCCAGATGCTGGTAAAATTATCCTGCATGTTTCTCTGCGCTTTCACGCAGTACATCTTCTTTTGTTATTTTAGTGCCGTCACCAAAAGTGATGTTTTCGTTTGCAAGTGATCTTTCGCCGACAGATGCAGCTATATTTGATAGTTCCACTGTGGTCAATACGAATACCATTTCAAGACAGGTTTCTTGTTACTTTTTTCACATTATTTATGTATAGATCTTATATATCATAGCTTGAATCCACCTTTCAGCTACCAACTAAATCATTAGACGTCTCGTCGATTACACCGGTCAATTTCATGTCTGATAATAACAATAATCGCCGACGTCGAGCGTAAGTTTCAATCAAATTGTTAGCCTATAACTACTATTCAATATGAATAGAATCAGTAAATCTACTGCCGTTGGTAGCAGTATTGACCTCGTTATACAAATAACAATCAACTATCTGATCTGCCGAATCAATGATTGTAAAATCCATTTACACAACAGGATCATCCAGGTAATCAATAGTCATCGACAAAAGACATTCACTGTCCATTTGTTGTTCAATAATGGTGTTCGATTGGTAAGTTCTGTTGCAACATGTACGGCTCAATCGATGATAGCGACAGGTACAATATAATGTAGGTGTTTACGAACTGCAAATGTGCTTTGTTTATGTAGGACCATCAAAATACTCCAGATTGAGAGGAAAATCATGTATTAATTCTGATGTAGATATATGCTCAAACGGTCGGTTACCGAACCTTTATGATGCAAGCATTCAAGACTTGCAAAACGGACTTGCCAAGGGATATTTCACATCTAAAGATCTAGTTGAAGCTTACATTGCACGAATCAATGAAGTCAATTTGAAAGGACCAGCTTTACGAGCAGTAATTGAAATATCACTTGTCGCATTGGACGCAGCTCGTATTTCGGATGCCATGCGCACGAATGGGAGCATTCTATCACCGCTACATGGCATACCAATCTTAATAAAAGATAACATCGCGACTCGTCCCGAAGATGGTATGAACACAACAGCAGGATCGTTTGCACTTCTTGGTAGTATTACTGCAGGTGATGCAACCGTTGCACGAAAATTACGTGACGCCGGTGCCATTCTGCTTGGTAAAACATCCCTTAGTGAATGGGCAAATTTTCGTGGTTCAGACGTACCTAATGGATGGTCTGCTCGTGGTGGCCAAGCGACGAGCGCATTCTATCCACAAGGAGATGCTTGTGGATCTTCTACCGGAAGTGGTATAGCTGCTTCGATTGGACTTGCGGCTGGAACATTAGGAACAGAAACTGATGGCAGTATTGTATGTCCTAGCAGTCGGAATAATCTGGTTGGAATTAAACCAACAGTTGGTTTAACTTCGCGACATCTTGTCATTCCACTTTCACAGGCTCAGGATACAATTGGTCCTATGTGTCAATCTGTAGCCGATGCTGCTGCCATTCTGAACATTATTGCTGGACGAGACAATAACGATAACTATACATTCACTCAAAATGAAACTGTTCCTGATTATACTCAACATTTAATCAAAGATGGCTTAAAGCAAGCTAAGATTGGTGTACTTCGTGGATTATTTACCAATGCAACCGCCAGTGAATATCCCGAATACGTTATATCAGAATTCAACAGAACAATCAAAGACATTTTTGCAAAACTCGGTGCAATTATAATTGATCCAGTTTTGGAGAAGCCTGAGACAATGCTTTCTTCGGATGATGAATTCACTGTAATATTGTTCGATTTCAAATATGAAATTAATCGTTATCTCTCGCAATTGAAAAACAACAACACAGTGCCGAGAACTTTACAAGAGCTGATCGATTACAATAATAAGAATGCAGACGTTGAGCTACCACCTGGACGCAACAGTCAAGATTTGTGAGTTTGACACATCTATCCACATATACTTCATTCGACTGTGTTTGATAGGTTTCATCGCGCACAAAATACGACCGATCTTACAGATTCGAAATATACAAATGCTAAAACCAATATTAGCCGCGTGAAAGCCGATGCAATCGATGCAATTTTCAAGAAATATAATCTTGACGCTCTCATTGCTCCAACTGAAGGTCGTTCCAGTCAAATCGCTGCCATCGTGGGTTATCCTATGATAACCGTTCCACTTGGATTTCTAGCCGATACCGAAGTGAAAACAAACGTAAATACGACTTTATTTCAGTTACCTATATATCCGGCACCTAATATTCCATTTGGATTAGCTTTTATTGGACAAGCTTATAGTGAAAGTAGACTAATTGAATTAGCTTATAGTTATGAACAGGCAACGCAGTATCGTCACAAAAGCAAGCCTTTCGAAGCTGCTATTCCCAAAACACAACTCTCAGATATTCTTTGTCGAAAATAGACTTGTCCTTCAGCCGTGTTGGAACTTTTAATATTTTTAATATTTAATAAAATCTAATCGTTTACACCGCAACTGCGAGTGGAACATTTTATGAATATTTTGTTATTCTATTTTTCATTACACATGCCACTTGACCATACCAGCACTTGCCGACATGAAGTCTACGGATTATAAACGTCTATAATAGAAGAATCTATAGTATCGAGTGAGCTAGTCCTTCGTTTCTCAAAGTAGTTCTACCGGTGCTCCTATTGATTTTTTTATAACTAGATCTTAATTGATAGAACGTAGAGAAACAAATCTTGTAAGTTCTGATTATTTCTATGGAATTACTTCATGAAAACAGGAGCTCTTTTTTGCCCATTAAGCGATCATGCATCGATTCAATGTAATACGCTTCAAAATTTCCTGAAAGCAAACAGAAGAAACGATGACGCGTTCTTTCCATTTCGTTGTGAAATACACATTGCTGAGGTAATTGTATCATAATGATGCAATATAAATAGTTGTTAGTTAACATTGTCGACACCACAAACAACGAACCCTTACGATGAATCCAGCTGCTCATAGTAATTTTGAATCGTTAAGTAATGAACTTTTACTCGAAGTATTCGAATACCTGGATGCATATGATCTGTATCTGACTTTTCATGCGTTAAATCAACGTATTAATGCACTCCTTCGACGTGCTAACTTACATATTCTCCTCGAATCCTCAAAAAACGACGAAAATGTACTAAATGGAATTTTATCATTCTTCACTCCATCCCAGGTTCGTGTACTGTCTCTGAATATCGACAACACTACTTTGGCTAAACAGTTTGTATCATTTACTGACCAAAATCTTTATTCGCTGAACATTTATAAGCGACATGGAAATGCGTTATTTGAAATCATTCCATGCCTTTCAAGAAGCAGTCGTATTAAATATCTACGCATCGATGAAGCTTTTGTGTATGGCGTATCATCCACTCGGTCATTATTTGATCTGATATTCATTGAATATTCTGCTTACTTCACGTCATTAGTTGTTGCATCTATCTCGTTTCATTATTACACAAAAGCTTCTCGAGTACAAACTGTTTTCCCACACCTTCGTCATTTATCACTCGCTAAAATTACTTTAACATCAACTTTAACTGACTTTCTCAGTTCTTCAACACCTAATCTTCGATCATTAGTTATTTTACCTACTATACAGGATTATCTTTCACCTACATTTGCTCTCAAACAAATTCGACAACTACATTTACGTTGCACTTACAATTTCGAATATGTGGCATCCTTGATCAAAATATTTCCTTCTCTGCGGCGATTAAAAATCGATTACGTTAATTACTCTCGGAACTTACCCAGCACCAATCCGATCTGTAAGTCATTGACTGAAGAGAATTTACCGCACTTAAAGCAACTCACAATCGATTTCGAACCTGCTGTAGAACTAGAAATCGTGAAATCATTCACTACCAATGAGTTTTGGTCTGCTAAAAAACTCAATGTAATCAGAACAATGAATAAAATGGAGTCACGATGTCCAATGGTAAAATCGATTTATTTTGGTTCGCGATTACATTCGCTTATTGAGAAACGATTTATATAAAGATTCTTTCTGCTTATGTATTCATACAGCTTTTTTTGTTGAAATCCAGGAAAGAAAAGAATATAAAATCACACGTTGATCTTCATGTTTTTACTATTGCATACGGCTGATTCCATCAAGTTCCGATATGATTTCTTCTTTTTTTTCCATACCTGATATCTGTCGATATCAAATTAATCTACAACAAAACGATGGTCAATTTCGAACATTTTATAAATAGTCTTGGTATATAAGAAGAGTTCGCGATCAAGATAAAAAGACGTCAATAATTGCATCCATCGCATGATGAAAACTAATAAATTTGGGCGAATGAAGCAGAGTAACTACCGATGTAATCATAACTGCATGGGAATCAATCATGGCTGGTAAACAGCCCATTATGAAATGAAAATCTTATTTTAAACCAGTTTCTTCTTCTACTCCACGATCGCACAGTCCACCAGGAAATGCTGTATCAAAACGGAAGAAAAGTATCGATCGTTTTGTCAGTCATGCCCGTATGTGTTTGAAAAGTAAAACTTTCCTATTGAATTTCGCTTCGGGTAAAGTTTGTGACCATTCGTCGACATGACTCTGTCTCTCTAGATAAATAAGGTGTCAAAATGTATACGAATAAGTTCATTCGACAATGACCTGTAGAAAATTGCTAAGTTTTCCACATGATCTGGAACGAAAGATACAACTTCTGACAGTTCATGTGTATAGAACGAAAATTTTATTTTGTTTTACATGAATAGAACAACAAGAACAGATAAACACGTTTTTGTTTAGTTTTCTTCCATTTTTTCATGAGGTGGACCACATGGTTGAATCATTTTCTTCAACAATTGAAATCGAACACGAGCTTTACTTTCATTTTCACATAGAGCGATGTGATTTAGCAAATCAAAATGACCTAAATACGATGCGTATGTATCCCGATGAATGTTCGATGCCCATTCCCATTTCGTTGTATCGGCATGACCCGTACCTATAACGATTAAATGGGAAATGTTCAAGACAATGAAACTCAAAACTTACCGATATATTTGGATTGTAAATGTTCGAGTTGACTATGAATATTATATCGATCACCCATTGTTTGATTCAATGAATGAATATTTGCTCAAAAAAAAAGAACGAATGAGTTTATACTTGTCGCTGATTGGCTAATCGAATGAGCCAATGAAAAATACACATATCATTCCTCTCATTAAATCAAAAAATTCTTTTCTTTTGTATGAGTGATTCAGCAAGATTAAAACATGGTTGGGAATTAATCATATCTTGCTTCCCATTCTCGTCAGCATCTGTCAAAATTGCGCAACATAATACCGTTGATTTTGTAGATTTTCTTTCTTTATTTTCTCAAATAACAATGAATTCGGAAGATCAAAACAAGCCACAAGTATTTCGAAAAACAAACTGCGTTTTCTTTCACAAATTATCGACATTTTCTTCTCATTCAGATTCATTCATGTTTAAACTGTCATTCACTCAATGACGAGAATAATAATTTTTCCAAATCGAATTGTACAAATTGTGCACATAGAAACGAAAAAGTTTGTAATTTACTTTTTCCTATTGTATTTATTGTTTTTTTTTTCATTGAATAGGAAAGTCAACATCTAATGATCGCACCAGATATGAGTTCGGATGATGAATCTAGCTGTTCATCATGTTTATCAGTACATGATTCAGAATTTATTTCATTAGATACGAGAAAATTATGGCACACTGTTGCTCAGTTAATTAAATCGATCTATCATAAAACCGATCGAGAATATCCAAGTTAGTTCAATCATTTCACTAATATTCGAACATACTGTTTTTCGTTGTAGATAATCTTACGGCGAATGATTTATCTCAAGCAAAAGAATACGTGCAGATGTAAAACATGAATTTGACGGTGAATTCGAATTCTAAGTTTGTATATTTAGATTGACTCAATCAGACTCGGAATCTTTGTTTAATAAACTGGAAGCGATTGTTGTAGCATATATCAATGAAGTTCGTTCACAAGTGTTGAAACGTATTCAAACATGTTCGAAAGCTTCGAATGATGTGCAATTATTTATTTCGTATCTTCTTGATAAGTATCAAACGTTTATTCAAGCTGTGAAACATGTTTCCACCATTGTCTCCTACTTCGTACGTATTGAGATTTGCACTTTTCGAAGATATTTCTATTCTTGACTTTCTTTTCAGGAAGAAAACTATCTAAAATCGTTTCAATTAACTTGGTTATTGTATAATCAACATCTGTTTGAGAAATTCGTTTATATGGATAAGAAGATTCAGAATTCCATGTCGGAAATGGTCGATTTGCTTCAGCCAACAACAAATACCAATACGAATCAAAAAGAATATTCGCCAGCTGAATATACTCAATTAATAAATCGTTTCTTGGAATTCGATGAACAGATGTCAGAAATAGCATGTCTTTATAAAGATTGTCAAACGAAAATGAGCTTCATGACGAGAAATCCGATGAATCAAAATCCAAATACGATTGGACTAGTAGTAAAGACGAAAAAGAAGAAGACTTGTAAGAAGAGACAAGGCAATATGAACAGGTACGAAACAGAAAGAACACGAAAAATTCGACTTGTGATAATCTGTTTTAGTACAATCACAAGTGCCGTAAACATTCCATTAGCAAATATCTTATCAACAGCTGTCGCTCCATCTCAACAAGGCTCAAATGGTTCATCGATTGGATCAGGTGTGGGTGGAAAAGAATCATCATCGATATCGTCGTTCGATGATTATCTCTTGGATAATAACACATCGTCCTCGAGTTTCACAAAAGAAGAACCCGATCAATTGATCGAAAACACAAACACGGAAGTTCATAATCAGTTATTTCAAGGAATGTTAAACCAACTTTCGCCGCTGACACAAATTCAACAAGAAGTTGATGAATTGAAAGTGAATGAAAGTTCGACAACAACGGATACGAATGCAGAAAAATCCAAACCAATCGAAAAGGAGAAACCAACATCGAACGGTATGATTATGACGAGCCACTGTTCGATCATAGAATTCTTATTGTTTTTTCAGCAGCTACAACCAAAAAACTAAAGTCAAGCCGCCGGAAAGATACTTCAAATACAACTACGAAACTTTCTTCGCCAACTGTACCGAAAACATCACTCACTCCGGATATAATTCTTCCACCCAAGCCTCCACCGTCGACTACCTCGAAACTTCAAGCTGATCTTCGTTCGTTAACTATTCCTCCATTAAACAAAACAGAGATTTCAGCGTGTCCATCACTTTTATCAGCTAAAATTCAGTCAGTATCGTTCACTGCTGGTACGTTCGCATCAATAACTACAGAGCAGCCCACTACGTTGCCATCAACGAATCATAAACGTTTAAATATCAATCTGTCAAGTAGAACAGGTCCTTCAACAGCTAAACGGGAACAAATCATTCGACAATGTGCAGTGGCAAATGACATCGATGCTCTCTTATCTTCATTGCAATCATCAAGACTTAATTCAGATTCGCAGAGATCATCTCTTAACAACAAAAAGACGGACTTTTGTTATTGTGATCTATTTCCTGATTCGGACTCGTCAACACCTAATGGTTGTGTTGCGTGTACATGTGCACCATCGAGTGATACATCCGCTGGCGGACTGAATTCATGTGGTGTTGACCGAAAAGGTCGATTGCAATTGAGAGTGAAGCATCAGCCAGCACAGGACACAAATGATGAACCAAAATTATTCACCGGAAATAAATCAAAAAGTAAAATATGTGATAATAACATTGATGATTTGGTCCGATTTATTGATGGTGAAGAAACAAGTACAGATAGATCGACAACGAAAAAGAATAAGAAAAAGAAAGACAAACAAGCGAAAAGCAATGCATCGAATGAAGATGCTCAGCAAAGGAAATCAGATGAAGCTGTTGTGAAAGATCCAGTCGTCGAAAACCTTCAACCGCTATCAAAGCGAAAACAAAAAGCTAAACTAAAACTTGAACAACAACAAAAGATGATTGAAGAATCTTCGACAATTCCATCTCCCATTTCAACACCGTTGTCATCATCTCCTCCTCCATCTTCTTCTTGTTCGCTTTCTGAAAAGATCGATTCTGAACCAACAACGACTAAATCTTTACCTGATGTTCCTCTTCCGCCTGAAGAAGAAGTCAATTGGATAACGATATCTCGTAAACAAAGTAAACACAAACCATCACCGTCTGTACCTATGCCAACCAAACCAATCAAACAACAAACGAATAAGAAAACTAAACCTACGAATACATCAACACTTGCTCAACCAAAAGTGATACCAGAAATAGTACAGAATAGTAATAAGCAGCAACTACCCACTGCCACTGTTGTTCCGAAACGTGTACAAAATCCAGTGAAAAGCCACGCGCAAGAAAAAAGTGAATCGTCATCTGTTTGGGCAACACTCGAACAACCCCCAGGTACATTATGATCATATTCATGTTGTTTTTTAGAAACATTGTATATTTTTTAGCACCATCCACATCCACTCTTCTTGCAACGGCACCAGTTTTTGTTCCATCGTCCACCCTTATTAAACCGAATCGCGTTAATGACACCCTTTCACTCGAAGAACCCTCTTCTTCCTCGCTCTACTGGAATCCTAACGAGTATCACCCTCCTGGCCCTGTCCAACGACCCATTGCCTCATTTTTACCTGCACCTGGACCTCTTTCCACGACAGCTTCTCGTTGTATCCAACGACCATCTTCCGACTCACGAACAGCAACTAATTTTCCAGAATATTCTCCAATGAACTACACTGTTGGTAATTCAACTTCAACATGGAATGATCTACCTGGAACTAATACGAATCAAACCCCATGGAAATACTCGGATAACGAAAAACAATATCAAACATCCACCACGATTCAAAATGATTTCCCCCTCTACGATCCATTCAATAGTGGTGCCGCACTCAACATTCCACCCTCAAATTTACTTAACAACTGCATCGGAGGTATGCGCTGACATCCACTCATCAGTGTTTTCATTTTCACTTTTAGATCTTTTTGCGAATTCGTCGAACGCCCAAGACAATGATGCCGACGAAATGAATGCACTTGAAAAAGAAATTGAAAATTTGAAAAAGTAAATCAACATCTTTGTATACTGTGCTTTCAAACCGTATCAACTGTCGATATTTAGATATTATATGGATTAGATTTCATTCGATTCGCATGAAAAAATTTCAACCAATACTGACAATTGTTTTAAGCGTCAATCTTAAAAATTAACCAATATTTTTATTTCTCTCAACCTTATTCTCCTATCTCATCATCTTGTACAAATCTTGTAAGATAGGAAACTATTTATTTGAGAGGATAACATATACATATATATATACATACGATATGTAACATTTTTCTTATTTTATTTTGTGCATGCTATTATCGTTAAGATGTCATCATCAATAAAGACAAACGGGGTAACTTCTTTGACAAGAAAAAAACAATACGTTTTGAATTCAAGCGACTTCGTCACTTTTTTTCTACGGCAACAAACGAAACTTTCAGTAGAAGTTGTCCAGCAGGGCGATTGTCTCTTCGCAAGGGCATCCAAACTCGTTCCTGATCGAGAAAGTGTCGAACGTTGATATCACATATTCCCAACACTTTTCGAGCATTACGTGCGACGGCATGAACTGGATCATCTTGTTGAATCCAAATCGTCACTCGATCAGTATTAGAATTCATTACTTTGAAAGCGAATGGGCCGCTATCAAACGTCCATTGCGGATTTCGATTTGTTGAAATCGTATCTGCTTGTGCCGTTTGAAATCGTTGATGATTACATTCGATCACAACGTAAGGCCGTTCGACGATAGTTGTACGTTGAGTTAATTTCGATAATCGTGATTGATGTAAATCTTCAGCGCGAACCACTGTTAAAATTAATTGACCAGGATTTTCGATTATTGGTGATGGAGAAGATTGAATTACTCGGATGGGTATAACATGATCTTGTCGATTTTTCCACCAGCCTTCAGCTTTATGAAGTCCGTCATTGAGATTGGGAATAATGCCGGATTCTTTGATGTTTCTCAATCGTTCCATTTGTCACTTGCGTTCGGTTTTGCTTGAATAATTATATGAAAAACATGTGATATTTTCAAATCAATCGACGTAGGATGCTTTTTTTACGCCATTTCATGTTGTTTTTACGCGACATCTGCTCAGATTTTGCAATTGCTGCAATGACATTACGAATCAATGAGAAGAAACATTGGAGGAGAACGGAATCCGCAGTTAAGTAATTTCTTGTTTTGGGTTTTTTTTATGAAATAGCGGTAAATATTTAGCTCGGAGAAGACTCGTTTTCATCAAGGATTATTACCATTCTGATTGACACATATGGCAAATTCCAATGACAATGAATTTATCTATTTTATCAAGCTTCTTGATGATCAGAAAGAAAAATATTTTTTAAAGAGCACCATCGACGAGCAGAATCATACGATCTTAATACATTTAACAAATCTGAAACAAAGCTGGGTCGGAGTTAGTAAGTCTTTCGATGTCAAATTGCTTTCTGATCTCATTTTTCTTTCAATGGGATATTGCAGTTAATCGTGAACAAGTTCGATTACTCGCCAAAAAATTCCCATCCGAATCCGCTGACTCATTCTATTCACATACGCAACGTGCTTTCTCCAAGGGAAACAAAGCAGACGCAGATGGGAAAAGTTATGTCTTCAACTGCAAGAAATTGGACAAGAATCGGATTGAGGTATGTGTTCAGAACGCAAATGAAGCCGTCTGGTTCATTTCATTTCCGTCGTGTTCGCTTGCCTGACCTGAAATGGTTGAAACATATGATATCTTTAGTTCATTTGGAAAGAGAAGATCGATGCGCTGAATTCATTAAAAATTATCGGTAATGTCGAATTGGAAGAACGACCCAATGACGAAGTAATTCAAGTCTTTTCTTGAAGGCAAAAATCGATTTTCATGGAGAGTTTTAGGTTCTGTCAAAAATGATGGACTATACTATTGATCAAATGGATATGTTACGATCAGCTAATGAACAAAAAATATCGGAAATTAAACGTACTGATGAACAACTAAATAAGGCATTACAAGTAAAGAAATTCGATAGATTTTCAACAAAAAAAGATATTTTATTCTTTTATTCTCTACGACTAGACAATCAAAGAAACAGTTGATTTAAAGGAACAATTGGAGGCAGACCTCTACCGCAAGGTAAACCTCAATGATTTATTGCATTTTATCGATGAGGAAGTGTAGGAGTTCTTTTTTCATATTCCGAAGCATTTGTATAAGAGTTTGGTCGATTTCAGGAACACGAATGATGAAATCATCAGATATTTTTTCGATTAGGACAGGATAATCAACTTTAATGGATTGAGTCCATTCAAAATTCTTATCTCCATTCGTTCGCGATTGGTAAAAATGAATGCGTTCACACATAAAGGAAAGTTCATCTTTATAAGATGAAACGAGAGACTCCAATTGTGCATGTAAATTTTGGAGCATGTTTTTCTCGATTGAATCAAATAATTCATGAAGAGATAGTAAAGTGTACTTTCCCCGGAAGATTGTTAAGATTTGCTGGAGAATTTCAAATGCCGCTTGAATACCATCGTGCTCTGTGATATACGATTCCGATGATTTGTTTAAAGGTGTTTTTTGAAGAAATGACTCGTATAGATTGAAATGAACAGTTTGAGGACGAAATTCTTTTAGAGAGGTTTGTTTAATGTACGACCAATGTTTCGAAATTTCGTTAATATTTTCATTCGTTTTGATCGCTAAACTTTCAAGGAGTTTCTTACACGCTCGATCTAATTCGACTTGTCGCTGTTGATAATATTGTATGCGCTCGGGAGAAAGGCAAACCTTATACGAACAATTCGTCATTGACGAGGAATACGATTTCATTTCGGGCACTTTTCTTTCGCAAGAAGGTTTATGCTGTTCTGTAAGCCGTTGAGTCAACGACGGATCACTCGATGTTAACGAAGGTACATATTGTAGTCGATATGCGTTAGCTAAGCGTTTCACGCATTGACGTTGTAGTTGATTGTGATCCTTATGTATATTTCGTAGATCTTCGCATTTATCATAAACATTATCAATGTAGAACGTGGACGATCTCGTCAGTTCTTTGTCTGAGTTACTGTCAGATGAACCACTAGGCAGAGAACCAGACCGCATCACTAATTGCTTCTCTCGACATCGAGAACATGCATCATATTCAGCTGTGGAATTCAACGGACGGCAGGTAGTGCAACTGGGCGTGTAATCTATTGATTTTCGCTCTTGAAGTGGTTTGTTTTCGGAGGAAATTTCGCTTTGCAGTAAACCACGATTTAAAGTGAGAGAAAAATCTCGAACAGATGTGATTAACGATCCCAGTGAGGAATTACTACTATTCAACGATGCCGACGATCTGGCAGTTGAACTAGATCGACGTCGTCGATGTCGATGAAGCCGCTTCATAACTAGTATTAGAATCTACTGTTTGGACTAGTATATATGTTGATACACTACGTTGTCATTCATGCGTGTAACGCATTTAATACGGTGTTTTTCTCTCGCCCGAATCACTATAAATTTCCACCTACGTTTTTTTTTTCGGTTAATTCATGATAAACAAAGTCCAGACGAATTACGCAGCTCAATAAATCTATGACAATCAAAAATTTTGTAAATTAATTTAATAATATCAATTAATTGTGGATGTGTCCTTCATGACTCATGAAGAAATTACATGAGTCAAGATGTACCTGGTGGGAAATATCGATGTCATTCTCATTTAGTTTGTTTTGGTGTTAAATACAAAGAAAGCTGAATTAGCCAAACTCAAAAATCAAATGAATACATTCAGTCGTGGTCATTCAACCGCAAATCTTGGTAAAAGTCACGATTATTTCTTTTCCTGATTTCCAAACGCAAAGTTGGAATTTTTCAGGTGAAGAATCGTACGCGGATTCTCATTCGCGAAGTGTTTCGCCAGTTCAATCGACATTGAATGAGAATGAGCCCCGGTCAACAACCAAACGACGTCGAAATCAATCCAATAATACAAACACAAGCGAAGAGGAAGATGTCCGACAAGTAGAGAATATCAACGTATCATTTCCTTCTATATTTCATTAACAAATAGACCCGACCGATGACACGATCTAGATCAAAAAATATGAGTAATACACAAGAAAGTTCACTGGATTTAGGCAACGATCAAATGGATTACAAGACATCAACTATAGATAGACATCCTCAACGGTAGGAAACATTTTTCAGTGTGATGATTCTGATTTCATGATTCACTAGACGAAAATATATTGCGGGAACTAATTCAATATCCAAACGTCCATTTGCTACGTAGGAAACATTTTTCTTGATATTTGACTTTTTCCGATCTCGGAACATTTTTAGTCATGGACGTACTTCATCCGCAATGACTTTACCTTCATTACCTGATGACTCGCAAACAACCGATGACTTATTAAATAAAATATAATTGTGCTCTACACGTTTCTTGTGTTTTACAATTTCACTTTTAATGAAATATTTACAATTTTATGTCATTCTAGATATAAAAATGAGTGAAGCACTTAACATTTATACTTGTATTGTGTGTACATTTGAACAACCGAATACAGTAAACAAATGCGAAATGGTAAGTGCTTTTTTCATTCAAATAAAGAATCGATAGAGACACTGCATTTCAATTTAGTGTGACACTCCAAATCCTAATCATGCAGAAATAGGTAATTCGAAATACGTTTGTCCTCAATGTACTTTTGATAATACGGACGGTCCTGTCCAAGGTATATTTGTTTATATAACATATGACGAATTATTAAAAGTTGTATTTGATCTAGAATGTGAAATGTGTGGATATAGATTTAGCGATGATTCACCTAATAAAAAATTTAAAGAAGATGATGAGGATGAAGAGCAGGAAGCAGAAGACGACGACGACGACAATGATGATGATGAAGAGGAGGATTATTACTTCAATTCGTTTTCGACATTGCAGAATAGCAATGCAAAACGTAAACCGATCGAAGCTGTTGAAGTTGCTATGAATGAAAATGAATTACGTTCATATTACGATCAATACATACGAGTATTGAAGGAACAACGACAACAGACAAAAATCTTCTCTGATGACCAACTACGTGGTTTTATTTGTCAATTATTTCAGTCACTTCAATATAAACACGATGAACCAGAAGGTTTGCAAGCAGTTTAAAACATGAGATATTCGAATAACGTTCGCATTTTTTCTAGGCGAATTGGTTTTCAAATTTTGTCAGATCTGTTTTGATAGAGATGAATCTGTGATAACTATGCGAGTAAGTATAGAGGCTTATTAGCTGAATAGCCAATTATTATAAACTTTTATAGAACTTGTATGTTTTCTTAGGCTTGCGGTCATCGTATGATTTGTCCAGATGACTTTCATCAATATTTATCAACACGAATTCGTGATGGTGACCTTCTTCCATGGATTCCATGTCCCGCTGAAGTTTGCAGTGTACCCTGTGATGCAAGAAATATCGTCGAAGACGGTCGTTTATCGCATGGCGAACTTCTATCATTCATTGTCACGTATATGTCAAAAAAACTAGCTCGCAACGAAAACTTCATTACATGCGTGAACTGCCAACAAGGCGGTTTTCTTCAGTTTGGTGCGCCGAGAAAAGAAGAAGTTACATGTCAAGTATGTAACGTTAAACAAACGATTGAGAAAGGAACGGATGGAGATCTCGATGTTGGTAAGACTTTGAAAATCAGAACGAAACGTTAGATTCGGTCGCGTTCATTCTAGCTTTCAAAGAAATGATTAAAGCAGGAGAATTACGCGAATGCCCAACGTGTCGACATTTAACTCTGAAAGAAAAAGGATTGTGTAATGTAATTGAATGTGTGAAGTGCGGTGTCTGGTGGAATTGGCGAACACGAGAACAAGGACATGATGGAAAAGACTTGAAGAACAAAGCGAGAATGAATGGCACACTCTGGGAACCTGGTATGTTCTTTGAAAAGCTTCACATAGTGAAGATATTGTTGTTTCTTTCAGGAGAATTACAATATCAACAGCGCTTGGAACGACAGAATCCATCTGAGTTCAAAGCGTTATTAGAACGCAATGGCATCAAATACAACCCAAATTATGTTCGCGGTGGATGGAATGATAATTAATTTGACTTTTTTTACCGGTTTACAATGCCATTATGTTATAAATACTGTAAAATTCGAAAAATAAACATGATTTTTCTTATTGCTAAAGACGTTTGACTTCTCTTCGACTACCGAACTTGTTTTAGATAGTAGCTGATATGTAGGGACAATTTATACAGGAAAATGTCGACGAATCCACCGTGTATTAAATGTGAAACAACAGATAATTTCAATGGACTATTGACTTGCAATGGTTCGTGCTTTGTTTTGATTTCGAGTGCGTAGGCAAGACTATTCATTTAGGATGCCGACAAAGTTACTGTTCGAATCACATCGATGATCATTTCCTTGAACGTCATAATCGTTTTGAACAATTTGTTAATGAGTATAATTTGCTCTATGATACTTTTCGCAATGTTGAAAAAAGGTTGAATGGTGATCAGCGAGAAAAAGTCCAGAAAGAACTTAGTGAGATCAAATTTAAATTTCTTGAAAATCAAAAGTCGCCGAAGTAATCTTAGCTAACAGAGACCAATGGAAACTTTCGAATTTGTGTTCATAGTTATTGTGAAAAAGATTTCACTAGTTGGCTCGATCGCTTCGAAAGAATCAGAAATCAACTAACAATCTCATCAGAGTCCAATCCAGCTACACGAATTCATTCCAAAGGCTATATACTTTACTTTTCATGTATTTTTGGTCTCCTCTTAGCGTATTATGTTAATGAGTGTCTCTTAATTCCCGATAAGAAACTCATTGTTATTACTGGACCAATTCGCTTATCTGAGAATGATCGTGTGGCTGAACATAGCGGTGATGATCATGTACCCGGGACATTTCGTGTCCGGCAAAACTTTTCGGATCGTGACTATTCTGTTCGATTTCGAATCGAAAAAATCTCTTCGTCCAATGCTTTCATTGGGATAGCTGAATCGAAAGATCATCGAACATCAACCATGAAATATGGATGGTTGATTGGTAATGATCGAAGTGTGTCTATAAAACCAGAAGAGAACATATTCATACGGATACTTCGAATGTGAATGACGTTAGATTTTAAATATAAGACAAACGAAGTTCTGTATCTTTTTAGACTGTGGCAACCTCTGACTAGTTATCAAGTGATACACTCCGTCCAACCAGGTGATACTGTCGAAATCGTTGTTGATTGTGCACACTCCAAAATAATCTTTGAAAATTTGCAAACAAACCTAAAAGGCGAATTGGAGATCGATCAGCAACAAATTCCTTTGCCGTGGCAAGTTGAAATAACTCTCAATCAACGTGGAGATCGAATCCGTCTTTTATAAGTTTTCTTGATTTTTTACTAGTGGATCATAGTTTGATCGAATAAATAAGCTAAGCGTGGCCTTTTCCACACTAATCTGATTATTCATCAAAGAAGATGCGAATATCAGTTGCACTGTGATGGTGAAATTATGAGTAAAGAAAAAGCAATAGGAAAAAGAAAAACACTCTCGAGAAAAAAAGAACATAATGATGATGTTTCAACCTACTTCTGGTCGTCGAGGTTTTAACTTTGTGAAAAGTTCAACTGATGAAAAGAGTAAGTTGAAATCTACATAAAAAATATCTCTATACGCGATATTTAGAAAAACCAGTGGATAAAGACAATGGCAATGCAACGGCAACAAATTCCTCCGAACAGAAAGCTGTCAACTCGAGTGAAACAATTGTTCAACAAACGACGGATGCCACAAACAAACAATTAAGCAATTAATCCCTTTTCTTGTCTTTTTATTCAAATAATCGAGATCTTTTTATATCAAAATAAAATATGGAAGAAAGCGACATGTTTGCTTTGTGTTACAATAACAACATATATACGCAAAATGATTCATATGGTGCATCATGTGTCATTTACTTCTTACACTCAATTCGGTTAGTTGAATATTTCAATGAATCAACCTCCAAGAAAACCTTTGATGGTCCGTATGCTACATAATACATCCGGCCGTCAAAACTTCCGACATGTACGACCTGCTTACAACAACCCATCGTGTCAAAATGCGCCCACTAATCCAACAGATGTCATCCAACAACAAACTGATGACGCAATTAAAACTGCAACTGAAAACAACTCCACCGACAACAAGACCACTCAGTAGCTACTAGATCTACTTTTTTCCCATAAACATCAGAATAAACGAGCTGAAAGTATTGCTACCATAGATACTCAACTAAATAAAAAGAATAAAGTATTCCAAGAACCTGAACATAATTGAAACACTAATCGGCGCGCGTGTTTAATTTGTTTTTTATTTATTCTTTTTTAATAAAAAGTTCGATTAACTTCAAATTTGGACGGGGTTTTTTCTTTGATTCAATTCAATGGCACAACGACATCAATAATAACATTTCGACGGTGCCATCGTTTGAAGTAAATTTTAAACAGAACATAAATCAACTGCTGACGAAAGCGCTCGGAGACGCAAATGTAGATGTAAAATGGACACTAAAATCGAAGTTCAAATGAAAAACAACAAATAGATGATCTTTTGACTAGACTTACAGCAAAACAAGAGTAGAGGAAAATAATTGAGACAATTCTTGCACAACTTATCACAGCATTTTTCACGGGATCTGCCATCATATTTGAATCGAGTATAATCGCGTTAATTATGGTATAAGGCGATATCGCAAAAAAATTATAAACAACCTGTGTTAACACTATGACTGTTAATTGCTTATCTAATTCACGTCGAACAAGTGGAACCGCTCGATAGGCTAATTGTTGAACATTTCGATAAGCTAAACTACCGAATATGACAGTTATCGAAATGGGTAATACACCTAATAGAATAAGTACATGAACTGTCTGAAAGTATTCTTGGAAACGACTATTTATCACTGTACAATCGAGTTCGCCGGTCGAAGGATTACTGACTAAGTCGTATGACTTAAAAAATACAATACCATATAAAAACCAAAGAATGGTGAACAAACAGCACAAATAACGAGCTACTTTGATGTTACATAATTGTTGCCAACGTACAGATGAACAGGTTGCTAGATATTGATCAATTGTTGCTAAGCATAGACATGTAAATGCGATTAACATGCAAATATGAACAAATCCTTCTCGAAAGATGCAATATGATTTCGATTGTGTCGTCCAATCATCTCCAAATCCGTACATCATAATAAATGTTAATAAACCCGTGATTAAATATCCCACACTAACTAATGACATAACAGTTAAATATAGAGCACATGAATTTTGACGAAACGTTTTCAAGCTAAGGAAAACAATTACATTAAGTATGCCACCGACGACACCAAGGAGAAATATCGGTATGCCCAGATAGATTGTTATTTGATGAGATATCATATTTGCAAGTGAGACAATCGAGGATGACATCGAAAATGATTCTGGAATAAATAAAAAGAAGAAATAAGCTGGATGGAATGTAAAGCTCAAAGGCAAGAGATGCTTTTTTTTAATGAGAAGGCTTTTGTATGAACACGCAACTTTCCTATTATCTGACATCGAGTTCGTCGTCCGTGCTCTGCTATTTGCTGACGTAGACAACTTGAGTACCTTGTTCAGAATTGACCTTTTCTATGTTTCAAGGATATGCATCTGCGTTGATGGAATATATGTTCTTTTTCCTGCTCTCGCCAGCAAATCTCTTAATCATATGAAAGGAAAATGAGAACAAGATGAAAATGTTTTCTTTAGTTCTACAAAGAGAGTGAACACGCAGATCCCTGATCTGTCTGAGGCGACTCATACTTTGTTTCATTACTATTTTCTTGTTTTATCAAAGAATTCTACGAGTTTCTCATGAGTGAAATTTAACAGTCGGCATAACCTTTTGAGATTCTACTATGAATTATATTTATCGCTAATGTAGCTCATCAAATGTGTTTCATGCTGTTTTAGACTTCTATCTCTCAATTAGTAGATCTCGAACAGAATTAGATAAACTTTGTTCTACAATAGCAGATTACCAAGACGGAAAGAAAATCAATCTTCTTAACAATCTTACCATAGAAGATGAATAACATGTTACTAAGCACCTTCAATACTTTTCAATCTGTGCACAAATCATGAATATTGACTTGATCTGATTATAGACATGCGTATTATAACTAATCAACATACGATGCATGTAACCATGATCGAATAGGCTGTATATTACTAAGATATACAGAGTGAACTTTATTTAATAAGATCAAACGATATTAAGTGCCTTTGGAACCAATGATATTTATGTTACATTAAAAATAAGTTATATAAAAAGATATAAATAGAATGCATCAGTTGAGAGCACGTATTCCGGAAGTATAGCTCAAAACTTCAGTTGTTATACATGCAACTTTTATTTCAATTAGTTCCTTCTGATAATCAAACAGCAAAAGATTTCAATGAACAAATCTTTACCGCTTTGCCTCGAAATCATCCGTTCTTTGTGATTAATTCGCGAAATATACCCGATAGATAAACATGCTCTGTTAATCCAGTGTGAACGAAGAATGAAATACATATTCATTCATTATTGAAATTTGAATAACAATTTTTTTATTATAACAAAAATAGAAGAACAACAAGCAGTTTCTATTCATAGGGTCTATAGAGAAACTGCTCATTTTTTTCTGTTTTATTCGCACATGGTGGATACGGATCACCTCGGCAAGCAAATAAGATTTCCATTGTTGCGCCAAAGTCTCTTGGATGATGGACGCACCAACCTTTGCCATTATTGGCCGGTGGTGAACACCACAGAAGAGAATCTCGAATAAAAACTTCGAATTGTGGTGAAGGCGCTGGTAAATTCATCGGAATCGAGTCAAAAGTCAGATCTAAGATTCCATTAACATCGTCATACGTTCGATTGAATGATAATGGAAGAGTTGTGACAGGTATTGAACGTGTTTTGTTATGAAGAAGAAAAACTGGTAGGCGAATACGTTTATCAGACCAATAGAGGAGAAATTTCTTTTCGTCAAGTTGCGATCGAAGAGAGGTCGAGGCTAAATCGTGAGAAAACGCTGGAACAATTAATGTGCGATTTTTCAAATGTGTCGCTTGTAAGATTAGTAGAGCACGCATGAGAAGGTTTCGATTACTGATCTCCATTTTCCTATGAAATATGAATATAGACGAGGTAAATTCGATGAATTGACTGTTCTCTTACGTATTTGATATCGTCACTGTGAAATATTTATCAGTTGAATTACCATAGTACTTTTTCGCACGTATTCCGAGCTGTTCAGCTCGATCAAATAAAACAAACGCACTTCCATCAGTCATCAAATGCGAAAAATGATTGTGAAATACATGCGGTGTCCAGTTTAATGATGGAACAGGCTTCATCGCTTTCAAATAAGTTTGATCAAGACGATCATAATTTTTCAATAGAGCATCCAATGCACGTTGATCAGATAGATAACCACCTTTACCAAACCGTACCCAAAAGTCAGCAACATAAGTAAAGAATTCGATGGATCTATTTGATGATCGAACGAAAAATATGCCGATGTTCACTCGAGGATGAGAACCAAAATGATCACTTATTTGTAAATCATAATTTTCGTAAGGTTGTTTCAAATGATCAAAAGGACTTGCTCTCCTACAAAATTTTTCCAAATAAAGTCAAACTTTCTCTTCTTCAAAATTCACTTTCATACCAAAACACATCCATTTCACTCAGAACAACCGAATAGCCTAACTGAACGATCTTTGCAGCTGTATTAAACTTCGCATGACCAACACGATAAAGAGAATGTTGCCGTGCTTCGAGAGTATTGACCCATTGAAGTTGCTGATCGAGTGTAAATGTTGAGTAATAAACCGGTATATTTTCTTTGAGAGCTATTATCACAGCTATTTCATCCATGGCCACTATAAAACAATGACAAGATTTGGTTTGATTGGAGATTTCATGCATTCGTTCATACCAATCCCAGGCAAATAACGAATAACTATCGCCGCCAATGATTGTTATGATAACCTGTTTCAATGGATTGGAATACTGTTCGAGAAGTGAGCGAAGATGCTCGTCACTAGAATACTTTTCAAGTGTATTATTACGGATAACATTTAGTGGCGTGGATGAATCTACAAAAGAAATGTCCGGTCAAGTTCTATTGACTCGTGATTTATACGATTTCAAAGATTCATTTAGTGAGAATGTCATACCTTTCGAAGTTAATGAAATTGTTGACTCGAGAGAAATGAAAGCTTTTGGATCGATAATAACCGGTACAGGAATGTGTGGAGTTAAATCTTTACGATAGACATAAAGTGTTAGTAGAGTGGAGATGATTAACAGTAAGATGATTGAGATTGTTGAATATGAACATTGATCAGCTCGTCGCGTTCGTGTGACAGACATTATTAAAATCTAAAAATGCATACAACGAGTACTTTTTTGTCAGTAGGAGAAGAAACAAAGTACGAGAATGTTTGAAATACATTCAGATGAGTATGTCTTTTCAAAGGCTTTTTTATTTGTAAAAAGAAGGAAGAAAAAGCTTGTATAACAGCGACTACCTATATTATTCTACAGCTATGCATGAAAAGAAAAACGAATCGAGCGCGTGTATGTTGAAGAAATAAACGAAATTGGATTCAAATTTCTATCCTTGCTACCGCTGTATTCAACTTGATGTTTATTTCCCTCTCTGTAAGAAACACAAACGAACTTTTCTCGATCTCATTTATGGATGGTATATATAGTATCGATACACAAGAGCTCGAGAATATGGACAAACAATTGAATTGTAAAGTTTACCATCATAACGTTCATAGATAGAACAAAACGTAGAAAGAAAGAAAGAAATATATAATCAAGTAAAACTTTCTCCCTCTTCTCATTTTTCTCGTCAGCCAAAACGTGTTCCGCTTCCATTCAGAACGCTGTTCGAAAGAAAAAAAAAGCGTGTGTCTACAACCTAATCATAGCAGCGTAAGAAACAATCATTTCAAGGGCAACTCTCTTCACCTTATAAAAAAAAGAGTTCCATCATTGAGAACTTCACACCTGAACCTCTCAAATGATTCCGTAAAGGAAAGTCAAATATTATCCTAAGGATAAGCACATTAACTCGATATTTGCTCTGATATCAGCCATAGACTTTACGTTCCTCGCGTATCAAGGTTTTTAAAAATACACGTTGCTATCGCCCTTCTAGTCGATCGTTGTGAGAGCTCCTGAAAATGTCAGATTTTGTTCCGGAAGCTCGGCAAGATCGATGTTTTACATGCACCTAAAGTGGAGCAAGCAGAAAAGAAACATGTATCAACCACTGTCCGATGGCAAACTAGACATCGAAATGAGCGAGGTCTTGTATGCCTTGCTTCCATGAGTGTAGACATATGACCAAAAACATCGTTTCATAAGGTTTACCTTGAGAACGAACGAATAATATAACTACATTATACATTAATATATGATATAACGAATAATAATGCTCCGACAACGCCATCTTTATCAAAAATTAAAGTCCATCGACGTAAGGTATACAGATAGATATTCGATGTACTTCTTTGCATCTCATTCGTTAATGATTTAAACCAGGCCTGAACATCATTGAAGTAGAATCTCAAGAAATATCATGCATTAAATTTCTAAGAGATTAACATGTCAAATATTGTCAAGTTTACTTTTCTTTCATATGCTCACAAAATACTTTATTTGCTCTTGTTAATAATAAATACATAGGACATGACAAGCGCACAACGGGAATATTTATAAGCCATTAACATAAGGACGTATCATTTTATTTATTAGAACAATAACGAACTTTAAATACCGGTGTTGCCTTAGTAAACTACTAATTCTAATTCTACCTGTGTCATATTTATCTAAAAAATTTGATTAAACCCATCAATTTGATAATAAGGAAATCGTAAAAAAAGATCGTCGCATATGAATATAAAAATTCATTCTGTATATATAAGAGGATAAAGAAAAAACTGATTTGAATGCTTTATTTGACGAGTTTGATCTGTTCCGCTGGTTTGTTTCTTTGTCATCATTTCTATACGGTAAATAAATTTGTTTACGGATACGATACGAAACAAGAGATTTGATCTAATGATAGACGACTCATTCTTTCGCTTGAATGATAATCTTATTAATGACAAAGTACAGTCGGTTTAAAATGAGAGATCGCAAGGTATTACCGCTATGATATTATTCTTTTATTTCCAGATAATTGATAGATATCATTGCGCGTTTCTTTTCATAGTTTTGCAGAAAAGGGCTGAATACTAATACACAGATAGGAAGCATATCAATTCGTCGAATGTGTTTGGAAAGAAAAATTTTCATCGAAACTTACTTTCATTATAGATATGAATAAAACAACAGATCGAAGTGTAAGCAATGAACTAAAAATGGCGCCCTTTGAACTTAATATATGGCTTGGCTGTTTCATTTTAATTACTGGCAATATCAGCACGTTTGGAAATATCATCATTTTCTCCTCGCGTGCATTTCGAAATCGTGCTTGTACGGTTTATTTACTAGTTGAAGCAATTGTCTTGATCTTCTTCTTCGATCTGGTTCTGCTTACCCGTACACTTCAGAAGGGTTTTCGAATACCTGTTTTAAACCGATATGATGCTATCTGTCGACTTCGTTATTTCGCTTCACAATATACTAATCTAATAGCGATTAGTTTATTCATTCTGGCAACAACGGATCGATATTTATCAACGCAGCGTTCACAAGGTAAATCATCTTTCGAGGAAGTCCAATCAATGTCTTTCATGTAATTTAGCACTTCGAAAATGGAGTGGACGAACGAGTCTCGCATATAAACTAGTACTTGCTTGTGTCATCATTTGGTTTGTATTTGGTTGTCATCGATTAGTTCTCTATAGTGCAGCAACTGGCTATTGTATTGCTCAACCAGGGCTCTACGCTCTTCTTGACAATTACCTTGAAGCTGTTATATCTGGTCTATGTCCACCGGTCATTATATTTGTATTAAGCTATTTACTAATGCGAAGTGTTCGAAATACTATTCAAAGACAGAATCTAGTTCTCAGCAATGAACCAAATAAGCCAGCAGTTAATTCAACATTTCTTCGAAAAACAGACAAACAATTGACTCAGATGTTATTTTGGCAAACATTAGTTGCGATTCCAGCATTTATTCCTTACACAATTCAGTTAATCTATTCGAATGTAACTGAGAACTGGTCGAAATCTCCGGAATGGGTAGCTTGGGAAAATGTTTGTGTAGAAACTATTCGATTACTATCATATACATTTTTCAGCACACGTTTATACATCACATTAATATCTAGCCGGCGCCTTCGACGAGAAATTTTTCGAATATTTCGGTTGAGAAATGGCATACAACCAACAGATGTAACATTAAATACAATTGACCAAACTACTGCCGGTGGATTAATAACAATTAAACAGCAGACAAATACTTAATTAATTTCTTTCTTTAAGAATTACATTCATAAATATGCATTTATCTATATACAAAAAAAAGAAGAGATCGAATGTCAACAAATGTATGTTAATCAAAGATTGCTCCGCAAAAATTACAACGTCGTTGTCGAAGAGCAAGACAACAAAGAATTCCCAATGGAAATAAAAATATCGCACAGCAAAGACCCGCACATGTGAATTCTGTATCTAACATACCGATCTAAACCAATAAAATGAAATAAATTTCAACAAATTCTTTTCAAGCAAACTTTGCAAGCTGGGCATCCACCGACGACGATAACCGTAGGTTGTTGTTGAGACGCGTATGCATAGGGATACGGTGCAGAACTATTCACAAGTGGATCGACGAATGTTCCATAACCTGTAATGAAGATGTTCTAAGTGAAAAATGGAAGGAAACAAACTACCTTGATTTGTTGCATCTTGATACGTAGGTGGATTATCATTTTCATCAACGATTAAATGTTGCTGATCAGAAACAGTGTTTGTTGCCATATTCAAATTCTTTTTGACTAATTTGGCAGTTGTTCTCTTTGTATATTATGTTACTCATCATATGTTCCCAATTGCTCTTTTGATTGGTTGTAGTTCGACATCAAACAAATACTTTGTCCTTCTCTATTCTATTCTAAGTACAAATGAAAAGAAAAGCACAAAATATTCTGCTATCTATCATGACCGACATAAACCACCTGCCACATTTTGATAACAGATAATCGACAGCGTAAATTTGATGACAATCGCTCGTTCAGCAGCGATTATCGGTGGAGGTATCGGTGGTTTAACGCTAGCTAATGCTCTCATTCGTTCAGGACTATCTGTTTCACTATATGAACGTGCATCGCATTATACTCCAACATCTGGTGCTGCACTTAGCCTTCAACCAAATGGACAGATACCACTTGCTTATATTGGATTCAAAGATTCTTTGCAAAAACTTGTTTATCCCTTTTATCATTGGCAAATGATCGATGAACACGGAAAAGTTCGTAGCACGTCGCCATGTTTCGGCGAATATGTACAACGATTTGGTTATTGTATCGGTGGTACTATCCGTGCTGAACTCGTTGATATGTTAAAAGCACCTTTGGAACAAAATCACTGTTTACATTATTCACATAAAGTGATCGATCTTCAACAAGATGCGCATGGTGTCACACTTTCATTTGAAAATCACCATGAACAAAAACCAGTTCGTGTCGATCTGGTTATTGGCGCTGATGGAATTCATTCAACGGTTGTGGAAAAGATCTTCTCGGCAACAGAACCACCAATTTATTCGAAAGAAAATATTTTCTACGGTATGATTGACAATATTGATGAACACACATCGATTGGTCCCATCGCAACACAAAAGAACACATTGACTCAATGTTTTAGCAAGGGTGAATTTATTTCTTATCGAGCTGGTAACCAAGGACAATTCATGTGGGCAGCAACGTATCCGTCAAATACACCTCCACTGACGAGTTCCGATGCTGAATGGACACATACGAACAATCAACGTGAGCTAAATCGATTTTTAACATTATTTCCTTCGACACATCCAGTTCATCAGTGTGCAGCTGTGACAGATCAGCAGCGTTTACTACATTTTGGGTTATTCTACCGTAAACATCGAAGTGATGGTTGGCATCGTGGTCGAATCTGTTTGTTAGGCGATGCATGTCATGCAACGTTACCCTATGCTGGTCAAGGTGCGAACATGGCTATCGAAGACGCAGTTACACTCACATCATGTTTAGAAAAACATCAGTTTCAAATCGAACCGGCATTAGACGAATACTACAAGAAACGTTTTGCTCGAACGAAACGTGTGGTTAATATTTCCAGATATATGGGTCTATTTTGCCATTCACAAAATTCACTCTTACATGTCATTCGACAGAGTTTATATCCAAAGCTCATGAACTCGAATGCGATGATTAAAATAGCGGAAAAAGAATTGTTCCAAAACTGTCCTGTGCCAATGGAATTTAAGAAAATCAAAACATAGTAATGCTTAATTAGGAGACGACTACCTGCAGTCGCTATAACCATTGATTGACGTTCTTTTTTCGTAGCTAGTTTTGATCGAGTGCTTGTGTGTCTTTCTTTTGATGTTCAAGGACGATGCTTGCTATTTTTTACATTAAAGATCGTTTTTCCGATCTATAAAAGTAAATTGTTTGTTACATCACCATGCATTGCGAATATATTTAATATCTAGTATGCCGTTCTGTTTCATTGCCGTCCTCGCATGTTCTTGTTCGTTTGAGTCGTCAGCACCAAAACATCCTCAAGATGCTGTTTTCGTGTTTTTCTTTCGAGCGATACTTCACCGAGCTATTCATAAAACCATTTGATTAAATCTCTTGAAAATGGGTAGTTTAATTACTTGCACACAATCTAAGTCATCAAACATTCGCAATGAACGGTTTCAACAAGATCTAATAATCGTCATCGGAGGTTGCATGTCCTTCTTTGATGATACCTTCGACAAAGATAACAAAAGTGCACAATCGATATTAACAATACATAAGGACAATGCAAATAGTTGTTCTCATGCTTATCTATTAACAGCTTGTTCGACTCAAGTCGTGTTACGTCAAATATCTAGCTGTTGGATATACTTGTGATTGCCTCATCAGCACTTCAAACATTTAGATTTGACCCTCCATTTGTCTATCAAAGTAATCGAATTAACGATTTGGTTGGCATATCTTCATTTAAAAAAAAACGTCCTACAGTTCAAATTTGTTCGATAATATATATGAAAAACTATCAAATCTGTTCATGGGGAATAATCTTTTTGTTCAATCCAGTGTTGATAGTTCTTTCGTTGTCGTTCCATTTCTCGTATAGTTAATGTCCAAACATCGACATCATCCGAAATTGCATAAGGTTTCGGCCCGTATTCAGGTGTTAAAGTAATCCGTGTTTTGCCTTGTTTCATCTGTTCATCCCAAATCATTTGCCACCAAGTTTGCATCAAATGTGTTTCGACGGGTGCGTCAACCAACGGATCGGTCACTTGTGCATGTTGAACAGTGCCTACACGTGCATGAATATGATCTACATGCGGAATAATTCGACGTAGACGTTCAAGATCCGATGGATGATTGAGTAAACGTTCACATACAATTAACCAATGCGAGAAATCGGCAGTTAAACGAAGATTAGGAAAACGTGTGATCATGTGTAATGTAATCGTTGGATTGAACAACGAACGACCACGATGTGTCTAAATCGAAAGAAATAAAGTAAAGAAGAGCTCTTGGACAAGATAAATGAATGAATAAACCTCATGCGATGATGATACATTCGGATATTTAGCTTGTAAAAGTAATGCTCGTTCGAAAAATTCTTCATGTTGTTCTATTGTCCAATTATCTTGTCCACTATGGATATTAATATGAATTGGATTATATTTAACCATTTGTTCTAATTCCCTTTCTAGATTTTTCAGATGCTGTTCCACAGTTAAATCTTGCCAAGAGCCCGGAATGAAATCTGCCCAGTTCGTATAACAAATCCCGATCAAGTCAAGTTGGTGTTTCGCTAATGTTTCTTTGAAAAATTCGTCATTATTATGAGATAGACGAAGAATTTCGTTCAATGACGTTTCAATTCCATCGAAGCCGCGATGATGAAGTTCGCTAAATAGAAGATTGATATCTGAGGAGAATTGCGCTTCGGCGCCCCAAATATTTCGAAAAATTTTCAGTTGTGGCCGTTCGCTTGTCGACATGGTATCGTGTAGAAGTCACAAGAAAAGAAAGAATATCGGCAAACAAGTACACACTATCTTTCATACTGGATCGAACAGAAAGAAAAACGCACATGATTTCGACATATAGTTACGTGATATTTTGTTTTTATTATATTCTAAATTTCAAATAAATTTTATCATATAAAATCTTTTCTTCTCAATCAAAATGATAATGTTCTCGAATTTTACGCCGAAAAAATTGAACAATCAAACAATCACATAAGATTAAAAATAACATCGAACCAGCACAAAAGATTAGATCGGGTTTCGCACGTTGATTGATTATCTCACGATATTCTTCATAATCCCAAAAGACAGCATGCATTTGACAAATGGTGACGAGATAAATGCAGAAATGGAATAAATGATGACCTTGTCCAATAAAATCAAGTGTACCGGGACATAAACGTTGTGGTAAATCAAATCCGAAAAGAATCGCACCAATAACAAAGAGAATAATTTGTCCTAAATGACACATCAACGCAGGATTTGATGAAATAGTTGATGAATATAAACGAATACATAGAGGAGAAATGGAATAAATCCATAGAAGTCCACATGGAAAGAATTGACAAACACGTTTTAATGGTGGATATGGTCGATGGAAGTAGTATTGTGCAAAACAATTAAGAAAACAAGCTAAAATTCCAAGACTAAGAAGAATAACGATATATTGGTATTCAATATTTTCATAGAACCATTCCGGTGCTGAATAGTAAATATGAAGAAAACCGGAACCGAAGCCATGTAAACTAACACCAATGAAATCGATGAGAAAACAAGTCATATGAATTGTTTCCGATTTCGAGTGCAATAAATGTGCAAATGCTGAGCAAGCAAACATTAATATCGCTGTGCATAAAGAAACAGCAAACGGCCATGAATGTGCATTTTCAAAGAAATCTAATCGTTTACTATAATAAAACAATAGATGTGTCATATAGAAAATTCCTATAAAATGACTCCAAACATTGATTGTTTCATTATGTTTATGAAATAAAGATTTGAAATAGTACGACCACGGACGATGAATTGATCGAAATCCATTGAGAATGTATGGTTCAACAAATAATGGTGGAACTTCATGACATTTCAATGGATACCGTGGCATGGTTTGTAAGGAAATAAATGCCGATTTGGCACGAAGATGAATCCGTTGAAGATAATGCGGAAGATCATATTCGAAAGAAAATGGCAATGTCGGAAGATAATGAGCGAAACGGTTCATATCTAACATAATTTTTCTCTTATCTGACAGTCGTTTATTTGTTTGGTTTTTGCTTTATTCAGTTCGAATTAAACTAAAGAAAACGAAGCAAACAGTCGAGTGCAAACGTTTCACATTTTTTTCGAAAAACGAACAGTCAGTTCTTACCTATGTATTGTCAAATCCAACATGAATAACGAATAGCAACTTGTCAGTGTGTTGTGTTCGATTACCAAGGTGAAAAATAAGATGTTTAACATTCAAGAGAAATCATACAGTTTTTCTCGTTTCTTCAACTCAAAAAATCTTACAATAATATTGACTAAACTCAATGCACATCGATCGAAAAGAACAGAAGAATGGAATAGTCGATGTATGAGAAAAATGACGAAATCTTATGACATGAGATACCGTCAACTACAACACGAAGAAAAAGTTAATCAGTACCTTTATTTTCAAAGTCGACATTTCATTACATTTTCAAATAAATACATGTTTTCGTCTTTTACTATATACAAAGATAAGATAAATAAAACTACGTAGATAAGCGAAATATTCATTCTTGTTTGACATTCTTTGTCTTGTCTTTACTAGTACTTGCTGGACAGATATTTCGGTTTAAACAAGTGGGGCATCGAGGACGAACAGGATAACATTGAGTTTGACCAAAACGAACCATATTATGATTGATCTTATCCCATAAATCTCTGAGAAAAACAAAACATCCATTTCTTCGACCTACGTCGAGAATAACCTACCGAGGAATCCATGACTCTAATTCCAAACGAGTTTGTTCCGGTGTTTTCGTATCATATCGTAACCAACCAAGTCGATGTGAAATACGATGTACATGCACATCAACACCAATACCTTGATTTGATTTCCAGGCAAAATCCATCGCTAAAGATTAAACCTGAATTCTATTCATCTCGATAGACTTTCTTACCTAGATACGCCATTTTCGGACCGACACCTACAGAAATCAAAGGAATATGTTTTCAAACAAAAGAAATTTCTCTTTTATTAACAAACCGGGTAGAGCACATAGGTCTGTAATTGTGTTCGGAATATCATCATTGTATTTATCTCGTAATATCTGACATGTTTGTTTAATATATTGAGCTTTTCGCTAAACGAAATCAATTCAATTTCCTGTTTTTCTCAAGTTAATTTCAATCTCTTACTCGCCAAAATCCAACCGGATAGATTATTTTCGCTAAATCATCAACATCGACATCAAGTGCATATTGTATATTAAAATCAACGTCGTATAAACGATCCATTGCTGCTATTGTCATTGTATCTTTTGTTTGACTAGATAACATTAAACTCACCAAAACATGTAAACGACGAATCTATTCCACGAAACGAAAACAGAAAGTTCTTTGAAGAACTACTGTAAAGAAATCTTTACTTTGTCATCGGTAATATTATCGCCAACTGTATCGCAACCGCGAGGTTCTAAATCTTTGTTCCTTATTCTCATCGCTAAAATATTCTCCCATTGTTCCTTGAACACAGAAATAAGTTAAAACCGTATTGATTTAACATTGCAAAAAATACCTTCCAATTTGGCGGTTGCCATTTTGGTTCATCTGATGTTTTTTGTCGTTTCCTATTTCAAAAATAAAATTTAAAAAAAAGAAATTGTCATTTGTCAAGAGAAACTCTGCACATCCTGTTTTCAATTAGGTTACCTGCTTCGCTGCTTAATAACTCATTCATCAGTACTTTAATTTCCTCGGATGTATACAAACTTCATTTGAATAGATCAACAAGAGTTCTACTTCTCGACTTACCTGATATTGCGCTCGGTTTCGATTGGATTGATTGTTTCGCTCTTTTCGAAATATCTAAGAACAACTTCATTTATTTCCACTTCCTAATATGAACTTCTTACTTGCTCATAACTGTCTGAACTACATGTTCCTTGTCCGCATCTGTTTTTCTTTTATTCCGATTATTATTTTTAGACATAACAAAAATCTTTTCTAAAACAATATATATATATATCAATGACATATCGAAAATTTTCATTGCACTAATGTAACACACAGCCTCGAGTTGCAATTAAATATGTAAAATCTTTCATTTCTCTCTTTCTCTTTCGAGACGATTGTTGTCCATCAAATAAAACTCGACACATTTCCATCTTTGCCACTCATTGCCTATGTCAACATATGTGACTCTTTATTTAATTGAATTGCAATAGAATGAATGTGTGCATGTTTAACTCCATTTAGATTTCAATGGTTTCACTATCGGATTTGAAACACGTTAGTGACTTATTTCCCAATGCTCAAGTTGCATACATATCACCAAGCACGACTGGTTCATTACATTATCTAAACATTCGCGTCACCGAACGTCTTCATCGTTATCGACTACTAAAACGGCAATGGAATGATCTACAGTTGACAAATTCAACTTCGGATAGTCGTTCATCTATTCCAGAACAAAAGGAACATGTTATTCCACCCACGCGAATTCTAGCAAAGAATTCTATCAAACTTGAACCATTACGTTCACAAATTCAACACGACTTATTACAATTGCGAAAGATAGTTCGAATAAAACAGAAAAAATCGCGCGATATTTCGCATAGGAGACCCCTGATAGCCAATCAGCAAACTGTAAGTCTTTCCTAGACGTGAGATACACTCATCCTTTTATCAAATATAGACCATTATAAACATTCCTGAGAACAATGGAAATGATTATCTCCGTACGATTGTGCATCGAAAGTCATCGGTATTTAATCGAATGCAACTCTTCGATCCACGGACGCGATCATCCATATTTCCACAGAATAATCTCACTGATAGTGGTATAATCACAATCAATAATTCATCAAACAGTTGCGTATTCAGTTTGAATCGAACACAAAAAATCAAGCAAGAAATTCATAGTCAAGCGTTCAATATCTGTGGTTATCGTGTCAATCCATCTCCGCCTTCGGACTATTCTACACCAAATAAAACTTCATTAAATATTCATTTGAAATCTTCACAAAATATCAATTCAAAACAACCAGCTCAAACACTACGAATGAAAGAGAAAAAAAACAAATCCGAAACTTTCTCTCGGTTGAGTTGTTTATCGTCCGATAGTGACGAAGCGCTTACAAGTAATTATGCATACGCAACGTCAACTTCCTCTTCTACGCCGCAGTCCATGAAGCTCAATCGAAACGTCTCACTGTTACCCATCCTCCTCGGCACTCAAAGCGTGGATCCTGCATCGATAAGAAAATTCTCGAATCATCCAACAAAACCGATTATACCGCTTCATTCACAGGACGCCGATCACGGTTACGCAATGCTCTCGTCTCAACTAGATCGTCTGCGCATCACAATGCCTAATACAGATGTTTACAATGATTACACACGAATTTGTTGAAACGGAAAGAAAAGACAAGATTTTTATCATTTGTTGCTTTATTTTCTTCGATAACAAAACTACTAACAAAGCGTTGGCTAATCTTATTTCGTTGTATTGATTTTCGGTATTAAATTTTTGGAGAACCATGACGGTCTTTCACGTGGAACTTCTACAATACGCTTGTTTTCATCGACGATCTTCTGATCGTCTTTATAAACATAAACAACTTCTTGTTGAGGATGATTATGGTTCCATTCGTCTTTATTCAAAAAAGAATCTCGGAGAAGTTGAGTTTCTTTTCGTATACGATCATAACAATGACCACAGATAGTTTTTTTCTCATGCCATGTTCCACATTCTAAGCATTGATGAAGATCTTGACGCGGCGTGCCAAGCTTTTTCATCAAAGACATTGGCAAGTCGGAATGTCGACGAATTCGACGCCGTTCAATAGTTGCACGATGTTTTTGTGTTAACAATATCGATGTATCGGGTAAATAGGATTGAGGAGGAAGTATTGCTGATGGTGTTGCTGGAAGATCAGCAAAGGCAAATGTTGGCGACGGAAAGAACAAACGAGAATATTGAATTAATTGATCTTTGAGAAGATAATAACGAATGAGAAATTTTGTTAACATGATCTATAAATGAATGCAAACCGATAAATATGTGTTTTGATTAGAATAAATAAATAAAAATTCAAACAAACAGACGGAAAAAAAGGACGAATTTATTTTCGAATTGTTGGATTAAAAAGAAGAATATTATCTCGACGAAGTGCATCAGCTAAATATTTCAGATTCATTGCATCTTGTAATGAACCATCGATTGTTATGCGTTGGCTTAAATAAGCTTGGACAAGTTCGTTCGAATCTCCCGTTGATAATAAACGCAAATCTTCGGGATTGGATAAGGTAATCGACACGTCAGCAGACGATCCGGCTGGAAAACGACCAGTATCGCAAGTTCCGTTGCCTATGGAAAGACAAAGTAAAGTATTCAATGATGAAATGTTCGGCTACGAACCATTTCTAAGATCAAGATAGAACTCTCCGAGAGTTGCTATGTTGAATTGATAGGTAGTTTTAATTTGTTGAACGAGTTCAGCATTTAGAGCAGGTTTGATTCTCTGTACAAGAAGTTGAAGAACAGGTGATGCGGAATTCTCATTGGATTTCACTGAAAAGCAGTGCGTTGGAAATGAAGAATTGATATAGAAAATGTTTACCTATTGTTGGCGGAATAGGACCTGCTTGGTTCTGTTGTTGCATAATGCCAGCAAAGATCTTTGTGAACACATCGAGTGCAGGATGAAACGATGCTTGATTTTGTTGATTTTCTTCCGCTGTTGAAATGAGTTTGGTTTGAACACTAATTCGAATATGAAATCTCTATGTTTTTCATCGAGATTTCTACTTACATATTCACTTTTTCGATTTCAATACCCCATTTTCGAACAAAATGATTCAATTCATTCTAAATCATGAACGTTTCAAAAGATTTCTTTCCAAGAACATTCCATCTACATACTTTAAGAGATAATTCAATGGTATATATTTGTTGTTCAATTTTCATTCCGTCAATTTTACCGACCATCGACACTAGTGTTGATCGTGTTAATGACTTTAATGAAATGGATATATCATTTAAGCTATTTGATACAAGTACGGGATCATCAATTGTATATTCTACGGAGAGATTGACTTCAATGATCGCATTATCTCGACACAGAATCTAAACATGAAAGGAAATTGAGAGACATTTTGATTGTTTCTATCAGAATAATTACTTGAGTTGGAGAAATTGGTAAACTATTGTGAGTTGTTCGAATGCATTTTGTATAATCAACGAAGGGAAGTACTAAAGTTAGGCCTGGACGTCGAGGTGAACCTTGAACACGGCCCAAACGATAAACGACCAATTGTTCATTTGGACGAACGCGCTACAATAAGCCATTCTCCGTTATTTTGAATTCAAAACAAGAATTTTACCTTAACGGCGAAGATGAGCGACCATGGCAGGAGAAGACAAGTGAAAATTGCACAGAGCAAAATCACAAAATGATGGGCAAGTTTTTCGATGCCAACCAATGGACGTTTTTCTACGAAATAGAATGAGAATATTGGTCAGAAATCATTGCGAGTAATTCAATATACCAGATAGAGCATGAAGATTAACTTGTCTGGAATAGGCAAAAGCGGAACCATAGTTTGCAATTGATGCGTATTGATCAGCCGATGGCTTTCCACTTGTTAATTCGATGATTGATGCAGCTGGTCGTCCATCATCGTCGTTAGTCGAGATGGGTTGATATTTGTGTGTCGATACGTTCATGTTTTGTTGAAATTAGATAAACACCGATGAGAATCAATGAAAAGCCCACCAACCAAAGAAAATTGATTGGTTCAGTAAAGAAAATAAAGCCAACCAGAGCAGAGAGAAGGAAATTGCTGGTTTTTGTGACGATCGTCGGTTGAATACTTGTTGATGATAAGCTCAAAGCTTTAGAATAACAACGCCACATAAAAACATTGGAAAATACGAAGAGCACTATATAGATAATTGTTTGAACCGATGCAAATGTCGTTTGACTAAATGTTAATTTGCCGAACACCGAAGCAAGACAAGCAGAAATACCGGCAAGAATCGCGTATAAGTTTACAGAAGATTCGTGCATTAATCAGCACTACAGAGACGAGAAGATGTGATGAGAGAGAGAACTTATAGAAAATTCTATTGACCAATGTCAATGATATGTTGTACAAGAGATGATAGATGGCGCCAAACAACAGTTGTATACAAAAGCTTTATTCGCATAGATTTTCAATGTTTTTGCACAAAATGAGTCAAAACTTTGGACAGAGTGTCGTCATAGTGCAATCTTTCTCTTTGTATCAGACGCGCACAGATACATTTCAACGATCGAACACCTAGAATCTCTTTGAAATGTTGTACAACTCCCACATTATCAGGCGGAATCAATTCGAATGGAGTTTGTCCTTTATCATTGACATGATCCATATGAGCACCAGCCTGGTATAGAACGTCCATCATGGAAAGAGTTTTGTCGCTGACATCGTCATTTTGAACAAGTAAATGTAACGGTGTATTCTTATTTGCATCCAATACGTCAACATGCGCACCACACGTGATCAATAAACGTGCCGTTACTGAACATGGGTAACTACGAAGAGAACGAACGAACGGTTATCACTATTGGTGAATGCAAAGTGCTTACTGAACATCATCGGAGAATCGTTTGGTCGATGTAGTTGAACATAAGTGAAGGAGAGTAAGTTGATCTCTGACTGTTCGATATTCACAACGAAGAATCAGTTGAATCAAATGATGTAATTCTCGTCGCTGATTGATGTCTACATTTCCATTTCTATTCTGAATAAGGTTTGCGATAATTGTTAACAAATAAAGTAAGGTTCGCAGATTATAATCAAAATTCTCATTTTTAACATTTAGTTGAAATTCAATCTTCATAATTTTCAACATTCGAATCAAACTTTCGATCTGAATGTCCTTTTCGTTATTCTGCCTCATTTCCAGAAAGATGTTTATGAAACAACGAAGATATTCCTTCTTGATATTGGTGTTGTATTTCTGTTTGAGGTCGATTTCATAGAACCACCAACGAAGGCAATCATTGTATCGATGTGTATCAGCTAACACAGCACCATAATAACGCAGGACATGGTGATAATCATTACTTTTATCACCTAGTAGGCGTTGATGAACACGAATTGTTTCGATATGTAATTTTTCTTTCGAATTCGAATGTATTAATTCATTGAATTCTTCGAGCGTGCAACATTCCGAACAGAAATCAAAGATTTCCAATGGTGGCGAGGATAACACTTTCGGTATATTCTTACTCAGTCGTAATTGGAATGCTTCTGTAAGATACTTTTTTGTTTTGGATAGATTCTCTAGTCGTGCTACACATCCTCCGAATGTTCCACCAAGTAATTCTTTCGCTTCGATCCATTCTAAATCTGAACAGTAACCGTGAAAGGCTTCCACCAATTCGACTTCTCCATACAAAGCAGCACGCATCAATGGCGTAACATTTCTTAATTTATCTCGGAAATTTGTCGCACCATTTTCCAGCAAGCATTTCACGATTTCACACGAGCCCGATCTCACTGCATAGTAAAGCGCTGTTTGACCATTTTCGTCCTCATCGTTGACATTCACTTTCAATTCGTTGATCAGATATTTCACCATTGTGGGATACCGACGACCAGCACTCAACATTAAATTCGTATAATTTCCGATTTTAATCTGACTCGGATTGGCCCCGTGTTCTACTAAATATTTCGCCATAGTCAGATTATTATTAAAACATGCCACGCGAAATGTCGTACTATGGGTTTTTGTTAGATGATTGATTTTTGCATGACCTTCTTCGACGAGCAGACGAACAATATCGAAATGGTCTACGGCTACCGCTGTCCATAGTGGCGATACTTCTTCGACAATCTCCTGTTGATTATGACTTAAATCGAAAACAATTGTGCCCACTTTTTCAATATCAGGTCGAAAACGGCGTAGTAACATGCGCACGATATGTTCGTGTTTATAGTAACATGCTGCTAATAAGATTGTCCATTTCGATTGATTGTAGTTGAATAACTGGTTAAGATAATGTGGATTTTGGTTGAGATAGACCTCGAGAGAGATCACATGACCTTGACGAACAGCGTGATGAATTAATTGTTCATTATCGATAGCGGATGATTGAAATGGCATATTTGAAGAAAGAAAATTTGTTTTTGTTATTCGATGGTACACATGTGTTCGAAGCAGTTGATTGAATTAGACGACAGATGAATTGATCTACAGTATTCCAACCGAAGAACAGGAGAAATGTCACATGTTCTTACGTTTCTGCTTCGTTCGATGTAGGTAAGGAAGAAGAGAAAAAAAGGTAATGTGTCGAAAACATAAAATTTTGTTTTTCGTAAATGCAGTCAGATTAAATCAACAACATCGTTTTTAACTAAAGAGCAAAAATAGAAACAGCTATATCGTTATAATTTATTAGTTTCATCGATCAATATCGAAATGTATATTTTTATTTCACTTTGATTTGCTTTCAGGGCTCGTTTCGTGCCGTCATTCAAAACCTGAGGACTATATTTAGTGTGAAAATAAAATATGTTTTACATCAGCTCATTAACCTCTATCTAACTTCATTGTTCAGTCAGGAATATTCCAGTAGTGTTTAACTAGACGAAGCAAAAGTAATTGGAATTAGAAATCTTCTTTTTCAAAGAGCACACGAACCTAAGATGAATATGATGAAGAGCTGTTTAATTACTCCAGTTCTTTCTTTGCAACAAACAGGAGGTTTCCTAATTAACAGTGTCTATTATTATCTTGTTAGTATCATGGAATTTAAAAACTACTGCTATATAACACGCTTATATTCAAGTTAGAAACTCACATATATTTTACTAGATGACGTTTGTATCGTAGTAATCTTTCGTTGTTCCATTCATTTGCTTTTTTCTTAAACGGTGTGCGACTCGGATGGCGGATTTAGGAAACTCAACTTATACAATTTGGCTTAATAATTTTTCCTTTCAAATGAACCGGTACATGTCCATATTCATCATACTATTCGGTTCAGTTGGAAACGTTTTAAATTTGTTAATTTTTTCGCGTCCGAAGCATCGAACAAATCCATGTGCAGTGTATTTCTTCTATGCGGCAATCGCTGGTCTGATTGCACTTTATTCTGGACTCACAAGTCGAATATTTGCAGGTTTTCAACTCGACCTATCCGCCACGACGGAAGGACTTTGTCCAGCGCGAGCTATTATTGTTTGGGTTTCAACAACAGCTTCATCTTGGTTTTTAACTTATGCAACTGTTGATCGATATTGTATTAGTTGTCGACAAGTCAATCGTCGAAATTTGAGTAATCTACAATATACTCATCGCTTGATGGTCTTGACAATCGCCGGTGCATCATTGATCTTTAGCGAAACATTCTATTGCTATGTACCGAATCTAAAAGGTTCTCCATTACTTTGTTATGGGCGGAATATGACCTGCCGACTCTATAACGAAATCGCTTCGGCATTGCTTTTTGTCTTTATTCCATCAGCAATCATGTTAGTATTTGGATATGGAACAGTGGATAATGTAAGGAAATTACTTTCATCCATTACGCCAACAGTAGGTACAGACGGAACAGCTAGATCAATTAGAAAAACCGATCGACAATTGATTCAAATGTTAATTACTCAAGTTATTTTATCAACTATTTTTAACGTTCCATTATCTATTCATAGGCTTTATTTAACATCCACCTTAGCACAAGCTAAGAGTCCGTTGAAAGCAGCAATTGAAAATCTTTGTTTTCAAATCTTTTACCTCCTTAGCTTTCTCACGTTCGGGATACCATTTTATATTTATACGTTAACAGGCACCGTGTTTAAAAGCGAATGTAAAAGTTTATTTCAGTCTATTTTTAACAACTGTAAACTCGTTTTACTCTGGCACGTTCGCACATGACTAGCCGGTACGTCTATGTCTGTAGCGTCTTGAATATTACGATCAAATTTATTTCTATGTTTCAGTTGTCATACCTCTAATAAATGAACACTTTTTAACTGGATGATATTTTTATTTATTTACGAGATGTTTCAGTATAAAAGCGAACCATTTCTTCAAATAGTCTTTGTTCATCGGCGGTAGTTCGAGAGAAGACACACTTGCAGAGAACTGTTCACTTGATCCTGCTTCATTCTGTCGAAATGCGTTGGCGAATAACTCTTCTTTGATCGAGTCGGTAACACCACTTTCCTTATTGAGTCTTCTTTTCCATTCATCATCCGATACACCTTCCATCTTGATTCCACATGCTTCCATTCCACTCACCACCTCTTCGAACATCACTTCGCTTTCCGCATCCATAACATCATGTGTACTTCCCNAAGTGGCAATGGCAGGTGATGTTGCTGTGCAAATGACTGTGCATATTGTAGATTGGGAACGATGACAGCAGAAACGGAGTGTGAGAGTAGATCACCATGAATATAGATTTGTTCGACGAAAGGACTTTGAATATAGATGCTCTGCAAATATTCAGGTGAGACAAACTGACCTTGAGAAAGCTTGAAGAAGTTCTTCTTTCTGTCGATAATGTGTATAGTAAACTGGGATCCTTGATTTCCTTGTAGTTCGACAATGTCACCAGTTCGAAAGAAGCCATCTTCGGTAAGGGCAGCCTTCGTTTCATCTGGATTGTTGATGTATCCTGAGAACATTTGAGGTGTTTTAGTAAGTAGTTCACCGCGTGGATATGGTTTATCATCTGTAGTATAGCCCATATCAGACACAGATTCAAGTCGAAATTCGATTGTATGCTCGGTTAGATTGTCAAGGGTTACGCTGCCACATTCTGTTATACCATACGATTCATACACGGTACATTGTGTGAAACAACGTTTCATAAAGTTGAGTACAGCTGGACTGACCATGGCACCTCCAATAGCAATTGATCGACATCGATTTGGTATGAGCTTAGAAAACTGTTGAAGAAGGTGTTGTTCCGTTTGAATCGTCTCTTCAGGTAAACTATTGACAGTTGCCGATACAAGTGCTGTTTTGAATTCAGTATAGATTTTATTCCAAATTGCCGGTGGACTACCGAAATATGTCGGTCGAACTAACGCAAGTTCTTCCATTAGTCGAGATGTGTCTCCTGTATAAAAGCCTGTTCGGCCTCCGCATAAAAATGTAGTAATAATTGCATCACGATCAGCCGCCCAAACCAACGGTCGGTACGAAAACGTTACACGTTCGAGCGAAGAAGGTAAAAACCAGCGTGGAAATGTAGCACGAAAAGCACCTTCGGAAATAATAGCACCTTTGGGAAAACCAGAACTTCCGCTAGTATAAATAATAGTCAGAGGATCAGAGGGTCCTATTTCCACATATTCATAGGGTTTCATCAAACCATTCTTTTCCACATCGTTCATAGAATGTAGAATATGTTTATTGTCGGATGCACATGCTAAATAGAAGAAAATTTAATTGTTTCATATTCGACATGCTGGGTCATGTATTCTACTGCATACTTACTGAGCAGTTCATCTGGAATTGGATCCATGCACACGATATGTTCGACATTTGGACATTCTGATCGAATACCAACGAATCTCGACAACATCTCTCCATCACAAACTATCACTGAGATTTTCGTATTGTTAAGTACATGTATCATCTCACGATCAGTAAAAAGTGTGTAGATTGGTACACTGATAATACTTTGAAAGACACATGCAAAATCAGCGATGACCCATTCGGGTCGGTTAGCAGCACAGATTGCAAGGTACTGTCGAGGATTGATGAGTTGTCTGAGACCGTGTCCAAAATTTTTAGCTCGGTCACCGATGGTCTTGAAAGTGAGCCAAGAATAAGAATCTTTATAGATAGAAGGATCATCCTGATCTCTGTCTCGTGTGCCCAGACAATGACGATCCCAGTACATTGCTATTGCTGCGCGTAGTGCAGTAGCTATATCCACTTTCATGCATTCTTTTGATTCTTCTTGACCATATGCCAGTTCAGGTACCATTGCATGTGGATGTGGTGGTTTCGCTGTTGCAACACATTGTTCACAGTAGTCGTAATTGTCGCAAATAGTACAATTGTAGCGTAGTTCGCCGTGATTGATCACACGTTCGCATCGATCACAGTACCAATAACTTGGTTTTATATTATCAGACTTTTCTTTGTCCATCTATAGAACAACAACAGCTACAAAATGTCCAAATAGTTTGTTAAAAAAAGTTTTTCTATGTACTGTTGGTGTGGCAAAGATCATTCTAGATAGTTACTCAACATGTTTGCAAATTTTACGGAATGATGAAACAGAACTCAAACAGGTTAGGGTGACGTCATTTTTGTGAGACGCACAAGACGAGAAATGTTTTTCCTGTTCTTCTCCTTGTACCAATGAATCATAACTATCGGCTGTTATGAATCAGCGCTATGCAACTGTCGTAGTTCTCTAAAAAGTTTATTCGAACGTGATGATGTTTTGTAAACTGATTGTCAAATTTCCTGAGAGCCTTTATATATTCAACTTGCAATCTGTTTCGCCATCTGTCTCAATTAGTCCCAGATGAAATTTATCGTGCTCTGAGAAATCCAGTTAAACTTAGTCACTTGTCTTCACTTCCTGAAGGAACCTATCGAACAGCAGCCATAATGATGCAAACGATGTTCACGCAAAGAGATACATCCTATTATATTACTCTTCATAAAAAGTGGTCTGGTGGAAGGCGAATGAGTTGTAAATCCATGCGTTATGTATGCAATAACACTATTCTGTTCACAATGTCATCTTCTTCTCCACCGATCATATACTGCAGATACGGACATCTAGCAATATAATCCTTTATTTCAAAATATTTTCACTTAGTCACTTTGAATATCACTGTTAGAGTCATGTGTAGCATCAACTTGGTCCACGAAACAAGAGAAAAAGGTCGCATTCTTCAATTTTCAAGGAAACATATGAGTCAATATGTTTGGTATCAAAACTGCAGTCTATTTCATCACCTATCAATAGAAAATAGCTTGTATCATATCTACCATCAGTTAGTTCGAAATAAAACGCTATTCAATTCACGAACATAAAGTTAAGTGCCGTACAGTATATCATTTATTGCTACAAATGTCAATAAAATATTTTGTAAACTTTAACTTAGAAAAAATTTTCAGTACATACCTATACTTACGTACGACTTCAATTGATGGTCTTGTGAGATTAGCGAAGTAGCAACTTCGTGGAGGTGACCACAATCTATAGTGCCTACATTAGCGTATTTAACATCATTAAATGCCGAACGAATGTACCGACTTGTCTGTCAGTGCAAAGTTATATGTGAATCGATCAGTATATCTCTTTTGAATGAGTTTGACTCTTCGGGTGTGAGAATCACTTACAGCTGCGCTTCTGCTAATCCACATGATGAACAATTCTCGCTTTTGCATAACTCAATTCCAGCAACGTGATAATTTTATGGATCAACAATGCGGAAAGTGTATGCATGAATCACTTTTATCCACTCGAAACATCCGAGGGTGTCGCACAGTAGTAACAGTTATAACATATTGGAGATGATCAAACGATTCTACTTCTGCATTTAATGCCTATATGGTAAAATTCTTTCTGTAAACAGTAGCATCGTCCTATGACCATAACAAAGATTTGTCATATTTATTCTTAAGATATACTAAAGCACATTTACTCCCAAGATAAATATTGACTATTAGTCAGACTTTGCACATGAAAGGTAAAAACCGTGATGACTGTATTATATACACATCTGTGTAACGCACAACAACCGCGAATCATCAACTTTTCGTGATGGCGACACAACAGCAATCGTATAACGATAAAAAAGACACGCACAGTGAATACGAAAATGAAGCATTTCAGAAAGCGAAATTTGCGAATGGAATTCCTAGCTCGAAACAGCCAGTGAACAACGGTCAACCACAGAAAATCAAAGATACAAATAATGCCGGTCGTTACTTGTATCAGTATGAATTTATCAACGATTTTGGTGAAGAGATATCCATTCGATTGGACAATGCAGTGGATTACCAAGATTCTAATCCTAATCAAGGACCACATTATAATGCTGGACCAAAGGGAGGTAAACTTAAACAACATCATTACTTTAAAAAATATAATAACTAACAAAACTATATCGTAATGAATACAACGAACAAGATACTTTCTCTTTTCTTCTACCACAATCATGGTTTTTCTTGACTTTTTTATTCGTGAATTTAACAAAAAAAATAAAAAATACGATTACAATGTTGCATCCATTACAGGAGAAACTCTATCGAAGGATATTTTTTAATATGAAAGACAGCCACTTCTCAACGTATACTTTATCTAACTGTGGACAAGTCGATAAGTTAGTAGAGTTCCTATGCGTTTCGTTCGACATCAGCTTTCTATCTTGGAACACATCTTCGAAAAACGATTCTTCTAATTTCACCTTAGAATCTTTTTCTTCATTCATTCTTCTTTTCCATTCATCATCCGATACACCTTCCATCTTGATTCCACATGCTTCCATTCCACTCACCACCTCTTCGAACATCACTTCGCTTTCCGCATCCATAACATCATGTGTACTTCCCCAACTACTTCTCTCGCCATCACTCAAACACACCACACTTCGCATTGC